TATAGTAAACATATCTGCAGATTGTTATTCTGACAACCTTAAATCTGACTATTCCCATTCCAATTTATTCAATTTTTGCTTCCTTTAGTCTTTTTCCCATCAAGATCTCAAGCTCTCATTCCAAGTTTGCAAAATGTTTCCAAATGCCGACACATTTATATATTCTCATAATCTGAAACTATTTGTAATATATGCATGCATTTCCCTCAAGCTCAAGCTCTTGCGCGGGGGGAAATCAATAAATGTGTGTATGTAACGCGCGTGTGAGCAAGAAAAGACATGCTTGTGGTCGGGCAGCGACAGCAGGTGCTCAAACTCGCTACATCGCATCCTTTTTCATTTGGCCCTTGCCCGCTGCCGCGCAGATGGCCGCGCTCATTCGAAATTGACAATTTTCTCGTCTTCTTGGCAACTGTCAAAACTGGAAGAATGAAACCATCTGCCACACCGCCGTTTTCGTCTTCCTTTCCCCATTCTTTTCAGTTAAACCCCACCCAGTTCACAAGTCATTTGCATATGACGCCTGCTGTCAATACTCACTACGAGTGTTGCTATTTTCGAAAAATCTATTGTATTCAACGTTTCGTATGATATTTTATAATAATAGAATAGAATATAACACAAGCGCCGGTAGGTTCTATTTGTTTTTAGGTAACGGGGAAAGGTGATACTTGGAAAAGTCGAGTCACCCTTAGATGTTTGAGTTTCCCACCGTCTTTTGAGAATAACTTACTCACGAAAAAAGAACCGCTGCAGTAGCGTTCGGGCAGGAAAGAAACGGAAATCCAATGCCCCCGTTCGTCTCATTTTTCAGTCCTTGTATCACTCTACTGCCTCCTTTTTAGCAGCAATGAGCCGCGGATATGTGCACATTAGAAAAACCGCAATTTCCTTAATGTGCCCTAACCAGCTCATGAATAATGTCATTATTCTCCATGGCTTCCTCATTTCAACATCCCCCGTCTTGTTTTGTCACACTTGCAACTTCACTTCTTTGTACATACATATTCCAGTTCAACGGAAGAAACCTTGCAGTAATTCAAGTGTTTCCTTGTTTTTATTTTTCTTCCTGGTTACGTACTTGGCTACGTTCTCATACCAGTTCGAACTGCCGTAAGCGGACGTACATGAATGCAACAAAAAAGCGCCCCGCTGAATGTTTGTGGTCGGCTAACTGTGGGAGGAGGTACGGAGGAAATGCTGAGTCACCGTTATATGTATTCACGGCCATTGTGCGAACGAACACAATTTCGTAACGTTTTGAAGCTCTTGTAAGGCGCTAGAAATTTTTGAAGCAACTCATGAGCTAGAAGTGCCGAGACTGTATAAATTATTTGTTTTTTGATGCACTTCATGCATTTTTTTTCCAATCTTTCCGGGAAATGAGACCAATAGTTCACCTTTTTCCGAGCTACGAGCTTTTTCCTTTCAATTTCCTGGTTGCCACTTTATTCTCTCTTCACTTGACTGATTCGACCCTTGAGAGTTTAGTCTTTTCCTCTTCGCAATATCGTATATTTTTTGTTTCCTACATCTCCAATTCATTATCAATCATTTCAGGCAAGAAACATTGGTTCCCTCAAGATTTTTCCTTGTTTCGCAATTCTCAACGATCAACGGTCACGCAAGTTCTCGTTGGCATATGTATTCTCTCTCAAGTTCGTAAAAGTTGTACATAGTAACTCAAGGGTTCTTTCTACTACCGTAGTGTAATGTAATTAAACTAACTAACATGCAATCAAATCAAGAAATCACGAGTTTGGGTCGAAAACTGCCAAGAATCTGGGAACACACTTGACCGAGGTCTTCGTAATCCCGCACTTGACTCAACTCAAGTTCAATTATGTGTTCACTGCGCAGCAGGGCGTCAAATTTATTCAATGGCTCACATTTCCCACATGAAGCCGGCGCCTGGCGTGCTTGTTCTCCTCTGTTGCAGTCACACACATAATAAAACCTCCTGGCGGGAATGTATGCAAAGTTGATGCATCAAAGTACATCTTTTCATCCGGGTTTTTTGTTACGCCTGGCGAGGTGAATCACTGTCCTTCGTACCTTCCTTTTCAGTCTCTATCAACCCCGCCTTTTCAGTCTTTATCAACCGAAACCACTCACCCACCGCATCTCATCTCATCTCATCTGTCAGAACATTTTAGATGAAACCCAAACAGCGGGAGGTAAAAACTCCCGTGCGTACACACAGTCAAGGCAGACACTCACACTTTCTCTCTGTCACACACACACAGAAGTTTGTGAGAGGAGGGCATCACCATAGTGTTGTCCAACCAACCGCAGAACCGGTTGGGTCCTCCTAGGCCTGCATCGCCACTCTGTCCGACCGCAGACCCATCCATGCACCTTCTTTCGCTGTCCCCCTCTCCGGCGGCGGTGCGTCATCACCACACCTTTTTTCTCTCATACCTCTCTTCATTTTCTCACACTTCATACAGTTTTCATCAACAACTGCCCCGATTATAGTTTTTTGATTGATTTTGTCTTTTTCGTCGTCATCATCTCTTGCCCACTTGATCAGCGCCGCTTCCAATTTGCAAAAACCCCGACGGTATCAAAAAACGGGACAAAAATTAACCACCCTCATTGCATTCTTCGTCCGATGAACTGATAATTAATAATAACCGGTGGCGTTTTGTTTCTGACTGACTTCTTTATTTTCTGAAAAGCAAAGTCAGAAGAGTCTAGCTTCTTGTTGACAACAACAGTCATTTTGATATTTACTCCCACAAAGTCTGTGGGTGTTTCTGAAAATGTGAAACCAACGACCAGAAGAGGTTTTTTGTGAAGTTTGCTCTTTTTCTCCCCTCCTTTCTGATCTCCGCTAATCCGCCCCTCGTGCGTGCTAGAAGCGATGATAGTTTTGATGTTGGATGTGAGGCCTGAATATAGAATGCGAGATGTTTGAAGTCGAAAGTTGTCTCCTGGGGCTGCTACTGCAAGGGTACGCTTCAATGACTCCTCAAAAATAAGCGGGTTCATAGAACGTGGAATAACTTTTTCTTAAAAGGAAATCTTCCTAGAAACAGCTTTTAGCACAAAATCCGCAGATTCCTCACACTTTTTTCCGTTCTGCCGTACTGGCATGTCCTATGACTAAAAGTCAACCGGTTCAACATATTATGCAGTCATGCAGAAGTTTATCTGAATTCAGAGGTAAACAAGAACCCTTCCTACTGTATCCAACATTCCTTAATTAAAAACATCTCCCATTTCAGCTAACATCAGCACCAGAATATGTGCCAGGTACAAGCTCGCCGAAGCATGTTATTATCTCTAATGATAGAGCTTTCTCGAAATGTCTCTTAAAATTGGTTTGAAAACTTTTTCTTTTTTTCGAAATGACAAATTCTAAATGCCACTGTAAGATTAGGTTGATCAGTCTGAGCAGAAGAGTTGGTCAGTCTGAAGAGAATGTCACCCGGAAGTAATCAGTACATCCTGTCTGTCTATAGAAACGTTGGAGTATTCAGTAGCGTGACCTTTTAGAACATAAGCATAAGGACGGATATCCGGAAAATTAGCTTCCGGCAGAGCGGATAGTATTTTCTATATTCTTTTCGTCTTTTGATGTGGGCGGGTGCTCAGTTTCTCACAGCCCTAGCACAACCTTGAAGTTCGACGTTATCACTATTGTTATTGAAACAGAAAACGTCGAGGCGTCCGCCCGACCTCATTATCAATCTGTTTTCGCCCGAAGACTCTAATCCCCGCGCCAATCCGCGTGCTCACCTTCTTACAGTAATCCGTTATCTGGCTTTCGCTCTCTTTCAGATTTTGATAAGCCTTCTGCATGAGCGCCCATGAGAACGCCCCTTTCGAGCTCTCCGAATCGCCCCGCCTCTTCTCCATTCCACCCCACAAAGCAAGCTCACTTTTGATGTTCTCACTTATCAGCCACACACCGAGCTCCGCTCTCCTTTTTTTGCCACCGGAGAAAAAATCCAAACCAATCCTTTTTCCAACATCAAATTGGAAATATCAAATATCAACATCCATTATTTACACAACGTTTTGAGTAAGCTCCTCTTCCATCCGCTCCCACATAGTATTTGTCCAAACTGATGGATTGGATTGAGGATTAGATCCAAAAAATCCAAAAAAGAAAAGCGAAAACTTGAAAAATACAGTATACCAAGTCTCTAATCCAGTTTAGTGCAAGCTAACCTTATTTAGTTTTTTGCGCTCTCTTTCTTTGTGCATCCCTTCTCTTGCTTCGCTTCGATTTCGACATTGAACGATAATTGGGTTTTAGGTGCCTGAATGTCGCCGAGCTTATCCAGAGACACGAATTGTATCCGCCTTCTCTCCTTACTTCTCGGGGAAGCAAGAGAAGAAGGAACAGCAGAGAAAATGCTTTGAATTCTGAATGTAGTCCCCGTTTCCTCTCTCCAGCTCTTATCTTTGTTCCTTGTTCAAAGTGGGGCATGCTCTTCTGACTCCTCCTTTTGTCCATTATTTCAGTGTCAGATATCAATCTTCTATTGAGTTCTGAACCTCTCTTTTTCTTTTTCCTCCTTTGTCCGTCATGTGTACTTTAAAAAAAAGTGAGTTAGTGGAAGGACGACAGGAACTGAGTGTTTGCCTTTGTTTAATACTGACTTTGTGTCTGTTTTCGTCATCGTCCTGACTGACTGACTGCTGCATTCGCCATGTCCCTATCAATTAAGATTGTAATTTATCGATTGTACCTATACGTTCACTTTCATCGCCTCAATTCCTCATCGACGCTTTCCCGCAGCGACAAACTTTCACGTCTCACTCTTCCCTCCCTATTTCTGCGCTGATCGGATTCGAAACGCGATGTCAGTTCAGTCCAGGGTCATTAAATTGACTATCATTCCGATTTTACGCACCATAGTCATCATCGTAGGAATAGCACTATTTCTGTTCGCTCTTTTGTTCGTTTTTCGTTCTGCTTTTACTCTCTATTTTTCTTCACGTCTTCCAATTGGCCCAGATTCATTCTCACAGATATTTTTTCAGCCATGACGGTGGGTAAACTAATGATTGGCTTACTTATCCCGATAATCGTCGCAGCTACCAACGCCGAGGTACGTTCGTGTTTATTCTTTCTAAATTCTATCATCGAAACTCGATGATTCGGAACATTGTAATGGGGACAGCAAATCGATAGTAACAGGCGACCTATCATATGACTAGCATCAGAGAATAGTTCGATTTGATAAGGTGTTAGTTCGCGTGTGACAAGTTGCGATGCATGATCACTGGGGAATTGGATATGAGCACGAGGAGTAAAGGTCGCAACAATTTTTCAAGCGAGCGTGTGCCTTGGCTGCTACAAGATTGAATAGCGTAAAAGATCAGTTGCACTTGCTTGCTTCCAAGGGATTTGATGGTTGTCTGCAAAGCTCTTGTTAGTGCGAACTTGAGCCGGGGAAGGGTGGGAGGGTGTATACAGAGCAACTAGTGAGTTACGAATAATTAGATTTCCAATCAAGCGCCGAGAAACCTATCAAAACTCAATCAACGCTTTCGAGCACCTTTTTGAGTGCTCTTATCGTATGTTTTTGCAGGGTTCACCAGCGGGCAGCAAACGACATGAGAAGTTCATTCCGATGGTCGCTTTCTCGTGCGGATACCGCAACCAGTACATGACCGAGGAAGGCACCTGGAAGACCGACGATGAACGATACGCCACTTGTTTCTCTGGCAAACTTGACATCCTCAAGTACTGCCGCAAGGTAAATTTGGGGGTTGGGACAGGGAAAGGATTGATCTTTGACAACAAAGAGTGGAAGCACTAAATTCCCCTGGGAAAAGTTATAAAAAGAAAGAGAAACTAAATAGCGCGAGCAAGCAAGTTGAATTGTTTCCTTTGCCACTAATTTGAAGTTGCTTCCCTTTTCCTTTTTGTCTTAGATGAGGACGCGCACCAAACAGGCCGTCAAATGGGATTTCGATTAGAACCAGAAACAAACACTGCCAAGCTGATGAACTTTTTGTTTAGACATACATGTAGCTCTTTGACCGCCCAACTAATCCTTCAGGGATCTTTTGTTCGGCAGTTATTGTTCACAAAACAAAACATACACATATAGCGGAAGAGCCCATACATTTTGCGCGTGCTTTTCGAGAGGCACAAATTTGAGTAAGGACCACCCGTTGGGTAGTCCCATGGGACGGTGAACTTGAACACGCGACTCGTCCCTAAGCGCGAGTTTCGGAAGTCGGTTGTACAAATATCTTAAAGGGATGAGAACAAATTGCATCTTTTTTCCAGGCCTATCCATCCATGAATATCACCAACATTGTCGAGTATTCGCACGAAGTGAGCATCTCCAACTGGTGCCGCGAGGAGGGATTCCCGTGCAAATGGACGCACAGTGTCCGACCGTACCACTGCATTGGTGAGTCATCCATCCATCATCCGATGCAATCCATCAAATTCACCGTCGGCGGCTAATCCGGCTTGCTGATGGCTTGAGAAAACCGCAAAAAGAGGAACACGATTAGTTTTTTCAGCAAAGCTCTGTGCGCAAAATAAAGAATTTCCGGTTTGAATCAATCTCCAGTGAAGGAGAAAATTGTCGCGTGTGGCGGCAAACCGCAAAACAGGAACTAGGGCTAATGGGTTCATCTTTCAGACGGAGAGTTTCATTCGGAAGCTCTTCAAGTCCCGCACGACTGCCAGTTCTCGCACGTCAACGCGCGCGACCAATGCAACGATTATCAGCACTGGAAGGACGAGGCCACCAATCAGTGCTCGAACAAGAAGACCAAGGAGAACAAGGCAATGATCGTCAGATCGTTTGCCGTTCTTGAGCCATGCGCTCTCGACTTGTTCACCGGAGTCGAGTTTGTCTGCTGCCCCAACGACCGTGAGTTAGACATGTTCAGAAATCAGAGAGTGTAGTCAGCTAATTCCATGACAACCACTAAGCAATGAGAGGGATTAGCGGAAACAAATCATCCGTCTTTTTTTGCAGAAACGAACAAGACTGATGGCCGTAAGGTTGACGAGGAAGACGATGATGACGACGACGACGACGCTTATGAGGACGACTACTCGGAAGAATGTAGGGGATCCTTCGGGAAGTATCTGTACAATGTGCATACACTTTCAGCCGACGAGAAGGAAGAGGAGGACTCCAACGCCCAGGACCCGTACTTTAAGATCGCCAACTGGACCAACGAGCACGATGACTTCAAGAAGGCCGAGCTCCGCATGGACTCGAAGCACAGAAAGAAGGTCGACAAGGTATGGTCAAACAAACTTAGAATGCTATCAATAACACTTCGATAATCATTCCGATTATAGCCCACACAGATAATCGCAAAGATTATTTTCTATTCTAAATCCGTAAGATTAGGCAATCACTTAAATTGATTCGGTCGGTCCCATCAGCTGTTTGATGACCGTTTTCACGTCATAAGACAAGTGCATCAGTTAGCTGTCTAATAACATCAATGTTAACCTTGTGATAAGGCCCAAACACCAATAATACGTTAAATGAACAATTTTCAGGTTATGAAGGAGTGGGGAGAGTTGGAGACCAGATACAACGAGATGAAGGCCAAGGATCCGAAGGGAGCCGAGAAGTTCAAGACCCAGATGAATGCTCGTTTCCAGAAGGTAGAGCACAGTCGAGTTGAGTCACGATTCAAATGTATATTTTTAGACTGTTTCCTCGCTTGAGGAGGAGCACAAGAGAATGAGAAAGGAGATTGAAGCTGTTCACGAGGAACGCGTCCAGGCTCTGCTCAACGAGAAGAAGAGAGACGTAGGGAACAATTATTAGTTCTATAATAATCGCAAAATTGATTCAGGCTACCCATGAGTACCGCCAAGCACTGGCCACTCACGTCAACAAGCCGAACAAGCATTCCGTTCTGCAGTCCCTGAAGGCTTATATCCGTGCTGAGGAGAAGGACCGCATGCACACCATGAACAGATACCGTCATTTGCTGAAGGTTGATGTCAAGGAGGCTGCCAACTACAAGCCAACCGTCATCCACAGACTGCGGTAGGTAACACTTCAAAAGATCATTCAGTGAACCTTGCGATTACAGCTACATCGACCTCCGTATCAACGGTACTTTGGCTATGCTCCGTGACTTCCCTGACCTCGAGAAATACGTCCGGCCAATTGCTGTCACCTACTGGCAGGACTACAGAGAGGAAGTTTCCCCAGACATTGACATCCAGGACAACGAGGTTCTCCCGCCATTCCACGAGGAAGACTTCAACAAGGAGTACGTCCGATTTCAGATAATACCAGCAACATACATATCATTTTCAGTGCCAAGCTTGACGTCAAGGCCCCAGCCACCACTGTCAAGCCGAAGGAGACTGATAACGCCAAGGTTCTCCCAACTGAGGGTTCCGACTCTGAGGAGGACGCTGATGAGTACTATGAAGATGAGGACGACGAGCAGATAAAGAAAACCTCCGATATGAAGAAGAAGGTCAAGGTCATTGATATTCAGCCAAAGGAGGTATGTATGCGTGTTGCTTTGATGAAATTCGTATGGAAGCCATTTCAGATCAAGGTCACCATCGAGCAAGACGAGAAGAAGTACAAGGCCCCGAAACTTGTGGAGACCTCTGTTCAAACTGATGACGACGAGGGTGATGATGATGACGATGACTCCTCTTCCTCTTCCTCTGATTCTGATGAGGATGATGACGTAGGAAGACTAAAAAATTAACAAATTAAAATTGAGAGTTTTCAGAAGAACATCAAGGAACTCCGTGTTGACATTGAGCCGATCATTGACGAGCCGGCCTCTTTCTACCGCCACGACAAGCTCATTCAGCACGCCGACATTTCCCGTTCAGGCTCATATGTCTTCCAGCCGTACGTGCTCGCCTCCGCCATGGTCATCACCGCCATCTGCATCATTGCCTTCGCGATCAACAACGCTCGCCGTCGTCGTGCGATGCGCGGATTCATCGAGGTCGACGTCTACACTCCGGAAGAGCGTCACGTCGCCGGAATGCAGGTCAACGGCTACGAGAACCCGACCTATTCGTTCTTCGACTCCAAAGCCTAAGCGCAACGTTTTTCTGAGCCTATTTAACCAAACACATATATGATCCACTCTCCAATCTCAGATACCTTTTTATTTTTCTTCTGTCCTCATTAACATCAAAATTCCCCATTCCTCATCCTCAAATAAAACAGTTGTGAGTTTGTGAAGCAAAAAAAGAAAACTACTCAAATCAAACCCACTTTTTTCTCTCCCCGTAGACTTTTTCTCTCTCGTCATAAAAACCAAAAAGAGCACAATAAAATCATTTGTTTGTTGCTCGTTTTGAAACCGATCTATCCGTTTTGCAGTAAATACATAGTTGAATGTAATTCACGTGTTTCGTATTCGGAAGCATCCCCTTTTTGTACACCACTTCTTCTCCGTATTCGTATTCTTTCTAACCACCACTCGATCTTGAAATACACCCTATTTCTTGTGATAGTCTCTCTTTTTCTCTTTTAATATGCACACTTCTCTCTCTCCCTTCCTTTCTTTTCCCTCTTTTTCTGAGTTTATAAGGAGTCCAAAGTTTGTTTCAAATGAAAAAGTTGAAAAGATCACTTCTGACCACTGCTCGTTTCACCTTTTTTGTCGTGAACTTCTTTTGTGACATTACCGTTTTACCCGATAAACTGAAAAAATGTGTTCCCAGATTAATTTATTGAAACATATGATATAAGATACAATTCAAATCAAACAGCTGAGAAGTTTTCGGGGAAGACGAAGTCGACGGAGCGTTTAGTATTCGTCGAACGTAGTGAACCCGGGCCCTGAAACTAAATAATTATACTTCTAATTTTTCAAGGACCAATTTGAAAAACATGGTACTTATGTGCCTGTCTGACTCGGTCTCTATTGTCACATACGCTGTCGAAACGTGAAAATTGTGGTCTAGAAAACTCAGGTCTGAAAACTCTTCCATGCTAACAATTTGTGATTTTTTTCGGCGGTCCAACATAATAGAACTGGGCAGAATAGAACCTCGACACAATAGAACCGGCCACAATATAACTGTTTGGAGCGCCTTTTAAACCTTTCTGTAGAATAATTGTTTCGTAGAAAAAGATAATTTTTGAATCTCGTGATCGATTTATTGCATTCATTAATTTTGACTTCCGTCGTGATCCCTCTTCTCTACGGTAACAAAAACCCACAGAAAATAATTTTTATGTACTATCAAAAACGAAAGGAAACCAATTTTCTAGGTGTAAACTGTGGTCTTCTGCTTAATTGTTCGAGAGAAGAAAAATCTTGCGAAAGTTAATTGAAAGGAACGGACAAAATGCTCATATAAATACACAAAAACAGTTATATTATGTCGAGGTTCGATTATGCCCAGTTCTATTATGTTGGACCGCCTTATTTTCTATGTTTGGCAACGTTTGAAAATTGTGCCGTACGCAAAAAATCCGGTCGCCAAACATCGCCAAACATCAGCAATTGTTAGAATGGAAAAGTTTTCTAGGCCACGGCTACAACTTTTTGTGAGTTGTGATACGTACTGTGAATGTGATAATAAAAGGCAATGAAGACGGACACATTAGCACAGTTCGTTCGTTAGTCCTTTAACTAACCGTTGTTTGTGATGGGACGGTTTTGTATTCCTTTCCAGTGAAGGGATAATTCTGCAAAAGTGTAACGTTTTCGAAAACTTTTTTAACATTTAAGGGAAACTAAGACAACTACTAAGTCCTGTCAGTTCGAACTACCCAAATTCTGTGGTTTAATCCATACTTCTCGGCGCTGAAGGATGAAGTCGAAAATGTAGACAATCACCATTAGAAATTCAATAACCTTCAAGAAAGTGTTTTAACTGAATGTATAAAATAAGTTGAAGCGAAAAACGGACCGCTGCAGCAATCCACTGTCCCTTAATGTGTCCACGTCCACGTCCTTGGTAGTTCACTTCCGGGTCATTCGTAAGAACGGCCATCCAAGTCCCCAAAATCCCCGCGATAAACATGAAGACAATTCCGAGAATGGCGTAAACCTTCTCCTGAACATTTTTTCGTATAATAGAGATTCACCAAAGCAGACGGCTGGTCTCTCAATCATGTTGCCGCCCGTTTCGGGAAATTAGACAAAATTGGGTGTCAGCGAAAAACGCATCTTTTCGGAGTCTCAACCTTCTCATGAATAATGAATGTGACGTGGCAGAAAATCAGGTAGAGTATAACTTACCATTGAGGCAATAATTGACGGAAAGGCGCGATGGGCATTGAGAATGAAGGCGACAATGATCAATCCGCAGAAAATGGAAAGACCCAAAAAGATGATGAGCACGAATAGCTAGAAAAAAGAGTAAAGAGATTTCAAGAGCGTCTTGTTTACCTGTCCCATGGCTGTGTATCCGAAAACGTTCATAATCATTGTACACGCGTCGCCTCCACATGTTATTTGAACCAGCCATTGCAGGATGAAGAACATCACCTAACCATACAACTTTACATTGGTCTCTACATATTTGAGTGATACCAGTTGAAACCAGCGTAAAAGTCCCATTGGATGAGCCCACATGTGAGGAGTGCATTCCACTTGCTCGATCGCTTGCACCTAAATTTATCTGGATTATTCTGTTCCCTGGGGTGCCAAAAACACGAAAAGGACGCAAGAAAGCAAGCTCACAAGGTATAATTGGCGATGTGTCATAAAGATTTATGGGCTACCCCATCGCACAAAAATTATACGTGTGTTTTCTCAGTCTTAGTCAGTCAGTCAGGCGGTGCAAATCGTAAAGAAAGGTGTAATTAAGGTTTCAAGTCAATTTTTTGATGCAAAAAATAAGGGAACAAAGTATAAAATACCTCTGGATGCTGACCCGCAGCCATCGGATGGTAGACAGTCTCGTTGTACACAGGGGAGGCCAAATAGTCACGATCCCGTTGGAAACTCATTTCATGTTCGACGCGCTTTTTATCATTACGGTACATCGACGCCATAGTTCTGAAAAGAAAGGTGGGTTGAGGCGCAATTTCACAATAAGCGTGTCATGCCATAATGAAAAGTGAATCAATATGATTATGGAAAGGTATTAGAAGTTCTGGCTCTTATCACAGTAATTCCGGTGCAGCACTATTATCGTTTCATGATTCTTTAATGACCGATTATGTGGTAGCCCTTCCATTAAACCTCTGTTTGTCTTGTGATTAGCATTTTGTTTGTGTTTCTGGCTATATAATTTGCCGATTCAGGTTGACTTTTCTCATTTTCAGAAGTAAACGTCAATAATACGATCAAGTACTTCGACTTTCGAATCGTGTGATTTATGCCTCATTTTTCCTAAAAATTAGCCGAGAAAAAAAACGATTTCAGCTGTCATCAGATTCTTGGACAGACTGGAAATTGCGGTTTGCAGCTGGAATACAGCACCACGCGTGAAACGTCAGTGCTTTGGGAACCTACGCGAAAACAACTTGCTAAAACTTCAATGATATCATCAGTAATACTCACCTTGAACAAGACAGAAGAGGCGTGTTTTCAGAAACGTTGAAGGTTATGATTACGATTTCCATGGCTTTAAAAGTATCCGGCACACATTAGGAATTGGATGGAATGCCACGTCACTCGAAATGCAATGAAAATGTCTTCTTAGGCCCACTTACCTGTCAAGTTAAAAAATCACAAAATGCCAATCTTTTTATATGGATCAATCAGCCTTTCAAAGAAAATTGTATGTTTTATTTCGTTTATTTAAACCTCAGATTGATCAATAGCATCCGGGGAACTTCCTGAAATTTCAACGTCTCCCTGCCAAGCTTCTTTTTTTCGTCGGCTTCACGGTGACTTGAGCAGTCCGGCCGACGGCTCAAAACGGCAGATGTTTTTTTCTGGAAAACAATTCCGAGACCCCGGCACCTCGGCTTGTTCTCGCCTTTTTCATTCGTGGATTACATGCGACTTCTATTTTCATAATTTTCAATTCAAAATTACTGATGTTTCATCTCATACCTCTTTTGTTCGGTTTTCATGTAGACCGACGTTCTTCATCCAATTCGCTGCTGCTTCTGTTCTTCACTCGCTGTACCGCTTGAGCTCGTGCTCTGGCTCCGCCCTCTTTGGCTTCGACTTAAATTGGCGAGACACGTTCAAGGTTTCATTGCTCTCTTTCGTCATTCTGTTCTTCCGAATCCTTGGTGGTCTCGATGTTTGATTCTCTTTCTGATTCAGCACTCCATTTAAAAACTGTTATAAATATGTGTCTTTTAGGGTCTTGTGAAATGTCCGACGACTCACCGAAGCGAATGCCGTGCCGCGTGCGTAGCACTTTCGACATTGCGAATCCGCTCACCGAGCTCCCAGCGGAGCCGATCATCCTTTCTCCGGAAACCATCCGCCGTAGACAGGCGGCTCTCAACGACGTGCTCACCAATGCGACCTGCGAGGAGGGGACTTCAATGGATTCCATCGCCACGTACATCCCACCCCACACCCTCCGTAAACAGGGAGAGGAGGAAACTGCTCGACTGAAAGCGCTCGCGATTGCCGAAGCGACCGGTAAGGCCGCTAAGAAAGCGGCCAAGATTGCAGCCCTCGAGGAGCAACTAGCTGCTCTCAAAAAGGAGGCAGCCCAAGAACATACTCTCAATTTTGAGAAACTAGCAATTTCCCATCCGACGTCGGTTGTTGCTCATGGGGTTGCATTCGGGTCTTCGGCCACTGCTGAAATGGCGTCCGGAGTGATCGGACTCATTTCCCCAACCGGCTCCAACAACACTGTTTTCGTTGCTCCCCCAGCCATCGGAGCTCTGGTCGCTGCTCCACCTGCCATGGGCGCTCTGATGGGTGCTCCACCAGGGATCGGAGCTCTGGTGGTTGCTGCTCTCCAACCGGCAACTCAGCCAAGTGTCCAAGACGCTGATCGCGAGGATGATGCGAGTTTCGGAGACGTTAGTTTGACTCTTTATGCGTGGTAAATAGGATTGTATTTTTCAGGATTTCCAGCTCATCCACAACGAATACGTGCAAGCTCTTGCCGTGGACAAGAAGAAGCAACGCTAAACTGGACCCTCGACTGACCGACCGCATAAATTCTTACGACTTCTGACCCAATCGACCGCAAACTTCTTCGCTTGCTCTACAATCTCCTAATCAGCTTCCACTTTTCGAATAAATTATCCTTATTTATGTATCAGCGTTACGCTTTTTTTCAAATGTTACAATTCTGGCAGAAGTGAATGTATTTATTCAGTAAAAGGCCAAAAAACTATGATCAAACAGAGGTGTGTGACCGATTTACAGGGAAGTGCCGGTCAAGCTTATTCAATAAGCGACGCAGGCGGTTGGGACCTTGACGGACTCGACGAACGAGACTGGGTAGTCGTTGAGCTCGAGTGGCTGCTGGCGGGATTCCTTCAACAGACGGCGGGCGTCTCTGTTGTGGCGTGGCAAGCAGGTGAACTTGATCTTTCTTGGCGACTCATGTTGGGCCTCGAATCCACGGCGGCACTCAGTGACTGGCTCAACGGAGAAGCAGATGCGGTGCGAGAACTCTTTGATTTGGGTCTTCTCAACGGTCTCTGAAAACGACAAACTTTTTGTAGAATGAGAAGGGGGTTCAACAAACTTACGGGACTGCTTCTGGTTCTTCTGGTTGTTCTTGGTGTACTGTGGCTCGTTCTCGTACTCCTCATCAGACTCATCGGACTCCTCCTCGTCTCTTTCGTACTTTTTGTAGTTCTTCTTCTCAGAAAGACGCTCCTCCTCGGATTGGCACTCCTCGTTTTTGAGAAGGTACGAGCGGTGGAACTCCTCCATGTTGTTGGTCTCGGTGTTGTCAGCAGAGTAGAACTCGTTGGTGTTCTGTAAATGGAAATTTTAAGATATATATGTTCTAGTCTTTGATACCTCGTCATCGTTGTTTCCGCAGAGTCCGCAGAGCTGGTTTTGGCGGGAGTAAGTTGGGAGCTGGGTCTTGACGGTGTATCCGTCGAAGCGGACCTCTCCCTCTGGCAGCTCAATAACGATGGCGGCTTCTCCGAGAAGCTCGATGTTCTGCTCGTCGAAGTTCTCAGATTGGACCTTCTTTCCGTTAATGGTGACACGGATCTCGTTGTTCTGGAGCTGAGCGATGATCTCTTGCTCTCCGCGGATGACCATGACGATCAACTCCTCAGAGTTTTTCTGGGCCTTCTTGGTGAGAACGGCGAAGGTTGGCTCCTCGGAGCAGTCCTTGGCGACGAGAGAATAGCAAGTGGTGAGTGGAGTCTCGTAAAGGACATCATCGAAAGTGCGGATCTGGTTTTTCTGAACCTTGCAGACGGATCCGGAGGCTTGGTTAAGCTGGTGCTTGACGGAGCGCTGAGCGATAGATGGAAGATAGATCTGCGGGATCTGGGTGTTCTTGAGCTCGACACGCTGCTCTGGGGTCTGGACGGTGATGTTAGCGAATTGACGGGACAGCGGCTCGACGGTGACCTGAAGGACGACGCGGTTTTCCTCGTTGTTCTCTGGGCGGGTCGACACGGTCCAGAAGTTGTAGGCCTTGACGAGGTCGAAGTAGCGGGAGAGGATTTGCTCGGTCTCCTGGGTCAGCTTGTACTCGGCAACGGCGTCGATCTGGTTGAGACGGGCGGCCTTGATCAGAAGCTCGTACTCTGGCATTCCATTGAACTGACGCTCCATGTTGCGCTCGTACTTCTTCTGTTCCTTGGACTGTTGGAGCTGGGCGTTGACGGTGATCTGATTCTTTTTCTGGGCTCCCCAGGTGGAAGTCAGAGAGAGCTGGACCTCGCGGTGTGGCTGCTCGCGGAGCTGACGGAGGGAAGATGGCATTTCCGGGCGGACGGCAACGAGCTGGGAACGGAGAGTCCACTCCTTGGACTCCTCGAGGATTGGGGAGCGGCGGGCTTCAACCTCCCACTGGCACATGCGGACCTGCTTGTCGCAGATGGTGGTGAACTCGGTGTTCATGGTGTAGTCACGTGGGGCCTCGAGCTTGAGGGTGATGACGTTCTTGTAACCCTGCTCCTTCTGGATGTTCTTGACCATCTTGGAGAAGTACTGGCGGCGGTTCTCGGTGTTTCCTTGCTCGAGCTCGAATTCCTTCTCAAAGATCTCGTTGAACTTGATCTGGGAGAGCTCGACCTTCTCGAATGGGGTAGCGGTGAAGCGGGCGGTGAACTCAGCTGGGCGGTTTTTGTTCTCGATGGAGACTTCGAAGTCCTGCTCGGCGAGGAGCCAGTTCTCAAGAGTCCATTGGTTGAGGATGTTTCCGCGAGTAGAGAGCTCAAGTCCGAGGAAGTTGTGAACCTTCTCGACCTCCTGGGTCTTCTGTTGCCATTGTGGGATAACGACGGTTCTCTCCTCAGCCTCGATGTACTCAAACTGAGAGAACCCTGGGTAGCGGAGGAAGACGACTGGGCGGGTGGTGAGGGCGACGACCGACTTCTGGTTCTCTGGGACGACGACCTTGTAGACGATCTCGAAGTTCTTCTTGAGTCCAGCGACAGCCTGGATCTTCACTGGAGTAAAAGCACGGACGGATTGGAGGTTCTTGACTCCCTGCTCGAAGAGTGGAGTGAACATTCTCATCTCGTAGATGTGGGTGGCAGCAACAGATGGGCGAGCTTCAGCGGTGAAGCGGAGCTCGGTTCCCTCAAGCTCAAGGGAGACTTGTCCCTCAATCGAGAAAACCGTTGGAACCTTTCCGGTGATGACGAGTGGAAGTCCGAGGGTAGTTGGGAACTTGCGGATAGCCTCGTAGAAGTAGGCGGCATGGTGGGACTCAATCTCGTGCTCCTGGTTGAGGAGGCGGCGGATCTCGTTGAACTCGATCTTTCCGTTTCCGATAAACTTCTCAATCATCTGCTCGATGAGTTGGTTGTCGATTGGGAGGACGGCGTAGTCCATATCTTTGTAGCGGAGGTAGACCATGGCGAAGGCGTTCTTCTCGTTTTGCATGGATGGGCGGGCACGGATGTTCATCTGCTGGGCGAGCTCCTTCAGCATCTTGATTCCGGTTTGGACGCGGCGTCCACGGACAACGGTGGTTGATTCTTTCTCGAAAGACTCGAGCTTCTGGAGGGCCTTCCAGATGTATTGGTCCATGTGTTGCTGGGAGAAGCCGATCTGGGCAAGGTATTTGTACCAGTTTCCTCCGAAGACAGAGTCAAGGGAAGCGTGGAGGTCCTTTGGCAGGAAGGAGTTCTTCTCGAAGACGGCGGCGAAGTCGAATTGAGCTCCAGAGTAGGCGTTTTGGGAGAACATTGGGATCTGGGCGTAGGCCGAAGCGATGAGCTGCTCCTGTGGCTGGTAACGGGTGAAGGAGAGGATTCTCGAGCACTCGTAGGCGACACGCTGGTAGCATGGGTTGGTGGACTGGGAGAACTGGCGGATCATCTGGTAGGTGAGGGCGGCAACCTGTTGGTTGGACTCATTCTCCATCTGCGAGACGACCTGGACGAGGAGTGGCTCCTCTGGGCGGGTTTGCATCATTCTCCAGAGAGCGAGCATGCGGATCTCTGGCTCGTATTGGCGGTTCTTGTAGATCGGGAGGAGCACCTTCTGGATCTTGCGTGGCATGGTGTCCTTGAGGAGTCTGAGAGCATCGATAGCCTCCTTACGGACTGGGAGTGGCTGGCGCTTATCAACAATGATCTCGTTGAGCTGGTTGACAGAGATGTCAAGTCCGGCGTTTCCGATGGTCTTGAGGGCAAGGATCTGCTCGTAAGTGTTCTCGGCGTTCTCGTACTGCTGCATGAAGACACGAAGGAACTTCTGCTTGATCTCGCGCTTGTCCTCACGGACGAGTGGGCGGACGTTCTTGTAGTCGACGATTCCGCGAACAACGGATCCGCAAGCGAGCCACGCGGATTGGCTGATGAGCTGGTTCGTCTTGGCAACACGAGACTCTGCGAACTTGATGAGGCCATCGACAATGCTCTCAGATGGGTATGGTGTCTCCTGGATCGACTTGAGAAGCTGAGCGGCCTCAATTGGGTGGATGTCTTCATTCTCGATGTGGGTGAGAAGGTGTTGGATGGTGTTCTTGGTTCCGGCGATGGCGAGAGCGTGCTCAATCATAGCTTGGATCTGTAAAGTAAAGTATGCGAAAAGCAATTGATAATTTTTTTACTTTCTTGTCAGCCTTGATGTAGACGGTCTCGTGGATCTTCTGGAGCTGGGAGACGGTGGAGGTGCGGAAGATGCGTACAAGGCGGGCGAGGAAGTGAGCGGTCTCTGGCATGTTGTTCTCGACCTCTTGGACTTGCTCGGTGATGGTCTTGATCAGTTGGATCTTCTTGTCAAGTGGGAACTTCTCGAATGGGGCGAACTCGGACTTGTCTCCGTTCTTGAAGAAGTCCTCGACAAGCTGCTCCCAGCGGGAAGAGTAGATGATGTCTTCCTTCTCTCCATTGGCCTGAAATTTGGATAAAACACTGAAATCCATTGAAATTCTCTCACCTTCTTGATGTTGTTGTTGGTGGAGTGGGTCTCCTCCAAGTTGAGCTGCGAGCGGGTCTCAGTCTTCATGATTTCCTGTCCGTTGACGTTGATGGTGTAGACGGAGTGAACCTCAGCCTTGACGAGTTGGTCCTTCTCGAGGACGTAGGTGTAGACAGTTTGTGGGCGGATGACCTGGGTGTCCTTCTCGCATTCTGGGCACTCGGACGAGTAGCGGATTCCGTAAGCGACCTCGGAGCGCTCAGTGCACTTGTCGAAGTTGATGGACTTGGTGATAATGGTTTTCTTCTGCTCGCGAACGATGGTGTAGGCGACCTGGCAGTCTCCCTCGAGGGTCTTCTCGTTGGTGAAAAAGGCGGTGTTCTCCTCGTCGGTTGGCTGCTCATCCTGGAAGTTGCTCTCGATCTTCTCGACCTCATTTCTTGGGGCGATTGGGTTGAAGGAGATCATGTTGAGGACAGCTCTCTTCATGTTCTTCGACCATTCAGCATCCTCCTGCTCAAACTGGAGCTCGGAAACGAGTCCATTTCTGAGTTGGGCACGGACTGGGAGCTCAAGCATCTGCTTGTACTCCTCAGAGATCTCGCGTTGCTCCATAGAGTTCAAGGTTGGCATCTGTTCCGACTCCGGAAGGTGCGAGGCAGCCATGCGGATGTTGATGAGTTGGAAGTGGACGTAACGGTCATCGACTCCCTGGATGCGGGCACGAGCCGAGATGCGGGACTGGGAAGATTCGGAGGAGGTGGTTGGAAGTCCGGAGAGAATAAGCCCATCGAGTTTGTAGTGGTACTCGGTCTTTGGCTCAAAGGTGCGCTCAAAAGCCGGGGAAGAGGCGAGGGCTAAAGCCACAAGAGAGGCGATGATGATCGACCTCATGGCTGACCGTGATTTTACCGTTTCAGTGACGAGCTTTTATACAAGCGAAGATTGACATCTCAACGATGGACTTCAATCAGCCATTGCATAGTTTTAGCGCATAGATAAGGTCACTGATGGACATATGTACGCACTCTTGTTCATTTTTCCACTCTTATCGGTCGAATTTTGCAACATTGTCAAAAGCCCTGTCTATTAAATCTGAGTGAGGGGTTCTGAACATTTAGCTAAACTGTTGAAATGATGAAGTTTGGTCACGTCGCACTTTGGTACACATGCTATTTCATGATGAGGTGATGCTAGCAAATTTGACAGCTTGAAACGGAGGTACACGGGGAAGAATCATGCCACCTTAACTTTCACCTGAAATCTGAAACATTTCCAACTCGATTGATGGTGGATGCTGGAGTATCACACAGGAAACGTTGACGAACCAATAATGAATTTCAGATTTCCAAGACCCCTCATTCAGCATCCCAAGTAATTGTTGCCGCCAGAAATTGTTATCACGCGAGTTTGTCGAAATTGACGGCGCGGTCGTCGCTGCGCACTTGGCCAATCCGCAACAAGAAGAAAGATTGGATAGTCAAATGACCCAGAAATGTCCGTGGAGGAGTATAGCCGTCTCGCGCGTACGATGGCGCACAGCGATCGCTTCGGAATTTGGATATAGGGCAGTACTCCAGCCGTGAGGGTGGCCCTTTCCGAAAAACTTTCTTTCTCTTTCGGTTATCATTCCACACTTGTTGATGTCACTGATTCGCGATCTTCACTCACGACATCCAATCCGTTAAAAGTGTATCTCCGAGACGGATACCGTCTCCATTTCGATGGTTTTAACTGTATTGTTTCTAATTTCCCGTCGTCAGTTCACTGGTTAGTGAACTTTCTGAGATTGCCCTACTATTTCGCTAACTATTTTCTGTTTATTTCTCCTTTTCTCAAAGGTTTTTCTTATCAACTCAAAAAATAGCAGACGGTATAGTGTTTTTGCTCCATTTTGTGTGAACCTTCAAAGCATTGATTTGAATAAATCTGAATAATTCAAAATTATAAATTTAAGACCGTTTTTCTGAGAAAACAACATGAAATTCTAAGATTCTACTTCTCTAAATTGCATTATCGGTAAGCGCCGGATCAGGAAGGAAACCCTCGCTGACGACTTTCTCTATCCATTCATTCGCCCACTTCTTCTTCAGTTTCGTAATCCTTTGAATTTCTATCGTCACTATGACCCCAATCGCGCGCCGCTTCTGATCTGATCTTCCCACTTTTTTCCGCCCGAAACATGTAAGAAATAGATAGCATTCTGCGTCTGGTATTCAGGAATTTTCATGGGATGTGAAGCGGCGAACAGAGAAACCAATTGTGCATGACGACCTGATCCGATCCGGAATGAGAATTTATTGAAGGTTGGATGAAAACTTGATTCTCGGATCTCTGATTCTCGAGTTCAGTTCCTTCTCGTTTTCATCTTCCCATAGACGCTCCAGTGTCGGATATCTGTCCGACACGACGATGGATAAACCCTAATGCCGCACTGATACATTAGGATACATACATTTGTCCGAACACGCACTCGCAGACGAATAGATCACCCGTCCTTCCGAGCGTCCGTTGTCGGCATTCCTGTCATTCACCCAGAAGTCGGATCGGGTGTCTAATTGAGTTAATCGGTTGCAAAGCGATAGCCGTTCCGAGCGACCTTCACTTATACAGCGACCCTTACGCCGCCTCATCCGGCTCGTCAACAATCTCCTTCGCCATCTTTTTGTCGAGCGCGCCAAATGAGTCATGACAGGATTTGATGGTGTGTTAATGATATTGCCGCGCGCGGTGTGGACAACTTTCCTCCTGTCCGCTGGTCCGACAGTTTCATTCTGAAAGTACTCGCCTCCTTCCTCCCATTTGATATCCCTCTATCGTGATTCATTCAGAAACGTGTTCAACAAACACGTTCTAGGATGACGCCATTTTAAAGCCGTTGTATCTTAGACCACTTTTCGAGCTTCAATTAAAACATAGTTTTAGAACTGTCAGAACATACCTGCAGCCAATTGTGTTCCGTTTCAAAAAAACTATGACATAATTGCATTACTTTTCGTTTGTGGATATTTCGACCAGTCTCTTTGATATATCTTCGCCGTTGTTTCTATAGATTTCCACAGTTCCCACAAGATCCGCTGTCCGTTCATAATAGCTATAACTATTGCCAGCAACGTTCCGAAGCGAAGACGGCAGTCAGAAAAACGGCGCAATAAAATACACGTCGAGTGCAAGGCCAGATTTCGGCTGAAGTTATTAGAGAAAGAGAAATCCAGTGACTGTCCACACCCGCCCTCTCTTCCTCTCCCTCTCCCACACCCTATGGAAAAGAAGGGAAGGAGTAGCGCGCCGGTTTTCGTTCACTCGGCTGTTTCTTTCTCACTTGTTTACTACGCCAATGAATTTTCCAAAAATCTGACTGTTCGAACGTTTTATGAATTGAGTACAGTACAGTTCACTATCATTCTGCCATGCTGACATCCTGCCCAAGTTACAGTTGTTAACATTACTTTCTCATTGTCCAGCCCGAATAGTCTAACACCTCGGTGTGTGTTAGAAATATACGTCCCACTTCATACTTTTTGTTATTGTTTCTGCTTCGTCCACTTTGGCGTGCGATAATAATCTTATTTAATATGATCCTCTTCATTCAACGATTTATCTTCCACCTTGCATCCATACATCTTCCGTTCCCAGTTCATATCCATTTCATTTTCAGATGAAGTTCAATATACTTCTCCTATTGCTTGCGGGGGCCTGTTTGCCAACATTCTCTCAAGAGATCAAGCCCAAGCCGGAGCTCCTTCCTGCAGACGAAACACCGAAAGATCCAGAAGCTTCGTTCTCCGAAGGTGAACCGTTCGAGCTGACTGATGCCCTTGAAACACCCAAAAATGGATCCGCTCCAGTCCCAGAGCCAGAACCGAAGCCGGAGCCAGAGCCAGAACTATTCACAAAAGCCGAACCAACTTCAGAACCGGAACCGGCCATCAAGTTTGATAACATCGAGTCGGAAGATTATGGAGACGTCGCCGAGGCCGTTGTTTCCCAGCCGGACGAGCTGAACACGGAAGTCATTGAACAGCTTGTCGACCGTTTCTTGAACACTGGATCCATTGTGGTGTGTGATTATCGCTCATTCAGCATGACAGTTATGATGCTTTTAGGATAAGACGAAGAAGGGACCAGTTTTCGCAAACCCTGTCGCCCAGGCGCTTGTTAACAGCAGCGATTATTGGAAAACGGAGAACGTCGAGGTATTGCTATCCCATCCCACTTTCGTTTTTCCATTATTTCGTGTCGTTTCAGGCGCCAGGATCGATTAAAGACGAGGCAAAACTCCGCTCGTGGCTGGCCGGATACGAACCAGAAGCCATTAAGGTAGAGATGATATGATAAAAACGTCACTGTGAGAAAGAAAAAGACGCCTGAGTGAGTGAGTAGCATCGGGATAGAGACAGAAAGAGGGAAATACTGGATTCGTGATGGGATTTGCGCGGCGGCAAATAAATGAAGAACGGATAATTGGGCTTCGAATCAAAAACGTGTTGTCTTCATTGTCTTGCGAGCGAGAAAAAACTGAGACGTTGCGTGTTCATGGATAAAATGAAATGAGGTGTTGGCTTACAGGTTCTCCGCGAAGTTGCTCTCTCTGCCTGGAGATACTTTAACAATGCTTCTCCCTCTCTCAAGATTGCTCTCGACGAAGCTCAGAATGTTCTTTCTCTCTTCGTTCGCAGTACTTCCATGCAAGCCAAGCAGTTCGACATGTCTTCTGTGACCGATGAGACGCTCAAGAGACAGCTCGGATACGTTTCCTTCGAAGGAATGTCCGCTCTTGCCGCACCTAGATTCGCCGAGTTCTCTCAGGCTCAATCTTTTGTAAGCTTCAAAAACAGAGTGAGGACCAACAATAAAAACGAACCATTTCAGCTGAACCGTGATTCTAAGGATTCTACCATTTGCGACAAAGATGTGCCACCACCATGTGCTCTTCAGTAAGAAAAACTCTCATCAAAGAGTCTTCAACTGAAAAAAACATTCAGAAAAATTGACATGGACTCTATCTTCCGCAACGAAAAAGATGCCTCTAGACTCCAGCACTTGTGGGTTTCTTATGTCACCGCTATTGCCAAGTCGAAGCCGGCCTACAACAACATTATCACCATTTCCAACGAAGGTGCAAAGCTCAACGGATTCGCAAATGGAGGAGCCATGTGGAGAAGTCCATTCGACATGTCTTCGAAGCACCACAAGGCTGAGTTCGATTTGAACAAGCAGATCGAAAAGATTCACTCGACCATCCAACCATTCTACCAACTTCTCCACGCTTACATGCGCCGCCAGTTAGCCGGAATCTACTCGAACCCAGCTGGCTTGAGCAAGGACGGTCCGATTCCAGCTCATCTTTTCGGATCCTTGGAGGGAGGAGACTGGGGAGCACATTACGAGCAGACGAAGCCATTCGAAGACGAATCTGAGACACCAGAAGCTATGTTGGCCGCTTTCACTTCTCAAAACTACACCACCAAGAAGATGTTTGTGAATGCCTACCGTTACTTCAAGTCCGCAGGATTCCCTCAACTTCCAAAATCTTACTGGACTAGCTCGATCTTTGCTCGTGTTTGGAGCAAGGATATGATCTGCAGTCCACCAGCTGCTATTGATATGCGGGCTCCAAATGACTTCAGAGTCAAGGCCTGCGCTCAACTCGGAGAGCCAGACTTCGAACTCGCTCATTCTCTTCTCATCCAAACTTACTATCAGTTCTTGTACAAGGATCAGCCACTTCTTTTCAGGTAATTTCAAAATCAACAAGCGGTTTCAGAATAATTGTTTAACCTGCAGAGAACCATCTTCCCCAGTTATCACCGACGCCATCGCCGACGCTTTCGCCCATCTCTCCACCAACCCTCACTACTTGTACTCTCACAAGCTTGTCCCATCAGAGCATCTTGAAATCAAGGACTCTGTTATTATCAACAAACTGTACAAGTGAGGGAATAGTGCTGACTATTCACACTGATAAAAAACATTATTTAAGGGAAGCGCTCGAAAGCTTCACGAAACTGCCATTCACAATCGCCGCTGACAACTGGAGATACGAGTTGTTTGAGGGAAAAGTACCCACGAACAAGCTTAACGACAGATGGTGGGAAATCAGAAACAAGTACGAGGGAGTTCGTTCTCCACAACCATACAACACCTCCAACTTGGACGCCCTCATTCACAATGCCGTTTCTCAAGTCCACTCTCCAGCTACCCGCACTCTTATCAGCTACGTACTCAAGTTCCAGATCTTGAAGGCTCTCTGCCCAGAGGGAACTATCTTGGTAGCACATAGAAATAAGCGGAAAGGTCTCAAAGTATTTTTTTTAGAGCGAGGGATGCATTCTGTCCGAGGATACCACAGAGAAACTCCGTGAGACCATGAAGTTGGGATCTTCAATCACCTGGTTGAAGGCCCTCGAGATGATTTCCGGAAAGGGAGAACTTGATGCTCAGCCACTGCTCGACTACTACGAGCCACTCATCAACTGGCTCCGTAACACTAACGAGATCGATCAGGTGGTCATCGGATGGGACGGAGAAGGAACGCCATTCACTGTGTAAGAGCGCATTAATGGACAATTCGGATAAGAATCGTCCAATTTACAGTGAGGAAATTCCAAAGACCAGACAGCCAGGAGATGGAGGAAATGGCTTGCCAAGCGAGGACAGAGTTGCCTTCCCGGGTAGGTCTCAAGTGGTCTTGCAAGACTAATTTGTTCACTTCCTCAGGAGGAGAATGCGTGAACGGACAGGAATGCCTGCTTGATTCGCACTGCAACGGAACCGTCTGCGTTTGCAACGAGGGACTCTTCACTTTGGAGATCGGAAACACAGTCAACTGTGTTCCAGGAAACCCAGCTGATAGCGGATTTGGAGATGGAAAGGTAGGCGTCGAGAGTTGAACTATTTTCATAAAAATCAATGTATTCAGGGAGGACTTGTCATTGGACTCTTCAACAACGATGACACCACCCCAGAGCCAGTGGCCGAGCCAGAACCGACCACAGTGACGACCACAAAGACGCCGCCACGTGTCAGAGCATCCGCTTCTTCCGCTAACATGTTCTTCGCCATTGTTCCAGTTATCTTCTTCATGTTTTAATTTTTTGCTCACTTCTTTAGCATAATTTATATAGGTTCTTCACCTGAAATCTCTGACCCCAAACTAGCTGCAATATATTTCTTCTTCTCCTTTATTTATTGAGTTTCGGGCCGAGCTACATTGGTTCCACTTTCTCATCCGAATGTAGCTGCTGATGAAAACGGTTATCAGACTTCTAACTTCTAATTTATTTTCCCGTCGTCATATTGTCCTTCTTCAAACCACTTATCTCATATGTCAAGAAGTTGTACAGCATATCAGTCACATTTTATCTGATCAATTGGCCATAAATTGAAATAAAAAAGTGTTTTGAATTTATATTAAAGCAATCGTGGAGAGGAAAATTAATATTAAAATTAAATATAGTGGGATGGAGGGGAGGGCAATTCGGCTTGAAATAAATACAACGGTTGAGGGGAACAGTGAGGGCGGTGATATGAACGAAAACTACATGAATCACAAAATAATATCACTATTTGACAAAACAATTGGAGAATTGAGTTACTGTTCGGCAGTAGTGGTGTCAGTTCCAAATTCGTGTTTGAAGACAACACTGAACATCTTGCCCCCGAGACGATCAGCCAGCCACTGAGTTTTGATGACTGCAGCCTTAAATCGAAAAATATAAAAGCAAAAAGGGGAAAAATAGTGATACCTTGAGTGAGTCACACTTGAACTTCACGTGGAAGTTGGTGTGCAGAGCTCGGCCCATTCCCTCGATTACAACTAAATCGGTTTGATGCTTCTCGACAATGTCATTCAGATCCTGGTGAACACGTCTGAACTTGGCCGATTATCAATGTCTGCTTCAGATTTATCAAACCTGGCGTCAAGACACGGCGACTCTTGTCCGGATTGCACAAACATCATTTGTTCTTCTTCGATGAACTTGGCCAAATCCTTATCAGCTCTCTTCAGCGCAGGAGCGAGGTCAACCATTTCGCGATAAGTTAGATCATTGAGAGCCGGAGACGAATTGGCACAGATGATCACTTTGCTTCCGTTTCGCAAGAGCTCTCTGGCAAACGGGATGATGCCGAGGATGTAGTCGCATCCGGAGTTGTCCACGAAGATCAGCACTGAACGGTACTTTTTGTGATGTTGGTAGAAGGTGTCAAAGCCGTCGAACAGCCATGGACGGTCCTCGACGTGATCAATAGCGTTCTGGAAACTGAGTCCTCTCTCGCTGCTCATCATCTTCACCACTTCCTTGGCTCCCCAATCAAACACGTTTCCGGCCAGTAGAACACGAGAGACATACTCGATAGCTGCTCTCTCGTTGTTCGGGATCTGCAATGTATTAGTTACACAAAAGGTGCTTTTTTAAATCTGACTTCGCGGAGTTTATCGATTGAAGCCAAAATAGTTGGGAGCTGAGCGAGAGCCGAGCGATTCTCTTCGTGCTTTTTCTGCACGTAAATGTCGTCGAATCCTTTCTCCTGAAGTATCTGCTCGCGGACTTCAAGCATATTTCTTGCGTTCGAGTTTCCATAAGCACTGTAATACAATCTGATTCAAAGAATTCAATTATTACAACTTACACAGGGTGCTCTTTGATCAGAATCATCATTTTCATGAATTCCGCGGTAAAGTCGCCAGCTCTACTCATCATTTCAACCTGCTGCGTACAATTCTGCTGCGACGACATTGCAAACTTCGACATATCGGTTGTGGTTTTGTCCAGAATCTCAATCCAGAAGTTGCGAGCTTGCGCATCCTTGTTGAAGTCGATGGTATCCGGTTTTCCATCTTTATCGGCAAGCAGCGAGAATGGAGCCGCCTTGAAATTTGTACACTTCAACGCAAAAGTTTGCGTCTTGAAGCCAGTCTCAAGCGGTTCGACTGGTACAAAACGTCCAAGAGCAGTCGATCCAGAGCAGTACTCCTTCCAGAAGAGATTCGCTTTCGGGAGGTTCTCTAGGAAAGCACCAAGACCAGTAGTGTAATTCTCGTGACGGAGGAAGTAGGCACGCAGTCTACCGCTGGACCAGTAGTTGCAGGCGAATGAGAGTGTCTTCATTACAATCGGACGGTTTCTGACCAGAAATCCATTGAAGAAGACACGATTCACGTTCGAGATTTCGGACAACATGTAGGCAAGCTGCAATTGAAGATAGGTAATTAAGGTTAAAACTGTCATTTTTAAAAGTCACCTGTGATACGTTGTAGAGGATCATGCGGAGCAAGCTCAGAATTGCGTTGTTCTTTGACTGTTCGTCGAAATCATCAGCTCTACGGCCAGTCCCGTCTCTGTTGACTCTTCCGAACGAAGCAGCCAACAAATGCGGATCCATCCCGAAGTTTGAAGCGCTAAACAACAGTCATTCCGATTTTATCGTTTTCAACCAATCCTCACTGATTTCCGTAGATATCTTTGATGAAGATGTCAAATTCTTCCGGATTTCCCTGGAGAGCTCGCTCCATCATCTCCTCAATGTCACTGACTCCAGTTATGAGCTCCGAGAGACCCAGGAAGCTTCCTCCTCCAATCGAGCTACCTCCGAGTCTTTTGAACTTATTCTCGTCTTCCACCAAAACTACCGAGACTCCAGTTCTGATATTGATCAGAAGAAACGGGTACATCGAACCGTTGTTCAACGTCTGAAACTCGTACGTCTGTGACTCATCGAACGAGTACGTAAAGCTCTCGGCTTCGATGTTGCGCAACAGGAAGCAAGTTCCTTTCACAAGTCCGTTGAATGCTTCGACATGACGAAGTCTGCAACGGATTCGAATGACATTAGCTTACGTAAAAATGAAAAAAAGGGTATTATAACTTACGTTACATCCAATTCTTTGCGAATTTCTTCCTCGATTTCAGCATTCTGACTGGCGGTCACCACGAAATCGACCGTAGTCCCTTTGAGCAGCGGGCAGTTTTCCCCAAAGTACTTCAGAAGAAGAGGGAAATCCGGATACATGACTTGAATGCAGTAGATCCGATCCTCCATTTCTCCAGTTTTTTTGCGCTGAAATTAGCTCAAGTTGTAAACCATTTTAATATAATATAAACGAGTTACCGTAAAATCGAGAGTGGTGTTGAAGAGCGGGACACTGGATGAGTATATGATCTTGACTGTTTTTGAGCAGGCGTCGAAGCAGAGACGATTCACCAACGGAGCATCACGTACCAGACGGCTCAGATCGATTCTTCGTTGAGCGGTTTCCATTTTTGAGTGTGGGCTGAAAATAGCTTATGTATGTTGAGAAAAGAGAAAGACGTGCTATATCAAGAAAGCGATAAGGAAGTTGTATTTGGAAAAAGTTTTAACACCAACAATAAAAAAGAGTTAACAATGATTGTAATCCTGGTAAACTGTGAGCACTGAGCGGAGAGTGGAATGTCTCGTTGTTTGCGTCTCTCTCTCTATCTTTTCTTTCTCCTTATCATTCTTAGATCTTCGGAGTACACTCGAGACGATATTATATGTTTTGGTCTATGATCCTGCATGAAAATCGTTTGGCAAGTGGAACTAGGCTCTGGAAGCTCGCGGTGGGTTGGATTGGAGAAAACAATTAAATGTAGCAAGTCAATTACAATTCCAGAATATTGATTTTTTTTCAGACTGAAAGAATTTTCGTGAAAATTTTTCAGAGCGTGGGTGGCTGTAAATGCTTTTCAATGATTGGAAATGTTTTCAAATTCAAAAAAGAGCAAAAAGAAAGAACATTTGTAAGCTTGTCTCGTGAAGCGACTGCTAATTAGAGCGCTTGGTTAGTTTCATGGAATGTCAAAAATGAGAACTAACGTTTTTGACGAGCAACATCACGGAACAGAGGCAATGGGTTTTCAGAGTAGTCAACTCGTACACAAATCGCACAGCTGTTGAGCATTTCACAAAGTGAGGGAGTGAGAAAGGAAAACAGGAATGATAATGTTGCCTCAAGATATCTCGCGGATTATGGATTAAGTAGAGAGCCGAAAACTCCTTTGAATTTCAGATTTTGAAGGGTAAAGCCATGGATTGACCGCGTCGACAACATCAGAAAGGGTCGAAGAAAAGCCTATCATTAACCGCACGACACACCGGTAAACAAGGACCACTAAGAAGGGCAGAAAGAGCGTGCTCAGAGAGGAGGTCGCACACAATGGCCCCTTTTTCTTCGATGTGCAATCTGCCAGTGCGTTCTGGTATCGTTCGACCTGAAGACAGACCGCGAAGAAGAGGCCCCGCAGTGTGCTGATGTTTTCGCGTGCCAATTACACATTTTGAGGCGAAAAAAGCGGAGAAAGAGGGAAAGAGACAGCGGAAAAAGGGAAATAATTGGGAATTCGCTTTTTAGGAAACATTTCTTGCAAATTGAGCCCTCGAGGGATTTCGAATTGCATCGGGCAATGTCTATGTTATATATGAACCGACGAGACGGACAGAAATATGTTTCTTTCGCTGCAAAACATTCCCAATAAAAGAGAAGAAGAAAGAGGATATGAAAAGAATGCTCGATAGATAAGAAATAATAGAAACAGGTTAAAGATAATCAAAGTTGAGTGACGGAAAAGCTCTGGCAATTCTCCTTTTGTCCCAAATTATCGGCTCGTGCGGCAAAAAAAGCACTAGAAGTGGAAAATAAAGACGTCGACTCTCTCAGCATTGTTGCACCCGTCTTCTCTCTCGTCCGTCTCTCCGGTCACAGCGGGCCGGCTGCCCCAGTCATTTCTCTCCTTTCTCCCGCGTCTGCCGTGATGATAAATGCGAAAGAAGTATGGAAGAAACGCAGCCGCCATAGCTCAGTCGGTTAGAGCGTGGGTCTAATAAGCCCAAGGTCGCAGGTTCGACCCCTGCTGGCGGCAAATCTTTTTTGCCTTTCAAAGGTGTACACTTGTTTTAGAGCGGGAAGACCACCGCGTGTGCTAGAGAATCAATGCATTTTACGGCTTGGCAGATCTACCGATAAACGTGACGGCCTTGAAGGACAAGAAAGAAAACATGAAAATGAGGTCTCAATTTTTTTTTGACAATTGTCTAATAAAGGAAGATCGCAATTGACCACTCAGGCGTTTCTTATCAAAAACTGCGTAGCGGGAAAGAATGATTTAATTTGTGTGCACTTGAACATCAGAACTTTGCCCGTCTTAGATAATGCAAACAAAACTTGGGTCAAAAAGTGAAGCTATATTTGCAAATATCTAGAACGTTCTCTGTCTAGAAACATCTGCTAAGGGTTGAAATTTCAATCGACAGTGGGTGAAAAAACGGACAAACTCACGCTGTTCACGGTCAAGGAACGAGTTGATCAAAAAGGAAATGTAAGAGCTATTGCAAATCACTGACAATTGACGAGAAATGGTCAAAAAGATTGGAGAATACTGTTATGTTCTACGGATAAACAGGTCTTTTCATTATGTTCAACGGGAAAAGAGGTTGTCGGCGCTGATGGGAGACCTGATAAACTCCGTTGTCGGTTTTGGAAGGCAAAGTTTCAAATTCCTGGAGTCATATGATACGATTTTTCAGTATCGGAAAATATGGTTCCACTTGCCCGGTTCGTCCATTTCATGTACTTTCACCCAAGAGAGCTGATAGGACATTTTTTCTGAAGAAAATCACGTGTTGTTTGCCAATCGAAGTCATCAAATATGTGTTTTTACGAGTCAGCAACTTTTTTCGTGATATTAATCTGAAATAATCAGCTGAAAGGGAGAGAGAGCCAGAAATCAGTCGCCTCCACTTCACGTTCAACAAGCATACCGCATTTTTGTTAAAGACTCGAGAGTGATGCGATAATCGAGGAGCTTCTCATTGGAATTACATTAGATTTACGCCTGGTTTATCAATGCTTCAGTTATCATTCCGGAAATTCTAACGGAAACGAGGCCGACAAACTGAAGCCAGCCCACTAACGACTTGACAACTACCGTAGTAACTTGGCGCACGTCTCGTTGCTGAATGGAGCCGTGCGTCGAGCCGTGGAGCCCGCCTTCCAAATCGGGATTTGGCTTGCGCACATTCCACAGCACCTCCTCATTGCACTACAACCATGTATCCAGCAACGTTGAGTAAGTTGTTTTATGCGTCACAGAATTAGAAGAGGGCTCTCTATAAAGGGACGTTGTCTGACAGGATGTGATTATTGTTAGCCGATGCATTCGGCCCTTGAGGGCTATGGGCACAAAAGAACGGAAACAGGCGCTTCCGCACCTTATTTCCTGGCCGCATGCTAGGCTTATAGACCCTCAGTTCCTCCAGACTCGATCTCCGGAAACACTGGCGATTCTTTTTCCTTTTTCCTCCCTAGCATTTGGTTATAGTTTTCTTTTTTCATTCTTTACATTTTAAAATTACTGTTCATGCTAATCTTGGGCACATTTGCAAACAATGTAGGTTCTAGGTGCTTCTCAAAGTTTTGCTTTTGACGTCTTTCGTACAACACAGATTGTGAACCAAAACATTCTCGTTTTCTTTTTTCCTGAGATGATAAGAGAGGCCAACAATGCAGGCGCCCACGCGTTTTTATCCAATACGTTTCCATTGTGCGCCCACTATTTCAGACAAAAAGTGTGGTTTTATCGAAAACTGAGCGCCTCTTATCCTCATTCCACACGGCCCATTCTCCATGGTGATTTGATAGTCGCCCGGAAATTAGTCGATTTCCAGCGGATAAATGTGACAATGAGAAAAGTACAGCAACCCTCGTGAATCCGATTGTTTTGAGTATTCTATTTTTTGTCACATATCTAGTCTGGCTACGTTGTCGAGCAATGTACTCTCACAATTTGCGAAGTCCCCCCGGATACGATTACCCTTGCAAACCTTTTTATGAGAGTCCTGAAGAATCAAATGGTAACGTTTGATACATAATTGACATTAAACTTGACGTATTTAGTTGGACAATAATAATTTTTGTTTTTCAGACCGCTACAGTAACGTGTGCCAGACCGCTTCTTCAACCCAATGGGACACATCTCTTGCCAGCAATCCAGATGCCACAAGGCTCACTGACGGTTAGTTTGACGAGCATGAGAGTGAGAGAGGGAGAGTGTGTGGTCTTTTTTCCATTAACACATGCAAATGTTCTTTATTCCTCTTCCCCTCTCCATAAAATATGACCATCCTGTCCTTTTCCAATCTCCTTCTGTGCTGCGAGCTTTGGAGAATCGGCGGTAGAGTCAAATCGGTCTGCATTCATTCATTGCTAACTCAAATGTTTGGATTATTGAGGTTTGTAGGTTGAAGCAAGTGTCTAAGAAATGCTAAATGATGTGTGAGACAACCATTCAAGCATGCCCGGATGGAGCAGTTATGCTCTTGGTCGCCTGCCGTGAGCGCAGATTTTCATAGAAATTCTGAACAAAAAGAGGGAGAGGAGGAAAGAAAAGTCATTGAAGAAACTAAAAGTTTGTTACAATGCGAATTTCTGAGGGAAATGCCAGGTCAGAGAAGGAATAGAAGTTTTTGCGTAGACAGGGAAGCGATTGTTAACGATATCAGGACGAGAATAGCAAAATGTTACTTTTTTATACAGATAAACATTTGTCAGGCCCCCCCCCGACTATTTGAAACCCGACATTTTGAAACCACGACGTTTGGCAACTAATACGAACTACTTGACGATAAATTGTACTGTCAAAGTTCACGTGGGTATCAAGACAACGCGGTTTTGGAACGTCGAGTTGCAAAACGTCAGGGAGCCATTTGTCATGAACAATTTGCCGTTTCAGGATGCATGCAATATGCTAGTGCTCTTTCCCGAATCCCACCCACTGGCAACACTTCGGCCTCCAAAGTTCCCATGTCAATCGCATTCTCATCATCTGGAACTGGCCAGATTCAACTGTGGCAATTCCTTCTGGAGCTTCTGGCCGACGCCGTCAACGCCCATTGCATTGCGTGGGAGGGCAGCAACGGCGAATTCAAATTGGTTGACCCAGACGAGGTGGCCAGGAAATGGGGAGAGCGTAAAAGGTGTTTCGGCTTCAGCTTTCATCTTTATAATCGAATTAAATTGCAGTAAGCCAAACATGAACTATGACAAATTGAGCAGGGCTCTTCGATATTATTACGATAAAAACATTATGACCAAGGTCAGCAAACTCTTAGAGTTGTGGAAACAAACGATATTGTAGGTCCAGGGAAAACGATATGCATACAAGTTTGACTTCCAAGGACTAGCTCAAGCTTGCCAGAATGCGATTCTTACAAACGGAGGAAATCCGAACGGCGACCTCTCCTCGGCCGTTCAGTCACTCTCGCCTTATTCAAACCGTTCGTCCCGAGTTATCATTTCCCTTCCGGTGTACATGCATTTTCAGAAGTGCTTCCACTCGGTGTGACCAGTCGGCTATCGTCTTCAATGTCCACATATCCCACCATCCTCACCACCGCTTCGTCTACCTCTTCAAGCCAAATAATGCCATCATCGGTAAACAAACTTTAAAATGCGGTTTTTAAATCATACATGGTTTTTCTTCAAGACTGTTGCTTCAACGTACTGGACTACACCTCAACCATCTCTAACATATGCTGGAATGCCAACATCGTACTGAAGACGGTTTTGAACAAACATTCAGACTTCCACCATTTCTATCCATCCTACTACTGTCTTATCTAATGAATTACTTTCTCGATACTTCCTCGATCTGTTGTGATGTTTGTGACGTAATCGGCTGACGACCGAGAAGAGAACTATTTTTTCGAACAATTTTACAGCAATCCCAGCGACAAAACCGGTCGGACTGCGCACAACTTTAATTGGTTTCGACAGTTAAGTGTACTGCATTCAACACATATACTTGATTAAAAATTGAGTACAGTAGGAAAGGGAGAATAAAGACCGATTCTGACTGTGACCAGCGAGTACGAGACGCACGCAAATTATCAACAAATTAGCGAATGATTGACTGACTAAACTTCGTATTAAGGTCAGTTTTGTGGAGGAGCGTTGAAAACGAGCCGATGACTATCCTAAAATAAGCGCATTCCGAGCAGGTCGCGCGTTGACAAGACTCCACTGATTTCCGCTTGACCAAACCCATCTTCATCGCAACACATTACGCGAACACTCTGAAATTATCAGTGCCACAAACTATTTGTGTCTTTTCCGGTGTCCTGCTCGGCACAAAAACCACTTCCTCCTTGAATTCCGCTTCAGAAAACTGGTAAGTTCGTTGAGTACAAATAACCCTAATAACTACTGGTGATGGTTGCTATGTTATTTTGATGTGCATGATTCGATTTAGTCTTCTCCCACTATTTCTTCTCCTTCTCTTTTTTCACGTCTTTTCCCTTTCAATGCGACTAAAGCGGGCAAAACTCGAAAGTTTTTGTGTATTCCTCAAGGATGAATGAATGTTGTTATCAACAATACCGGGGACCGTATCTCAAATGCAAAAAAGTGTGGGCGTGTCGATTTCGGTCGCGGGGGGCTAGCGGCGGGCGAAGGTTGCCCGGTGCGCCTCCTCCTCTTTTTTGTGACTAACAAGGGGGGTCCTGCTGGTAGTGTCGTCGTTTGTTTCTCGTTTCTCTTCGCGCCGCCCGCATTCTCGTCGTCGAATCAAACACGTACACTTTCATACAACACACACACGGTGCGACCAGCCATCAACCCCCGGTTTGACTGCCTGACTCGCCTGTATTCTGCCGAACAAACATGGGCGCCTGCTGCTCTTCAAAGAAGAAGAACAATCAGGTACGTGCACCCACCTCCTCCTCCCACTTCCAAGACTATTCGAGAAATGTTGCCAATTCGAGGTGATTCGTGCTGCTCCAAGTGATAAGCCTCTTATCATCACCAGATTCATATTATGGCAGACGCAAACGTCATCCTCCTTCTTCGGTGCTAGTAGTAGTTGGAGCAACACCAACGGCTTTACTTATCTCTCTTTCTTTTGAACGCACTGCTCTCGCCACTTGCAAAAACTCTGTGCCGCGTGTACATTGACGCCATTTTCTGTTTTTCAACCCGAAGTTTGGAGAAAAAAGAAGAAAATAATCGCAACGCAAACATATCTTGTCCTTTTTCCCTTCTTTGACTAGCGGCCCCGTTGCGGAACATGCGACGCTTTTGGGAATTGGAATTGGAAGAACGGAAAGATTGGATGACGAGTCGGGAACACACGTCATTCCGAATCATACAGTGAAAATGCACACTCACATCCCTTCCCAAGTAAAAACATTTTGTCTCGGATGATTCACGCATTTTGTTTTCGTTGTCTACATGAATTCCTCTAATAGTACGGTTGTGAAGGCATCTTCGTGACAAGCGGATGCTCGTAGTTTGACAGAAAAATTGAGCGCATTTCTGAAATATGGCCAAACATAGTAATTTGTGGTTTCACATCCGTCAAAACCACCGATTTTTCACCGGAGCACATCTAGATTCGGGTTCCAGATTCGTTTTGAAGGTTTTTTTTGAAGAAAAATTGGAAAGAAAATAGTCACGTCTTTGCAGAAAAATAATCAACAAAACCTGACTGCCTTATCATGACCTTCTCGACGGTATTTTTGGGTGTTTATCTCGAAACAACAGGTCAAGAAATAGTTGTTTTGAAGAGTAGTATTACACTTGATGATTGAATCAAGAATCGGATTCCGATTCCGATTTGGTTGGTTGTAAATTAGAAGAGGACGCAGCCTGTCTGAAAAAAAAAGGATTGCGAAATTGGAATACATACGTAACTTGGGTCATCTAGTATTTCTTAGGGTGTGGGAACCCATGAAGCCGACAAAACACACCTCCGCCAAAAGGCTCGTTGTTTGGCATTTCTCTGAGCAAACAAAACGAATATGAATACTTACTCAAAAATAACATGCACACGTCTTTCAGGGGGAAGTTGGAGAGATCCGAGAGGATGACTTGAAGGGCATCTTCAGAGAGTTCGACCTCAACGGCGATGGATTCATCCAGAGAGTTTGTGAAATTTTCCTTGCTTTCTGTGTGAAGACTTGTTATTCAGGAGGAACTGCGCGCGGTCATGCAGAAGATGGGACAGTCGCCAACTGAAGACGAGCTCGACGCGATGTTCCAGGCCGCCGACAAGGATCACGACGGAAACATCGACTTCCAAGGTACTGTAGGAGTTTTAATGCGAATGTAGAGAAGTTGTAATTGCAGAGTTCCTCGTAATTGCCCGTGCTAATCCACTTTCTCTGTCCTTGAAGGCCGTTTTCGAAGAATTGGACGTTGATGGAGATGGTTACATCACCAGGTACAAACTGTTTTTCTCAGTTTTTGTTTCCAAGTGTATCGTTTCAGATCCGAACTGCGCACGGCTTTCCAGAGAATGGGACACTCGCTCTCTGATCAGGACATCAAAGCCATCTACAGGCACGTCGATCAGAACAACGACGGAAAGATCAACTTCCAAGGTTGGACACTACTTGTTTCTCTACAAACAAAAACACAGTTCTTATAGAGTTCTGCGAGATGATGACCCGTAGAAAGTAAATTCTGCGAAACACCGTCAGCAACAAAAAGATACAATCCAAAGACCGCAACGAAGCAACCATCCCCGTGTTTCTACTGACAACGCATCCGCCAAAAAGACGCTATAATTAACCATTGCTTCCGAAATCGACATACTCTCTGAGCAAGCATTTCCGGATAACTCCTATCAACTTTCAAATGATCCCTTTCCTTTTCTTGTCCTCTTTTCATTTCTTTTAATGAGCGTGCCTTCTGATGATGAACTTTCCCTTTGCTTTTTTCCTATTCTTCTGAGTTTTCGTGTTCGTTTTCTTTCCCGTGTCACAATTGTAGTCCGTATTATAATAACATTTGCTATTTCAAGATCAATTCGATTCACAATTCTGGATTGAAAGAGGCAGAGAGCAACGAACAATATGAACAGGGGGCGAGTGAAAACAAATAATTTTATACGAGAATGGTAGTGTGCCACCTAACAAAAACATGAAGGAGATCACGAAAAATGGCAGAAATGTGGTCATGATTTAGACTCTTGCGAATCGAGGTTCATGAAGAGGCGCGAGTTCTCTCATCGGAAGAGGTCGGTCGGGTTCGTTATTCTGGAGAAGTGAGTAGGCGGAAATGCCGGCCATGATGAGGGCAAGACAGGAAATGGCGGTGCCAGCCACGTGGATGTAGAACGCGATTCCGATCACTTGCTAGAAAGGCCACAGTATTTTATCTAACTCAAAATATGAATGTAGTACCTCATAAGTTCCAACAAGCCCTTGCACAAATCGACTGTCAACACGATGTGCGGCAAAGAAGAAAATGGCATCTCCACACGTGGCGGTGAAAGCTGAAAATGTCATTTTTCTTCGAAAAAATTTTCAAAACAAAGCAAACCTGTGAATGCCACGAGAATCGCATACAAAACAGCAAAGCCGGAGCTGCACGGAGCACAGATTCCGCACAAAAGGGACAGGGCAGCCAGAATGATGGCGCAGAGCATGAATCCCAATGTGAACTTGTGCCAGCCTGCAATAAAACACATTTTTTACAGAGTAGATTTTCAGAAATTTGCTTGCTCACCAAAGAACTGATGATGCTCGCTCTCTCCGGCAGCACTATTCTGGTCAATGTCCTCAATGTTTTCATCAATAATTTGACTGGCGGACACGTCAAATTTATAAGTGCAATGCAACGGAAGATCATCTTTATTTTGAGTTTTGGCTACGAGATGAAGCTGCGGTCGGGTGCAATCCAGCCAGAGACCGTGCTGAAATTTACTGAATGAAAAACGGAGCACTTCGATTAAAAGCTTACATGATGTGTGGCTCTGAACTCGCGGATATCCACAACTTGCCAGCTGGGCGACATGACTCCACCGGCTTGAAGGCCCAGCGCCACGATGAGCAGGATAAGAGAAGATATGATGACGATGGTCTGGGCACTAGTTGTCTTTCGCTCCGACATGTCTTCTGAAATGGGAAAAAATGAGGATATCCGGAAGCCACGAATGAAAATGAAGCGATAGAATCTTTCCAAGACACTGATTTTCTTTTGTTATGCATCTAGAACGAGAGTGTTTCAAACAAAAAAGTCTATTCGTCAGTTCTTTTTTGTGAAAACTGGAAAAAATAAGACACATATATGCGAGGACCGCCCTACAGAAAACAAAAACTTTGTTTGTGTGTGCAGTGAAGCGTTTTTTGTCCTCTTCTTCACCAACGATGGGATTTCATTCTAATCAGTAGCCATTACGTCCTATTTTCTTTTTCTTTTCTAAGCAATGAGGAAATGAGAAGAGAAAATAGACTCGATGAAGGCAACAGCCCATCAAAGCGTTGTCTTATATCCGTGAGAAAACAGAAGGACATGAACGAAAATAATGATGAGATTGTGTGTACGTACGTATTCAAAACAAGCATGAAATCGAAGGTGAACGGAAAAGGAACACAGTGACCGTTAGAAAGAGAGTAACTGGGTCGATTAGTCAGAAAAGATGACCTTTACACGAAGAACATGGAACATGGGGAACAGAAAATAGAATGTCGTTCAGGGACAGAGACGGCGCGTTCGCACTTATGCGGCTACATGCCGCCCCGTTCGTTTGGTCTGTTTGGGAATCGCAATAACACTCGAGTTATTACGTGCCACCATGATGTCCCGGAGCCATTGTTCCCCGCTCTCTTCTGGCTGTCATTTATAATTCATAAATGAAATGCCTTTTCGTGTCAGTCTTTGCTGTTCGGATTCCGAGAAGAAGTCGAGAGGTACATTAGCTATTATGAACAATTATCAAAATGAAGCTAAAGGCGGTTGTTGTCATGGGAATTGAGCGGACCTGGTTGGGTGTGGTTGGCTGCGAAGAAGAAAGCCGTCCAAACAAGAAAGCAGGTTCACGAGCAGCACTAATTGCTCAAGGAGACCCCTCGCGTGAATTAGTGTTTTCACGTATTCCCTGGATTTTCTGCTTCTTCAACACATTTCACATTCAGCGCATCAACACGCAAAAACAAAAACAAGACTATTTACAAGCACGACTGAATTTTCTATTACACTTTTTTGACTTGTGTGAGGCGATTCTTATTTTTATTTATCTACCCAGTAATCAGGAAATAGGAAATCTGATTAGGAATTTCATCAAACACTTTTAGAAGAAAGTATCAAAGAGAAAATAGTAGGGAAGAAATCTAGGACAGCGTTAAGTCAGGAGAAAATAATCTGGTGAGAACGAGATCATGAGACGGTCGGAGGAAAGAAATTTGAATACGAAGCAATGAGGACAAAACACGCAAAACCGCCGGTGGCGAACCGACGAAACGGCCTTGGCGGATATCGATCTGGCTGACAGGTCACCCACCTCCTAGTTTATTATGTATAAGGTCTGTCCGCGGACGACGGAATGCGTTTTTCGGAAGAACTAACAGTTCCTACTGGTTATATAGCCCCACGGATGACTGGGTTTCTTTTTTGCAGAGGCGTGTGGAGACCGCGTTTAGGACCAAACCGATTTCCGCCGGATTATCACAATTACTATCCATTTTTTTGTACTTTGAAGTGAATGTGCACTGCGTGGGTGGTGCGTATACAAGATCATGGTCAAATATTCAAACGAATGTTGAAAATAAGAGTACTCTACTGGAAAAGGGAAAGTGTTCCAAACATCTGATATGTCAGCAAATGCGTGACGTTTTCTGCGAAACCTGACGTAAATGCCGTAATTATTTCGAGGAAGGTTCTCTGAAAAACGTCTTTTCTGCTCCAAATTAGTTTAGTTCCTACGCGTGCCTGCTGATTTTTGATTTCCTACACATTGTGGCCAAATTTGACTGAAAAAAGTTACACAAAACTTACGATCGCCTGGTTTTGTCAAGTAGAACTGGTTGAATCGCAGCATGGAGGGCATTCTGCAAAGTTCTCGAACGTATAAAATGTTAAGTATGGGGGGTATTAAATAAGAGGAAGCAAAAGGCAACATGAAAGGACATAACATAATATGAAGGTAATCGCTGTCTAAATTGGCTCTTGCCCGGCTTGATGAAGTGAGCAAAGGGTCCCACAAATTGATGGGAAACACTCATGCGACCAGTCGTACTAAATTTCAAATCTCTGTGTTCGGCAGATTTTGGGGAAGTCAAGTTTTCTCCGTTTCCGCCACTTTCATCCTGGTTCCGCGTCGACGGTTATTCGCTCTGACAACCAACCACAAAAAGTGAGTCGATTTTGAAAAAGCAGAAAGCAATGCCGAGTAGGGTGTCAAATATGGCCGCTCTCCTTTGAAATAGAGTTCGACCATCCGGATGTGGGTATTGCGCACGCATACATTCAGTGAAGTGAAGCGTAGCCGAGTTCGAGCTGTTGTTCAGCTCGTAGTTGGAGCAGTAAATGGGCGGTAGAGGTTAATGTGCTCCGGAACAACTGATGGCCTTCTGAACAGACGATGGTTATGAGTTCATCCGGTTGTCGTTTGGTTTTTTATTTTTCTCCAAGTTTTTTCCCAAAGATTAATTGTGTTCACACTACATGTAATTGTTGAGATTTGAAACGGTGAATCTACAGGGTTGGCATTGTTCCAGTCTCATTGACAGAATTGACAAGATGGATTCAGAGGATACATTTGAATTAAGAAAAAAGGAGCAAATAGAACTTGTCATTGCTGAGAGTATTTCAAGGATTTGGTAGGTAAGAAATGGCAAAACATGAGTAAAAAAGAGGAGGGGAATTAGAAATGATAAGACTTCGAAGGAATTCAATTCAAGCTTCATTCTCTTGTTCGGTCTCTTGTTCAGTTTTTTGTTTCTTCGCTTGTTCCATCTTTAGCTTGTGAGCCTCTGCCGCCTGTTTGCGTTCCATCATCATGCAGCGGACGATATCCAAACGGTGGAAGTACTGCGCTCCATGCAGGATTCCGTCGATGCGCTCGATCTGTTTCTCGATGTCTTCGATCTCCGGCTCGTACTGCGGGCACATCCTCGAGCTCTTTTTGTCCCTGTCTCCTGGAGCCGGTGGTCGCGGGTAGAGGGCACTGCAGCGGACGTCGATCTTTCGCAATTTCTGGAGGAAGTTCTTCGAGTCAAACGGTGGAAGAACTTCAGGTGTTAGTTCGTGCTGAAAAATGCGAATCTTGGGGAGTTTTTGGTAGCATTAACGTACGCAAAAAGCGACCAGGTTGTCAAGTCTGTCACGAGACTTTTCGATACGATCCTAAACCAAGACAATTAGAAAAAGATTCAAGTACTTTAACTAACAAAGTCCTGTGGTCTGAGGGGAATGCGCATGAAGATCGAGTCCGTTCTTAGCGGGAACGGGGACACATAGGTCTCGATGTCACGATGATGACGCTCAATTTGCTTCTGAAATTAGTTGAAAACTCTAGAAATGTCTTGGATATCATTTGCTTACCATGTTTATAGTAATCTTGACCTCTAGTTTCGGGCGGCCGCTGGTCTCTCCAGCTTCATCCACCGGTTCCAAGATCATTGAAGCCACGGTTCCATCCGTCTCCATCCTGCTCTTCATGGCCTTTGCAGCTTTTCCAGAAGCTGTTTTGACATCCTATAACAGATTTGACGTCTTTTTCGCTGTTTTTAGATCATCACAAGCTATACAACACTTTTATCAAACTGTATCTTTCCCAAACGTGTGCGTGCTGTCTATGTTTGTACAGCAAACGTCCGAATATATTCTAACGACTTCTGACTCACCGAATCGTCTTCCTTCATGTTAATGTGCACGGTGACCGCGTCATCAAACAAGTTGGATGCTCCTTTCTGACAACAAACAACATGTAGTCCTGATTTTCGTGTTTCTAACGAACCACTTTCAGTTTTTGAGTGATTTCCGGAATTCGCTGTTTCTCGCTCATTCTGGACACAGCAGGAGTGCACTTCAAAAAGAGTTGCCTGAAAATATTCAAGATGTTGAGTGTTGACTCAAAAGGAAATTACAAAAAGAGAGAAAGAGAAGAACATGGGGAACGGAGACGCTGACTCGAAAGGAAATTCACGATGGGCTTGATGAAACATTGCTACTCTCTCAAATGAATTAGGAAACGAATGGAAAGAGCTAAAAAGCCGTGACAACCCTCTTTTTGATGAGAATTTGGGGAAGAGTGCAACGCATCCGCGTTCGGGTGTTGAAGGCAGAATGATGCATTCACAGGCAACCTTCACTGTGCGAAAATGGTTCTTCTTTTGTCAAAAGTGAAACATCAAAAAACGGCGGGACGCGATGTCATGTGTCTATTGTGACGTTCCGCATTAAAGTGATATGAAGAAGATGGGTTAGAAACAAAGATTTCACACAAAGGAAAAAAGATTGTGTTGTGATGGGACTTCGGTTCAAATCCAAAGGTTACGGAACCTGTCTTCAAATTTGGCTGATGCAATACATAATGTTCCTTTTTTACTGTTCCCTCAGTTCTTTTCTTCAAGAATCTTGTTTCAACCGAAAACACGGGTATTACTACTTTCCACCAGATTAGTGCAATTTTAAACTATAATCGTGGATACCTGGGATTAACGTGGCAGCCGCGAAAAGCAGAGCGCAGAGAAGGAGAGTATATTGGCGGGCCGGCGGTCGAGGCGAGGCCGAGGCAGCGAGTGGTGAAAAAAGAAAAAACGAAGCGCTCAAGATTTGAATACGCAGAACGGCACTCGCGGAGGCACAGCTGTGCCCGCCAAGCGTGAGCGCCGATGAGTGTGATGGTGAGTGTGAATGAGTGTCTTCGTCCGTCGGTTTGCGAGTGTGTTGAGTGTACGGCGGCCAGAGACCCGAGCAGGGCCAGGAACAAGATAGAGAGAGAGAGAGAGAGAGAGAGAGAGAGAGAGAGAGAGAGCGAGAGAAGATGGCGGTGAGCATGCCTCTTTGGCCGCCACGAAGAGATGGCCGACCCGAAATGCAAGTGGCGGAGTGGAAAAGAGAGAGAGAAAGAGATACTTTTCTTATCGATCCGAAATTTAGTTATCTCTGGGAAGAAGGAGTAAATACGTAAAAGAGAATGATTGCTGCTGATAACAAAGTCATACAAATAGGGTAATGAAATAGAAGGTGAGAGGTTCTGGGCACTCAAATGTACGGGAGACATGAAACAGTTATTGGCTCCGTAAATGGAAAATTTTTCTCAACCACACGAAAGATGTCAGATTTTCACATATCTACATGTTTCCGATTATAAATTCCAAATGAAATGTTCTTATTTCCTTTTCAGCACATATCTTTTCAGATGTTGACTAAAGCCCTCGAATATTATGGCAAGGTGATCGTCCATTGTTTTGCTCCAATTCATGGATGGTCAAGGGCATAAAAGCAATTGAACACCATCAGATATTCACATTATATTATAAGCTTATTCGGACATTTAGCCGACGAGCGTGTTGTTGGAATATGCGTCTACATTAATTGCCACACACCTCCATAACACCAACTTTTCCTGCTCACAATTGACGAGCTACTATCATTTCGTTTTCTACTAAAGGATCTTGAACCAGAAATGACAAATGCTGGAAGTGTTCAAATAACATTTTTTTCGAAATTGGCCTTTTCATTTGGGAAAAGCCGTCCTTCCAGCTGCTCCTCTCCTTTATACTTCTCTCACACTTCAGATTTCCCATTTTTCCAACTGGTCATTTTCGTTTCACCCATCGTTTCGAATCGAAGACGTTCCCTTTCCCGACTACACCTGGTCATACATCTGGAGTTCGTTCAGTGTGCTTCATACCTAAAAGATGCCAGTTTAACAAGCTTTTATCGACAGGTGTTTCCAAGAAAGGAAAAATATAGAATTTTTACTTTGGGGCCGGCTAGCACCGTGTGACACATTCCGTCCTTTTCAGTGCTGATTCTCACCAAAAACGCTGATTTTATTTTGTTTTTCTTTTACAGATCGCGCCTCCGGCTGCTCAATTCCTCCATTTCTCTCCTTTCCGTGACAGACAGAATGGACGACGTGTGTATTGTTCAATTCCAAGTTCGTCTTCTTTCTAGGCTTTCAGTTATTTTACGTTGAGATTCAGGACTTGCAAGAGGATCTGAAGGAGTTCCTACTGAGAGCGCAACGCCGTTCTTACCGGCAGAATTTGAAAAAGGTCAGGGAGTACATTTCGCCAATGATGTCGGAGGTAACCTATCCCCTATGACATTCCTGATTTCTAATTTTTCACAGAGAAGCGTGTTCAACCGAGTTCCGCTTGATGGAGGCGCTGTCATCAGCATCTACGATTCTCGCGACAAGACATTCGACCTCATCAAGAGACTGGTAAAAAATGTTAAGAGTTGCTCTTAAAACCCAGATTTTCCAGATGAAACTAGTGATGTGCCAAGAAGTTCTGGTCACTCTGCGTGATTATCTCACTGTGTGTAACCGTTTGGAAATCCGTCTCCAGTCACTCATCTACCACATTTCCAAGTGTCCGCAATACGATGTGAGTTCAAGAATACTACGTTCAATTAAAAAGATTGGAATTCCAGTTGGAGATCGTTGACATCACCACTCAACTCAATTACATGAGCAAGATCGTGAGCGAATTGGAGTCCGAGTACAAGAAGGACGAGTACGACAGCTTGTACGAGCAGTACGGCCTCGTCCAAATAGTGGAGAGTTCTGAGGACGAGATTGAGGATGAGGACGAAAACGTGAGATACGAAGACGATGAAAAGGCATACTAAGAAGACTGATGAATGAGGAAGACCTTTATGCCATCCTCCATTCTCTCGCAATTCCGTAACTAATCTTTCTGCTTTTGTCCAGCGTGACTAGATATGTTCATAAAATCATTATTCACATCTCTTGTTTTTGCGTACATTTTATTACTGACAATTATTCGAATTCAAACGTTTCAATTCCAATTTCAAAAGATTGAGAAACTTTCGCAAAAAAAATGTTTCAATTACAATCGAATTGAGGTCAATCGGAGTGCGTTTGACGAATTGAGAAGGAGGCCTTTTGATTTTCCTTCCTCACCTGTAGATGAAACTGAGATAGTACTCGGCATCCGAAAGACACGTTCGAATCTTGACGAGATCGGCCTGAAATGCATTTATTGAGACCCACGTAAGATTCACTTCAGTCAACCCACTTCAAAACCGACATAACAGAACCGGTAGTTGTAAACGTAGTCGACCATTTTCATGACCGTTTGAATAGACTTGAGTCCCAACTGTTTCGTATTTAGTTTTGACGGGTCCTCACTGACGAAACCGTTCTGAAACTGACATTTGAGGTGAATAGAATGACTTTTTAACTGACCAACTCCTTCTTGACTTCGAGAGCTTTGTCGCGAATATCAAATAGACGGTCCTGTAACGAGCAAAAATATTGCTGTTAGCGGGATTTTGCACTCACCAGGGCCTCAATATCTAACGGCACGCGGTCATAGATGCTCATGGTTGAACTACACTGAAAACAAGATTGTAATGAAACGTTGAAATAGTTCAAATGCGATCAAGGAAAAAGTGGATAGGTAAATAAGGCCGTGTTCTTTGAAAACGGTTTCTTCTGACGGTGACGGAATGTGAAACGCGAAGAACATACTATTGGTGGTATCTTCCCGTGGTCTACTCGAGAAAGGCCGCCGTCCTTCTGAACTATCAAGGACACACACTCCTTTCTCACTGTCAGGACCGCGAATGGAACTTACCTGCGTGCACGCAAAACGAACGCCGCCCACCAACAAGAAATGACACGAAAACGAGGCTAAACTGGGAGGCGGAATGGAAAGGACAAGCAGGACAGAGACAAGGAGGGAGATAGCTAAGAAGGCATCTGATAAGGAAGAGATAACAACAGGTAGACGCGTTAAATCACTGCCAATCTGTGAATTCCGCGCTAATTCACCGATCATGGCTGCCTGCCAGATTGGTGGACATTTCGGAAACGATCGTCATTCCAAGAAAAAGCGACGCCGGTTCGCCGTTGGCGAATCGTTGATCCGATCAAAGACCGTCACGTCTATTTATAAGCGGCTGAAGCTCAGAGAAGTGAGGAAACGGCTGGATCTATGCGCTTTATGTCTGCCAGATAAGGCCGTTACAGCGAGTTTTGTTATGTGGACACACATTAAATTTGTACCAGTTTCCACTAGCATTTACGAGCGAGCGACCTCATGTTTGTTCCGTGTTCAACCGTTCCACGCAGAAATCAGGCCGATCATAACGCTTATGCCTCTAGTTGGACTACAACAAACACATTCGAAAAACAGACGTAACTGCAGTGTGTTCTTCAGTTTTCACTTTTCACTTGATAAACAATATTCTCAATGTTCTCTCAAACCCATCATTTTGATGAAAACAGACATGCCAACCTATTATATTTCATTCGATGCTAATTTGTCATCATCTTCTGTTTCGCGCTCTTCGGAGCAACACATGAATTTTGTTTGTTTATTCGTTATTTGAATCAACTGACAGAGCCACATTCCCCTTTTCTCTTTCTGTCGCTTGTCGTCGGTTCATTATTCAGTTGTCACACGGTTCGACGTTTGCAGGCATGACGAGTGTGGAATGGGATTGGTGACAGCTCACTCGTGCTTCTGCTGACGAATTCATCGAGGATACAACGTATTCTCCCCCACGTTTATTGGTAAGGCATACCTTTTTCTCCAAGAAAGAATTTGTTCGGCTTCGTTTATTTATTTTTCCCTCTTGCTGCCACTAGTATATTGCAGTAGCACTAGAAGGGGATGACAAAGAAAAGTGAGGAAGACATGCTTCTGTATCGGCCTCCGCTCTCTGAAACTTCTCAGGTACTTTCAAGTTGTTCTACAATATCGAGACGAATATGAAATTTCAGGCAAGAATCTTTACACTCATCGAAAAGTGTATAAATACTCAACGTCGCCTCGTGAGTCTATGCCGGAAACGTTGTAAATGTCACCAAATAATACAGGAAAGCGCAATGCAGAATCTGAGTGACGAGTCGTTGAGAGAAGCCACAATTATGATGGGAGACACGAGAAGTTACCGTCGTATTCTGGTCGAAGATCTCGTGAAGACCTATGAAAGTGCTGCTGTCCTGGTTTGTTCATTTTTACCGTTAAACTGTAAGAACTTATCGTTTTTGAGGAAAACATTAGAATAATCGAGAAAGCAATGACACTGATGGCGCCACGGCTCGAAAATATCTGTAGAATTGCTGGTAACACTGACGAATAACCCGTTTTTTTCAAAATTTACTATTTTTATTGTTTTCTATGCAAACCAATGACATTTAAAAATAATGATCACATCATTCTGAAATTTTGTTGTCCCGCAACTGTCAAGCTTGAACTAAAAGTGAACATTTTGAATTTGAAATACATATGGACAAAACATTTTAAAAAAACGTTAGCACTCTATTCGTCTCGGAAGAATACCATTCAAATGCTTGCATGAATATTCTAACCATTCTTCCAAATGTCCTAGATTTTCCTGAAAACAATCGATGAATCTATTTGGATCTTATTTTGGAAACAAACGTACATTGAAGTCCTGTTCTGGGTGGAAATTTGGATCCAGTACTTTTGCAAGTGCGAGTTCGAACTGCTCCCGCATCTCATTAAATTGTTTCTCGTAATCTTCGACTTCGTTCCTGATCAGTTCGTTCAATTCGGGCTTCTGTTCAATCTGAAAAGACCGTTTTGGGGGCCAACTCTTGTGCTATACCATTCCAGCTGCGAAATGATCAATCCATTCGATCTGGGTCAGAATCCACTCCTGAAAGTGATATTGTCAAAAACGTTTTCAAATAAACCAAAACGTACATCCATAGGTTGCTTGTTCAGCTCTTCCATGGCTCTGCAAAAACGGAATAATCAGCTTTGAAAATTATTTTCAGAAATTGTTTTTAAAACCGATTGAAGATTTAAAGAAGAGGAAAAAATTTTAACTACATAAGAACCAGTATTTTTCTGTTCTCATAATTTTACCGTTTCTATCAACAAAACCGTTTTACCGTTTCGCTCAAGTATGATAAGGACGGTTCGAAAAATTTTATGGTGTTTCTGATTACTTGGACAAAAAATCATAGCAGTCGGTTTCTTTTCCTAGAAAGAGAAAGAGAGAGAAAATGGTAAGCGGAAAACGGGTGGAAAAAGATAAATTGTGGCTGGGGTCTTCACCAACTTCTATTTATCGTTGATTGCCATTCACAGGTCATTCAAATTCCAATAAAGATAAATTTCTTTCAAATCATAAGAGGTCAAGGTTCGCTTAACTGTCATCATATTCTGTCTGAGAGACATTCCCCCCGAAAAAAATTACTTTATAGAGGCTAGTTTGGAACACTTAGACTCTACAAGCAACTGAAAACGACGAACGGCTTCTTTAACTAACGAAAGATAGTAAGTTGTAGATTAGTGTTTGTCGAGGTAGGCCGCGAATGGCTAAAAAATTGATAAGCGACCGCTTTGTGTCCTGAAAATGAAGTTTCTGTGCCGTTTTTAAATGAGCGCTCTTCGCGAAAAATCGCGAAATGTCTGTTATCAAAATAGTGATTGACAGTCTGGAACTACTCTATGCATTTTATGGCGCCAACCCGGACTATCAGTATTCCGATTTATGGCGTCAAAAGAAAAAGTGGCAGAGTCCAAAGTCCCTTTGTCACGTGACTGACTTTTTGCAGCCGAAAACAAGTATGGTCAATCGCTTTTATGAAAGTTAAACCAAAAATCTTCTCAGAGGTCTTCTCAAACTCTCCTTGTCAGTTGGAACACCCCTACCAATAAGTGAAATGCACTTCTTATCAGCTCAAAAATGTTGGTATCGCCGTGTCACTCAGTGGGAGTAAAAGGTGATTCGGAGTAGAGCAGAACTTGGAACAAGTCGATGGAGCCAAAGTGTGGGGAAGTGAGTTCGGCCGAATGCCACAGTTGATAAGAAAAACACCACCGATGTATGGTTTGGTTTCGTTTGTCAATTGATTTTTCAGGGAAGAATTGCTTTCTTTTCTTTTTCCAACGTGTTATCACGATAGAGTGGCGGAGAATGCATGAGACCTCCTTCGGTAATGCAGAAGATTGTGACATGATCGTTCTTCCTTGTCAATCGGTTGTTCTGGTTAAAGACGTGATTTATATAAAATTATTTATTTATTTACAAATCCATAAGAGTACCAGAAGAAAAAATGATATCAACGAAGCAAGAGGTGAAATGTAGGGGGAAAGAGTCGCGATGGAATCTCACACTCTTCTGTTCGAAAACTCATTATGCCAATTCGGATATCTGGCGTCGGACTTATCGTACGGCGAGAATCTTGATTCTCCAGTCCACTTCATCATGTTCCGCGAATACCTACAAACAGTTTTTTCCTTTGTTTCTTGTTCCTAGCTGAGAATCAATGGGATTACATACCATTTCGGCCAGTCCTGTGGAGCATATCTCGCTAAGTATCCCTGTTGCACTTTGGTTCCTGGATGTGGATGGGCAAATGACATGAGGTACGGATCATACTGGTAAGTTTGACGCTTGTATCGACCTTCGGCCACAGACACGAGTCCTACTGAACAAAGAGAAAACGTTGTCGAGTATTGGATAAGAAAAAGCAAAAACTGACCTGCGATGATAAAAACGGCGAGTGATAGAGTGCGCGACATGGTCTCACTACGACTGTTTTCTTCGTTGTGTCTGTCTTCCGAAAAGAAATCCGGGTCGTCAAGGGAAAGGGTTGTCCCAAAAATACGTAGTCTTTTCGCGACAAAAAGGAAGGTTTTTTGAATGAAGATATAGGGTATTCGAGGGTGAAAAGCCACGCCTTTTTTCGATTCCGATTCCTTTGATGGATATCGACTTGTGGGAGGAAGAGAGAAAGTTGCAAAAAACAAGATGCCGCACTGTTTTAGCGCCTTTTTCAGTGGAAAAACATGCTGACCTTGTCTACGTCAGCAATTATAATAAAAATAAAACATTTTTTAAACATATTTTGCCATGCATACGAGCTACAATGGTCAGTAAGCAACAGGAAAAACTTGAAATTACATCAACTTTTGCTTGTAACATTTGTGTCTGAGAACAAGCATAAACCAGTGTCTGTTAACTGCCGACTATCCATATCAAGAATTTGGATTGATAAGGCGAAACTGACTAACAAGAAGATCCTGGCGACGATCGGTTTGAGAGTAGTCGATATCCGTCCAAAGTGCAGGAATCTTCGGCGACAAACTTGATGACCTGCATCGAAAGACTTGCATCGATCTTAACATTCCAATAACTCTAGTCAGTACTCATTACAATCACCCTCGTTTGCTGTGGAGTCTGTGCACACCGATCGACGCTCAACCCTCCGAACGAATCGTTTTTTGTACTACAGTCCTCAAGTTCTCGACTCTTCAAATCTCACCACTCATTGATTTCTGTGATCTGATCTCGCAGAGATGAACGCGCAGAGCACCGTATCTCTTCCTTCCGCTGACAGAAAAAAAGAAAGAAAGAGAGGAAGAACTATGAGTTCAAGCGAGTTGTTCACAAGTAAAGAGTTTTTGGGGCGATCTCAAGATGTTACCACCGGAGCGAACTATGTTTGACTTACTCAAGAGATGACCACTTGAAACCTTCCAGAAAAACTTTGGGGTCTGCCGTGATTCGTACTCGCGTACCTACGATACCCTTGCTCTTAACCCCGTCTGTCGCTCGTTCCGATTCCAAGCTGTCAAGTGTTTTAGTGCAATTTGCGTTGTATTTTCGGCTCGAGATGGCACCGAAATACTTGCCAGTGCTCAGTTTTCAACGAGTTACTGAGTCTGTCTGCAAATTGGGATGGATATTTATTTTATAGTCCCAAAGCTTTATATTTTAAAATTAAAGGAAGTATGGATGAATGAGCGCGTGAAATCCATTATCGAATAGGTTCCACTATTTGAAAACTTTTTAAAAAGAAAAATGCAAAAGTTTGAATCCAAAAGAACTTCCCGTTGAACTTTGAGAACGGAAATGATTCCAGAACACTTGAAAATAGCGAAAAGTACCCAAAACGTTGATTTATATCAATTCACTGATGATCTGACGCAATTGGTTGAGCAAACAGAAGACCCACGCAAAAATTTGCTACCTCCCATCCTATCCCTCACTCGATGGAAAGTCACTGAACTCATTTGTCAAAGACTATCCTCTTACTTCTCATTTTCCGTTCTCTTTTCTTCCCAATCCGTATTCTGGTGTCCATTTCTCCAAACCAAACCACATTTGCTATTCATGAACTTCTTGGTCCCAACAATTGTATCACAATGCAAATTTGTCTATCAGTTTGCAATAAACCATGTTCCATGCATTGAGAAATTAATTCAGGCGCGTTGAGTGGGTGAATGCGAGGGGGGGCCACCCTCTTCTAGATAGAATATGCATTGTCTCCAAAGACCACCCAGTGCGAGAGTTTATTAATGAGCCGCCTGGGCCTGGGTATTGAGCCTTGTTCAAGTGGTTGTTCGCCCCGGACAGAATCATGTCGGACGCGGATTTATTCGATTACTTTGTTGATTCCATGTCCCTCTCTCCCTCCCTTCCTTCCTCTAAATTCTTCTTGACCCTATCCGTGTCCGGCGATGCTATATTCTTCGCTAAGCCGTTTTTGAGCGACTATTGTAAACATCAATTCTATTTCACAGCTTTTTTACACTCCAAGAGCATAATTCACTTTTCATATAACTAGAAAATGAAACTGACTACAGTGTTTTTCAACTACAAAAGTCGCATTTCATTTCCAGTTCCATTATCACTGTTCACTGTTACATTAGAATAGATGAATATATATACATATCATTAGAGTCTGGAGTTTAACAGAATAAAAAGCGCTTTTAATACTTGACTAGTAAGGTTTCAAACAAATGCCAAACAGCCCATTAGCAACATCCTCCCGTGTTGTGACCGTGTACCTGTGAGGAACACGCAAATCTCACGATTAATTAGAGGTTTGTGCGTGCTTGCGTGCAACACTGCTCATTTAATGTTCACGAGGTTGCGCTTAATTCTGGCTCATGACAAGTCGGAGGAATTACCAAAATTCTTGCCTCTTTTGCTCTACTGCCCGCTCAAGATTGTTTACTCTTGCTCAAAAAAATGGAGCCGCTCCAACCAAATGGAGTGTTGCGTTGGTGATAATACGCAAGTTGTGCCTGTGGCCGCACATTCTTCCTCCTTATTTCTTTTGAGTATCTGTTCGTCGCGCGAAAGCAGTAAGCACTATTCGCAAATTGATGGTTAGCAAACTCGGGCACTTATCCACTCAACATCTGGTTCTACTTCAAGGTGGGAATCATAATTGGGATGAGCTCATTTTTCGCAGCAGAAACCTCGAGATCCAGAGTGTAAGGTCGTTATGGATTCGTCATAAGGTCTGGCGGGGAACGGCTGTGACTCGTAAAAGCAATCCCGGACATACGGTGCTGCTGCTATTCATTCGGGAGTGTTTATAAACTTTAGGACTATGAGTAATCCCCGTTAATCTAGTTCCAAGAGGTTTTGAAAGCGTTGTGTACCCACCCGATTTCACTGTCATTTCGCGAACACCTTTAATCGGAGAGAAGGTCTACTCTCAAGTTGTGTTTCGCCGTCACTTATTTGCGGAAAAGTTAATGTCTCCAAATACAATAGAAAGAGTAGGGCCGTTGCAGCGCCTCCGTCACTGTGTCGCGCATTTCCAAAATGCCCAATTTCTTTACAAGCGAACTGTATTAATAGTGTTGCGGGTAAATACGTGGTTAATGTGGGTCATTTCCTTCTTCCTTATTCCGCCGACCGGGCCGGGCCGCCCACCCTTTTCGGGAGGAACCCCGGTTTGCCTACACTATGTGTGCACTTTTGTGGACCGCCGCCTCTTGCAAACATTTCCGGATTACGGTACGCAAACTCAGGATCTCTCAAGTTTTCCCTTTTTTCCGTTTTCTAGTCGTCGGTTTCGTGCGTATTTTTCATAAGAGCACACGTGAACGAAATTTGATATTTCCACTGAAATTGCCTTCATTTTTAGGTTACACATTCATTCCCGGCAAGTCCTTGAATATTCGATGATCTTTTGGAAATGTCAAACAATTCTTCAGTACACCTCTTGACCTTTACTTGTGGAAACTGGAAACTATCTGTCCTATAGTTTGACTTTCAAAAAACATGGTTTCATTTCGGCAATCTTGTTTTCTTATCTCTCAAAAGTTGCTCTATTCCTAGTAGTATACTCTCACGTGAAAGACCTTTAATTTCCCAACCATTTCCTGTTGAGTTTTTCAACTCCACAGCACACTCTCAACCAGCGTAAGATTGTGTTTGTCAACTTGAACTAGACCCAGCCCATTCCTAGACCACTTTTTGTATGAACACCATGCCGCCCGAATTTCAGCGAATTTCTTAGTCCCCCCACAACAATCGGCTCGAGACGTTGTGGGTGTCAATTTGTTGTCTCAGTGACCAGTCACAACAAGTGTTGTAATGATGGTAATGTAAGTACGAACGTGAACGAGTGCCGTCACGTTTCTCTAATTTCAATCTAACAAAAGGATCATTGTCAATCATCGATAACGTGTCGGAGCTTTGTCCTCTCAGGCCTCGGCTTGCCCGAACGCCTTTGACCCTTTGTTTATGCGTTTCCGGAGCCAACTGCTCACAAGTTTTGGATATCCGGCAGAAGTTGGTGATTGCTCGGCGGCAGATGCGGATTGCTACACCTCTGCGCGGCCATCCTCGTTCGCTTTTATGATGTGGCACAGTGTGATCATCACATCAATCGCCTTCACTCACTCACCCTGGACGTTTCTGATGACGCCGCCACCGCAGTGTTTGAAAACATCAGGGCGGTAACAATTTCATAGCTCTCGGACACGCGTCCGAGAGTTACCACCCACCTGTCTAGGTGAGAGGAACCACCCACCTAGACAGAGCAGGTTGTTTTTGTCGGGTGATCTCTTTCCTACATCAAAGCTCACATTTCCTTCCTTGAAATGTCAACCATCGTATTAACAAGTTTTTGAACATTCTTCTCTGTTTTTTCGAAACCATGTACAATGTTTCAACATCTTCAAAATGTTAGTAGATTAAATTTTACGTCATACTTCTTTTAAACGCATTACCTACGCACTTTTGTTACTTTTTTATCAGTGCTACACATTCAGACGCACATACACACGCAGTTAAAGTGTTTCAAATTTTCAGCTCCTTGGTAATTTCCAGTTTCTTATTCTGTCGAACGCAACCCCATAGAGAAAGCGATCGAAATCATGAAACTCCTAGTTTTATTGCTGGTCCTTGCAAATGTCGTCTACACCGTAAGTCACGTTTCCAGAGCGTTTTGTGATCAGAGTACTCGTCCCGAGAGTGACGCGTTCGCAAACGATAATTCCGTTATCAGTTACACTAACTGCTAGCAATTGTTGATTTTCAGAAATTCCACTGCCAAAGCGGATTGCGACGGGTGACTGACGTAAGTCCGAAGGGATCCTTTGAACTGGAAAATCCTTTCTTCCCGCAAAACCATCAATTGCTCACTTCCTTTCTTTTGTACACGCTCGCTCACTTCCGACCTCAATCAACCATAATTGAGAACAACAAATGGTTCTGGGGAAGCGCTATATAATTATTGCACAGCGACGTATACCCCTTTTGTAACACACGCCAGTCAGTTTCTCGCTTCAGTGAATTTGACCTGTTTGATTGTTTTGAGTTGAAGGGAAAGAAAAATAGGAATTTCACATCCGGAAATGACGGTTTCAGATTGGATTAATTGAGAAATGCCTAACCAAAATTGAATGCGATGCTATGCCACAATGCTCCAACACTGTATTGGTCAGTAAAAACAACAAACAGAACAGAGCTAATTTGCCATTTTCAGGGAAGCTGCTGTTGCTTCGAGAACAAGAACTGTCTCCTTACGCGTGCCCGCAGACACCTCAAAGCGTGAGATATCATTTTTCAGGGATTTCAAGCCATTTTCTATTTCAGAACCACTCCGGCTTCGGAAGAAGAAGAAGATGTGCCTTATTCTGAAGAGGTCACATCCTCTGAAGATGAGCCCACCACTGCTAAGACCACAGTGAAAGCTCACAAGAAGAAGTCCGTGAAGAGCACTACCCCAACCACCACCACCACCGAGGAGCCGGAGACAACCAAGAAGGCCGAGAAAAAGAAGACTGAATCAAAAAAGGCTGTGAAGACCACCACCACCACTACAGCCGCTCCATCCTCGAGTGCCGAGACCGAATCCCCATCGTCTGAAGATTCAAAGACGACGGAAGACGAAACTGGAAATGCATCGACTGAGGAGGTCACTACAACATCATCAACTGAGGTTTCGGCTGAGGAGGAGCAGGATGTCAAATCTACAGGAGCGTCAAGGGAAGATACTGCTGAGACGTCGACGGAGGAGGAGAAGTCGACAGAAGCACCGGAAGCGTCGGAAGAGACCCCGACTTCTGCCAGCTCTGAGGCTTCTGAGACCACTGAATCACAGGAGGATGACAATGACGAAGAGGAGACTACCACAAAGGCTGCCAAGGCCACTAAGGCCACCAAAGCTCCAAAGACCACTACCACCGTCGCCACCACCACTGCCAAGAAGGATTCCAAGAAGGCTCTCAAGAAGACCAAAGAGGAGAAGACCACCACCACCACTGCTGCCACTCCAGAACCATCTGATGAAACTTCGGAATCTTCGGAGTCTTCCTCTGAAGCTTCCCCGGAAACCAGCGAAGAGCCAAAGTCGTCGGAGTCCACTCCAACTTCCGAAGAGTCCACGGAACAGCCAAAGAAGGACAAGAAGAACAATAAGGACGATAGCAATGAGGATGAGGACGATGATGACAAGACGTCGGCATCAAATACCGAAGAGTCGTCTTCCATTTCTGAATCTTCTTCTGAATCCACAGAGAAGTCTGTTGAGAAGTCTGTTGAGACCACCAAGAAAACATTGTTCTCCGGACCACCAGACTCTGATGAGGACGACGATGACGAGGGAGCAGGAGCCGACGAGGCGTTCTTCTCGGAGAAGAAGGTGGATTCCACCGAAGCACCAGCCGAACTCTCCGGAACTACCACACTGGCTGTTAAGAGCAAGGTGAACTAATTTTTACAGAAAAGTTTAGAATTTCAGTTCGAAATTCATTTTTTCAGAAGCTGAAGAAGACCGAGCGCAGCTACAAAACCTTTTTTGCTATCGCTGGATTAGTTTTCTCCTCATTGGTGGGAGCCGCAGTGTACATGTACACAAAGAAGTGGGGCATATTCTCGTGCAGTGGCAATTCATGTCTGATTGTTTTTGCAGGCAGGAAGAGAAAGAAGCGGCGTCGACTGTTGACGAAAAAGAGCTGACAACCATCGCTCCTCTCCTTGAGGACCAGAAGGAGTCCGCCGAAACCGCCGAGAACCAAGTGTCGGACAAGAACAAAGATGAATAAATTAAAGAATTTGAACGTTCATGGGAACAACCGTCATAGGCTAATTTTCAGTTTTTTTTTCACTTATGGTCTCGTTTTCCTCCACACCGCATCCTTCCCTCTTCAGTTTTGAAAATTGGAACCCTTGCATTCAACCATCCATTTTACGTTTACTTGTACCAGCAATTACCCCTTCACTGTCATTTTCTCCCCTCCTACTCTCCATGTGTCCGTTTCTCCTCTCATAGGTAACCATTTTCCGACGAAATGCAGTTGTGACTTCTCGGGAATGTCTCTTTTCTCCTTAGTTTTCTCTCCATGATTCATAATTTCGAGAGTTGTACCATGATGATGAAGCTTCTTTTGATGTCATTTGCTACTACGTATGGTTATAATAAACATGCATCTTCTTTTAAAAAAAAGGTGACATTTTTTGAAGTTCTATCTAACAACCGGCTTTGCATGACACTGGCAATGGAAATGTAACAAACAGACTCTCCAGCCGTTCACTTCATTTACTTGCCAATTTGCCGTTTCCTCTCCGCAAATCCTCTAATGAGCCGTCTCGCATTACTCTGTCAAGAACAAGTGCCGCCAGCAGCACCGAATTATAATCCGTCGCGGGGTCAGCGAGAACAACAAACGAAAAGACAAACAATTTTGTTTTGATATACTTGCCAAATAAGCTGTTCCTCTCCTGCTTTACAAGAAGCCTTCACCCTTCCCCATTTGCCGTCTGTTTATACAATAGTTGTGTTGCAGAAACAGATTCCCAGAGAGCGAAGCGATTGACAGCAAGTTTGCAATAAAGTGATTCAGCTTCGGTCTTCGCCTCCTCATCTTCCTCTCATAACAAAAACCAGCCCGCTATACATCTCCATATTCGCGCGTGCCATTTATTGTATTCGCACCCACATTTACAAATCGGTCTTTTTCACTCTCTTTCTCTTTCACTCCCACAAATGCATTATTGCTAGGTCTGTGTTTGTTTATTTCCCCGAACCCGCCCGATCCACAAGTTTGGTTGAAACGATCGTCCACTCAATTCATTCCAATTTAGGAGTAGCCGGTTGATCCAGCGGTTTATGAATGCCTTCGATCCTGCACATTTCGTCGACATGGAGTTCAACGTGAGTTCACATTTGAAATGTTTCGTTTACGGAAAACTTATTTATTTGAAAAACTCAAAGCCATATGACAAATTGTCGAAATTTTCGTGTTCTTCGATCATTGCGCACCTCGTGGGCGCAATGAACCGTAGGCAAAAACGGTTTCCTTAGAGAACAACTTCTCGAGAAGGGGGTAAACTTTGTTGCAACATGCATGCCACAGTAACATTTGAAAGATCTACGGTTTCTAAAGAGTAGAGAGTTTTGAGCGTCGAGTTTCACGTTTTCTTGAAAACAACCAGTCATAATCATAACAAAACATTCCCTTCTTTGCTTATTCTTTTCTTTTTTTCATTGCAACTACTAATGTTATTCTTTTCAAGAATCTACATCCCGCAGAAAACGGGAAAATCATTCGGAAATGTACACGGAAGCCTCTTTCATGCTCCGTTCTTCTGAAACTGAAACTCAATCCCGCCTCCATTTCGATTCCATTTCTTCATTAAACTTGCCTGCCATCCACCCCAAAGACGTGTTACGTTCATTCTGAATTCTATGCCAAACATATCTAATTACATGCGACCCCATGACATCCCTTGCTCTTCTCCATGTCAAATCCACTTTTGCTCTCGATTCTTAATCCGCCGTGACCGTTGTTTTCGAGTCCATTTAGAAGATTAGTCATGAGTTAGCACATTATTTCATTGCGTAGGTCAGAAACTGAAAGATTAATGCTGCAAACAAGTGACTTTTTTAGTGGATAGCGAGCAGAGAAGGAAAGACGGCTAATTTCCGCGAGAGCTTTCGCATTGTGCTTCGCTTTTTTCTTTCATGCTTCGAGTAGGATGTTTTTGTGTCCATTCAAAGCCAAATCGATAGCTGTCCCCAACTCTCGGACACTTTTTTCGCCAAAAAACTTGACATTTTTGCGTCGTCGCAGAAGAACTTTTACTCCATAACGTTTGATTTATGAGTTGGAGTCTTTGTTCGCTCTGCGCCTTTCCTTGCTAACAAATTCTTTGAAACGCATTTGTCATTGTCTTTCCCCCTCCCAAACGGAAGTCTTCCAAATGGAACATTAGAGTTCAGAGCTCTGCACCGAACATCAGAATTCTTCCCCCTTCGGCATTTCAGCTGAGAGAAATGAAGTTAATTAGCGGAGGGAAAATGCGTGCAAAACGAAACGAGGCAAGAAACAAAAAGGCAGCAACCAAAAGTCCAAAGCTCACAATCTCATATTTTGAGCCGAGAGAAAAGAGTAACAGAAGCGTCCAAATCTATTTATCTTGGTCGCAAAAATATGAATTTCACGGCTATTCTGTTGTTTCTTTCTCGAAACTTGTTTGAAAAAAGTTACATAAAGCAAGAAAACAAATAAAGTTTTGTCCTGAAACAACCTGAGAACAGATAGTTGCTCATTGACTTGTCGGTCAACACATTTGAAAGATAGTTCTTCAAAAATCTCAGTTTTTTTAGTATTGGTTCTCGAATGTGTCATTTTACGATCCATAGTTTTAACGGCGTCCTTTATTTGATCGGCCTTTAGTTTTAGTTTTAATTTCCGTTTCTGTTCCCCCAATAGTTTCATGAAAAGTTTGGCCGTAGGTCATGTGGAACCCTTTACTTTACGCTCATAACTTATTAATATCAAACTGCGAGTGGCACCAATGGATGCATACCAATTTTTGCACAAGTTTTGGAGAGCATCCTCCTTGAGAATGAAAAAGAAGGGGTTTTGGAAAGAAACTTGAATAAAGCAAGACATGTTTGTTGCGAGTGTAAAAGAAAACAGAAATGAAGATGAAATCATTCAACGTTTTCGATTTTCACTAGATCGTTGAGATAAAGGAAGTTCATCTGTCTTATGCATTTCCGGATTAATAACGTCATCTAAAAACATGATCTGTGACTCCCTAGAACTTATTTCCTCTAAATAACTTGTCCGAGAATGCCCTCGGACCTTGCTTGTTCCTCCATATCCCGCGTCTCCTTCTTCCGTCTTTAGCTCCTCGAAACGGGCCAGCCTCCCCCCACGTTGCCGCCCGGAGCACAGCTCAGTCTCGTGGCGATTCCCACGGCGCATCAACGCCTTGTTCGTGTGTCTTTCTGCTCCGCTCCGACAACAGTGCCAATAAACATCTGGCCCCATTCTTTCTCATTTACTCCCTTACTCATCGCACTTATTCCATTTTGTTTGCATCGTTGAGCTTGGACAAGAGGCCAAAAATGATGCAGTCACCTGTTGTGAGTCAGAATAATTCAAAGTAGTTCTAGCAAAACGCGTTTATTACGCAAATAGGCGGAATCCGCAGAAAGCTGTCAGCTCAATCGGTCAATCCGTAACCCGAAAACATGATTTAGTATGAGACTATTCAGTTACGAATATGGTTATCATTCGGTGTATTTCTCCTGAATTCTGTTTCTCTACCTATTTCACATATTTCAAAGTGGGTAGAGTGGTTCTAAAGCACAAATATTGTAATAATTGAATTATTTTTCATAGTTTTTTCAGCTTTTCGACATGGTTGATCATCCGGATGCTCAGGAAGAGATGATGAACTTCAACTTTGCAAAGAACGGAGACGGTGGGTAATGGAGACTTCTCTCTCTCTCTTTTTTTTCTGCTCTTTCTCTCCCGTCATATGTTCGGTGCTCTCCCCATGCCAACAGGCGATATAACACAAAAACAAACTCTCCTTCCATCGTTATTATCTCTTCTCATTTCCACGGGCCGCCAAACACAAGAGAATTGAGAGCGCCTCTTTACCTCCCCAATAATCACCTTGATGCCTCGAGTCCGCATTACCCCGGAGCTATTGAAGCTGGCGACTGATTCAACCATCCCACGCATTCATGCGACTCATCAGGTCCCATTTAAGCTAACTACTACACAAACTATAATAACTGCTACCCCCACAAAGCTCGCGGAGATCATGGGTTCTGAACCGGAGGAAGTTGCAGACAGTGCTCTTCGCAACGAGCTCCTCGCTCTCGTCGTTCTTCTCTTCCTTCTCGTCATCGGAGTCATCATCTACTTGGTTTTCCGCTCGATGGTCTACATCAAAAAGGTAAGTGGCTTTACTGAACCCGATCCCTTCCGGTTCTTTTCAAACGTGCCCGCTTGCAAGATTTTGTGCTGTGAAGAGAAAACTGCTGAGAATTGAGTTCGCGGCGGGTATAATCGAATTGAAGTATGGCTTCCGCTTCTGCGTGCTCGAATCACCAGAGATTACTGCAAAAAGGAAGCTATACTTCTTACTGCGCATATTTCACTTCTTTTGGACGTAAAAGAAGATGAGCCTTTAAGTCACTTCTGACACCATCGATCAAACCCGCACGCACATTTTTCTGCCGAAAAAGAAAAGCTATATTCAGAATTGCAAGCGTATCTCATTCATTCCACTAATTTTGTACTTTTCAGGAGAAAGCCCAAGAACGTCTACCAATCAACACCTTCTCCCCAATTAATTTGCCATAAACCACATCAACTTCATGTTCAAAAGTGTACAATGTTCAACTTCCTTCGTCCCGTTCAGCACCCGCCCGATTTTAGTCGTTCTACGTGTTTTGACAGCACAATTCCATCATATCTGTCAGCATATTGACGGATCTCATCTCCATCAGTTTGAGGAAACAGTGCATTTCATGTCTTTGTTTTCCTGCTGCAAAATGACACATATTTGTCAAAATATGTTTAATAAAGTAGCATGTTAATAGTTTATCCTCGAGAATCACAGTTGTGATTATTATTATTATTATTATTATTAGTTTATATTCAAAAGTTCAACACTCTCAGCAGACCTCTGTCTCCATCTCTCCGTCGTCTTTAGTTCGGACCTGGAAAAAAAACATATAGTGAAAAAGAAGAATGTTCACAAGTGCACTCAATGAAGAATGAATATAGGCCACTTATGGAAATGCAAACAAAAGTATGTGCGCGTAACACAAAAAATAACTCACCCGGACTCTTTCTCCGTCGATTTTGTAATCGCATCCGGACCAACCTTCGGTCGACTCTTTTTCGGATGATGAAGTCTCAAGAATTTTCTAAACAACAACAACAATGAGTTTTTGTCACTTTCGAGCTCACCAGAAGGGATCCTGTGCTCTTCCTTTTGGGGCTGACACCTTTTCTCCGGCACCCGTTCTCAATGAGCACCGTCTCGTGGTCCGAATCGCGAGCATAATCGCCGGAAGACACATCCACGTTGTGAAGGTCGCATTTTTTGGTGCTCGATGTGAACACGGAGCTCTGCAATAATGGTCGAGTGTGAAAAGAGGGTCTGTGATCGGTGAAATCACCCTGCAATCTTCGTGGTCTAGACATTTACGCAGACAATCTGTGATTGAGCCCGCCGATTCACTCGCGATTCGTCTACGCTTTGAGAGTGTTTTCTGGACGTGCAAAATAAAAATCTCGTCATTTTGGCAGATGAACGGAGATTCTGTATATAATATGAATGAATAGAAACAATTGTAACTTATGTGGGCCTAACCTGGAAGGCAGAACTTCTCCGCGTAAATCACTTTTTCGTTTTCTAAAAGTTTTCCGGTTCCATGCGGTTCAGCGAGAATGCCGTACAACTCGCACTTCCGGTCCATCGGGAAATAGTTCAAAGAGCGGCAGTTGATGGACGAGCCATCGGGACCCTGAAGAGAAAGAAAGATTGACACGCGAGATGCTCTCTTTTTCGCACTTTGTTCTCGCTGCAATACTTGGCGCAATCTCCCTGCTCCACTTCATTATACACTCGTACATCGCCTCCGCTTATCGGCAAGACGATCTCGTTGCCGACAACCACATAATATCCACTTGATGTTTTGCATTTCAATGGCCCGTCTGCAAGTTTTTCTCCTCTTTTTCGGAGTGGATTTTCAAAACGGAAGTGGAAAGAATCGGTTGACCAATCATTTTGACAAGAAGGGATATGGCGTGATTCGGATCATACCGGTCTTTTCGAACTCTTTTCTCGCATCCGTATCCTTTTCCGACATCGGGACAAGTGCGTCTTCTCCCTTCAACTTTGATCTCAACACTTCGTCCATATTTTCCATTTTCAATCTAAAAATGAACTATCCGGTGATATACATGAAATAAGAAACCGTACATTGGAGAGGCCAACGTTTTAGTTTTCTGCATGAATTGGTCGTTTCTGGAAGAAATTTGATAAAAAAGTACAAAGGAATATGCTCAAACCCCGGGGTTGGCAAGTCGGATCCTTTCACAGAATCGGTTTTGACTAGACTGGATTTCAGATCATTCTTTTCATTGTTCAACTTCACAAAGTTAGGATTCATGTGCTGACCGGACATTGGTCCCGCACACTCTCCCATGTCGGACGTTCTGTAGAAAATGTCGATTCCAATTATTGGATGGATGACTGCTGGGATCTGAACACATAAAGAATGAATAAATTACTCTTGATAAAAACTCACTTTGTGCCCATCATTATCGTAAAGTTTACAGAGCTGTTTCTCCACTTCATACGTAAATGCTTTGCAGATAGAACCCTGAAGTAACTGGAAATTTAAATAAAAAACAAAAAAACCGAACATACTCCATCTGGTCCGTTTCCAGCTGCCATTATACAGTGCTGAGTGCACATTGTGAGTGCTGTCCGCCGATACTCGGCAATCGGAGCATAGTTTCCTATGGATCTTCTTGAAACTCTTTTAAAACACGTTCTAACTAAAATACCTTATTGAATGAAATTATAAAAGAATAGTGAAACTTACAATCTTCGGAAAAGACCGTCGGAAGGAGAGCTAGAAAAAGTAAAAAGCGATGTTTCATCGTCGTTTGTGATTAATGTTTCAATACGTGGTAGAAGCACGCTAGATAGCCAATCGGGGTCAATAAAGTCTCGGGAGGAAACAATGATTGGATCGCTAGGTGAGATCGTAAAACGGGTATTCGCCACACTGCCTGATTTATCGGATGAGGTGAGAAGACAAAAGCGAATTCATCCCGAATCGGCAGCAGCCAGTCTCGGAACGAAAAACGCGTTGCCTTGCACTGTCCGTGAACCAGGAAAAGTTGCATTGAGACGTCGCTGAACGAATAGATAGTTCAAATAGTTTATTATTGTTATTATCTACGGAAGGAACAATCCAGTAATCATTCAGCACTCCTCGACTTGCAAATCCTCATCGCAATCTTCACATTCTCGTTGCCGAACTCGCATTTTTCTTCCCTTCACCCCATACTGACACAAACTCCACTCCTGCCAAGATGACTCGAGTTCCTCAGTAGCTGAAAATGATTGTGGTTGAAACAAGAATTCTAATTCAAAATGTTTATTCCAACCATCAATTCTTTCAACTCGATTCGCTTTCTGATTGTTTGAAACATGGCAACCGTTTTCGATTACCACAGTTTTTGAACTTCCATCACTCAACAAGGTTGGATCTTCAGCTGGGGAAGCGGAATGGAGAACGCACATTCCATTCTTGTAGGTTATTGCCTGCGAATTTAGCGTAGCATGAAAGTTTTCAAGAAAGCCTACTCACTTTGCAGTCTTTATTGTCAACGCATTCTGCCAAACAAGCAACTTTAGAGTTCAAACCAGGCACTTGAGAAATAATGTTCTTGGTCATCACCTTGTACAGATAAACTGGATAAAGTGTCTCAGATTCACAATCAGTTTTGCCTGCAATTGTAGAATAAAAATAAGAACTTTTCAGTTTTTAGGCTCACTGTTAATGCAGAACTTGTCTCCGAACATGTGCTCCTCGTCAATCGCCAAAGTCGCCCACGTGCTCTGATCTCGTTCCTGCTTCCCGTACATTTCACAGATTTCATTGGTTGGTTCGTAGTTGAGCGAATAGCATGGTATGTTCTCGCCGATCGCATTCTGAAACAGATTTCACGGATTCTCTCGATTCCACGTCGTAGTTACTATGTTCTGACTGCAGTACATCAAACAACTGCTCTGATCCACTCCATTTAGTCTCTGTGGCAACTGTTTGACTGACAGCCGACTTCCATAGACCATGAAATAGGCCAACTTCTCTCCCTTCTGACACTCTGCAAGTCATTTTCCGTTGGTCAGTGAGATGTCAGCAGGCGGCGGGTGGATAAGCGCAAACTTCTGCTCTTGCTTTCGGCCTGCTTAGTATAGCGGTTAGTACTTGGCGACGCGCGTTCGATTCATCGCTTTTTCGTTTTTTTCTGATTTGAAACTTACTGTAATTATGCGTCGGATTCTTGAACGTTGTCATGATTTCCGGAGTGTTGTTTTTCTTTGGCGCGATTGTTGTTGTGGCATACTCAATGTCGATGTCATCTTCCATTTTCTGACGTTCAATTTCTTGCTGCAGCGCGATCTCAAAGTTGGTCGGAGCTTTTCTCACATTCTCACGAATTGATTGCGGATTCGGATCAATAGGAAATTGAGAGCTTTCAAACTAAAACCCAGTGTTTTAACGTTATTTAAAAAAACGTATTTTACTTGTGGCACATTTTGCACCGGTTGGTTCTGAGAACGAGGTGCAGCTTCCGGGAATCCCTGAAGTTGATGCAAGTTCTGTCTGTACCCTTTGCTCGGAGTAACTTTATCTTGACAAGGACCATCCCAACTGCTTCTGATGTAGAACTCATGATCTTCAAGGTACACAACTTCAGCGCCTGAAAAAAATGTTTGAGATATTCTTTTTTTTTTTTTGATAGGTGAAATACCATTCAGAGTTCCATCATGTCCATACAACTGACATGTGTTGAACTTCCGATGGAAAACTACGGAAACACATCCGTCCTGAAAAATTTATTCATGGATTATGGATTATGGAAAATTTATGGAAATATTTTCTATTTGTGCTCACTCCTTTTTGAGCCGCCTGGGAAATACAGTAATTCAAGCAGTCTCCAGCTGTGACATGGAACAGTTCTGCTATTGAATCGGAATTGGAAACTGCGTGACTCGGGTGAACATTGAAGCATTGCACTGAACGAGGCCTAATCATATAAACCAGGAACTTTTAAAACTTACATGATGCATTAGCAATGATCAGCCAACTGAATAAGTGTAGTAATAACAAAAGTCGCATTTCAATTCGGTGGAGTGTTTCAAGGATACGAGAGATGCAAGAACTTTTCTTTCTTTTATTTTCTTTTCCGCTTCCCTTCCCGCAACATCGCAACTGTCTTGACCTCTTTCCGCGCGGTGTTGTTATCCGTGTTCGTAATAACCGATTGTTTCAAAACAACAACCACGTTTCGTCAAACTTTTGGCTCTATCTGAGTAATCGGGTTACAAATGCAGGATCCAGGTCCCATAATAGTAATCAGGACCCAAGGTGGGCTTACAGGTTCCATAATGATAAACAGTTCCACGAATACACATGTTATAAACTATTCAAAGACATCAATATGATCGCCCTCTGCTAGCTTCAATTCTTCGGCGGTGACGTCATCGCCTTCTCCTTTTGTACATCGTCCAGGCCACACTTCCACCTATTCATGAACATTCTTCGTACTCCTTGGAAAGTTTCGCCAACTTTCAATTCAAGCTGCTGTCGCGCATTGACCATTGACCAGCACTTCAATTTGCATAGATGGCTTTCGCGTAGTCATCCTGCAAAATGGTTTTTGAATTAAAACGATTCTCGCAAAATCAGTCATATTTCGGCTGAGTGCTTAGCTAACGCACCTTCTGGATGAAGTTAGGATGTCACGACACAGTCGGAATAACTTAGCGTCCCCGAGTGCTGAACAAAGCATAGTTTGTGTGTCTTCCAGAACATCCACATTCAAGGTCTCATCGATATTTTCATAAGTCCATGGCAATTTTTAAAAATTGACATGGACTGGTATTTTCGAATCGGACCGTCCGAAATTTGCTATAAACGACAAATTCCCACCATCATCCTTATTGCATCCCTTCGACCAGGATTCTGGATCGTGACGATGCAATATAGAAACAAGAGTCACAAGAAAAGTAGAATCGAAAAGTGTAACTGGTAGCCTCCTCAATAAGATCGTAATAATCGACATCTGCTAACATCTTCCGATAAGTGTCCTCCGAGTCGAAAAATATATAATATTCGTCGGAATATGAATACGGGAGTAGAACCAATAATCTTTCATTGACTGAAATGAATTCTTTTCTTTGGAAAACCTGCTGAAAAACGAATCATACCTAAACGTCACATTTTCGCTTCTGCTGATCACTTGTCGTGTCTGTCCGTCAGGGGTCCAATAGATATTCACTGGGACGCGTCAGGATGCAGTCGGCCGTGTAATTTCTAGACTTTCAATTTATTGGAATGTCTTGAAATGTACTAGTTTTTCATCGTTTGTTTCATCGTTTCCATCGTTTTCATCGTTTCCATAATTTCAAAACGTGTAGAAAAAAACGATCATCTGTTGGAAAATAGACCCTGAACGGATTGATTGCGCGGTCCGGGGCGTTTTTTGCGGGCTATAATGAATTGAATGAAACTAACCTTGATGCCTTTGGTTACTCCTAATAATTATGATAATCGCAGCCAACATTCGACATATTTCCGACAATAGCGCTTTGAGTCAAATAAATCCTTTGCGGTAGTTCTATGTAAAAAAGGGTGTTTCGGCGACATATCTGTGATCGAAACCTGGAAATAAGTTAGTTTTCGTCTTGAAATTTTTTCTCAACTCACTTTATCCTTTCTTGATCCTTTCGGTCCCTTCCCCAACGCCCACAGCGATGGTCGGAACGGCAACGGGGCATTCTGAAGTGAATAGATCGAGATTAGCGAGGGGGACCCCGGCCGAGAGACGCAGGAAAATGAGAGTGCGCGGTTTGGCGGGCGATAGATCAAAACGGACTCGGTGCGCCCCGCTCGACTTTTTTCGTCCGCAAATCAATAGCATTCCGTCTTTCTGCTGAAATTCCACAAAAATTGTCATTTTTTACTTCTTTAAATCACTCATAAAACACAATCCCAAGATGTTTCATCGAAAAAATACCGCAAATTTATCGACTTTGTGAGAAAAACTTCTGAGAACGAGGTTTTGCCCAAATTTCGTTCTAGATAGAAAATCTTTTAAAACTCCCTCTTTTTCGTTTTTTACACGTTGGCTTCAATTTTTCAGTTCTCGTCTATTAAAGGACCAGGGAACCCAAAAATTTTTTGATGTTTTTGTGAAATGTTTTTGTGACTGTTTGAATTGTCTCTTATTGCCTCATACACTGGTGAAATGCTGCCTCTCAAAAATGTCAATGAACGAAACGGCATGCAGTTGAAGTTGTGGCCGTGGCCTAGCGCCAATGGCCGAAAAAAATATAAAAAAATATATGCGCTTCTCGGCCATTTTATTTTTTTCCACTTTTTTTACCGGTTTTTCCAAAAAAATTCACGGTTTCTCCCATTTTGGCACTTCATATCGACTGAATGAAAAACAATGTTTTAGCAGTGAAAAAATAAGTAAGTGCCGAACAAATGTCAATCAACTGAAAAATGGGAGAAACCGTGAATTTTTGGAAAAAAACCGGTAAAAAAGTGGAAAAAATAAAATGGCCGAGAAGCGCATATATTTTTATTTATTTTTCGGCCATTGGCGCTAGGCCACGGCCACAACTTCAACTGCATGCCGTTTCGTTCATTGGCATTTTTGAGAGGCAGCATTTCACCAGTGTATGAGGCAATAAGAGACAATTCAAACAGTCACAAAAACATTTCACAAAAACATCAAAAAATTTTTGGGTTCCCTGGTCCTTTAATCCATTCTCTTTTTGCCAACGTTTCAACCACAACATGAAGTGAACTTGTGTATTCTTTGGATCCTGCTTATGCTTGATATTTGGGACCTGTACATTTGTGGAACCTGTTTATTATTTTGGAACCTGATTACTCAGATAGAGCCAAACTTTTTATATCAGTCAATCAGTCATAAAACAAGTGACAGAAACGTGAGACGGGGCGAGTAACAAACAAATGAGTCAGTCGGGTAGGACTGAGTGTACAAATGACGAGGATGCACTGCATGCTGATTAGAACAAGTAACCTAGGACGGGAAAGAGAATCACATGAATCTGGATAACATCACAAAAAGGTATGGTTGACTAGAATATGTATGAACGTTATCATCACTGCTGAATACACCAAAAAGCAAAATGAAAAGAACATAGCGAAGAAAGATCTGGAAATTACAAAGTCGACATTAAGAAGTGCAAACAAGAGGTAACAGGATAAAGAGAGAGTAACACAACGGGGGAAAAGTGATATGAACAATAGCGTATTAGAAAACTAAAAAGTAAAGGTCAAAAAGTTGCAAAAGGGAGTCGGAGCCGGTGAACGTACATGGAACGAACAAAATCACCGACAATGGTTTTATGGTCATCTCGCGAGTAGTCTCTGTAGATCATTGTCCGTTTCAGATCGTCAAAGCTTGCTCGCATTGAACGATCTTTCACAGTACTGAAAAATTACACATTTTAACTGTCAAGTTTGAAAATATTAGTACTAACCATTGAGCGATAAACGCCTTCATTCGCATGGAAATTTCGTTTTCCGGATCCAAAATCGGTGGGTCTCCGTAGACGACCATGCGTACTTGCTCGAGGATCGGCGCATTAAGGAATCCATCGTAAGGGTATTTTCCATTGGCCACTTCCACCATTGTTATTCCAAGGCTCCATACTTCCGACTTAATGTCATATCCATCCCCATTTGGAGCAAGACGTTCTGGCTGAAAACATTCCGTCAATTTCTGAATGACACTAATATCAACTGACAGCCATGTACGGTCGGCAACCGACGTCTACCGATTGAGCCACAGAGTTCTGCAGATACCCACAGATTCCGAAATCGCACAGCTTCACACAACCTTGTTTGTCCAGTAGAATGTTTGACGGTTTGATGTCTGAATAGATTGATCATAATAGAAAATTCCTGCGTACTGAATTACCTCGATGGATAATATGATGGGTGGTCTTGAGATGTTCCAACGCACGGATTGTCTGAAATAATCATACCGATAGAAAACATGTTTTTTGAGAACACTCACAGCAACAGCAACAGCTCCGAGTACTTCTTCCGGGATGATCGTCTTCACAATGTCATGACTGATCATGTAGAGTTTGTCCAATGACAAATCCATCAATTCCATGCACATCCACGCGTCACCCTGACAGAAACCATAAGCATCCTGTGGAAGGTATTGTTTCTCACCTCATGAAAAGTTATTCCATAGTATTTGACGATTTCCGTGCAATTACTGGCTGCTTTAGTTGCTTCCACCTCCTGTCGAAACCTGTACATCGACTTGTTAAACGCATCATCGGGCCCATTGTTGATGAGTGTGATTTTCTGAGAAAAACCGAAATATTTGCGTGACCTTTAAGAATGTCTCACTTTCACAGCCATTTCGATGCTTGTTGGCCGGTGAAGCATCTTGTGAACAACTCCGAAGCTGCCGTTTCCAAGCAATTCCATTTGTTGGAGGTGATCCCGTACGAACTCGTGCTGCTCTTCGTTCGGAGGCAGCACGAGCGTGTTCGAAAGATATTTTCTCACATATTCCCTGAATAATTGTAAATTTAATTGGATTTCATTTCGAATTTTAACGAACAGGCTGTTAATGTTGTCTTCATTTGATGTGTCCGGCTCCGGCGTTCGCATCCCACTTAAGTTCAATTTTTGTAAGCCATGCCGATTTCTTGGAGGAGCAAAGACCTGAATTCTCATCTCATCACTCCACTTTTCTCATTTCATTACAAACTCACATAACCATGCCCGTTCGAAGCGGGCATAGCCGGCGGAAGTTGTCGTTTCCGCGTCGTCTTACTGAAAACCCACGATTTAACGAGCGAAAAGTGTGTAGAATGTTCGAAAAACGAAAGATTTCGTCATTATTGACTGCCGTGTTCATTAAACTAGGTAGGTTACCTGTGCGTGACGACACTCTGTTTGCAGACACTCGATTCGACGACATTCTGCGGACTTGTTCTGAGAGATGAAACATTAATGATAAGTGGGTGATTTGGCGTTAAGAAGAATAAAGTTTCGAGCAATCAATCCGTTCCGAGACAGAAATACCGTGGAATGGCGTTCTCCTCCACGAGCGAGGGCGGAATAACATGTGGGTAAAAAATCAATAACAAAAAGGCAACAACGACATTGCGACGCGCCTCGTGCGAATGTTCCTCATCACTATTTTCTGCTCGAAAGTTAATTGTTTACGCATTTCTGTTGATGTGGATTGGCTGCTATTTCGACTTGGTAGTTTTATTCCGTTTTAAACAAAAACAAACGGTGGCTATTGTCAAGTATATTGCGTGCTGTGAATAATGCGAATAATTTCTCATTTCCACAGCGCACACTCAAGACTCCATCTCATTTTTTTTACAGACGAGTATATTTTTGGGTAGATGCACCAAAGAGAGAAGAACAACTGAATGTGCCCGCAAACACATCAATTTCCCGGCGACCGTCAGATGGACAAAATGGGAATTGGTGCCTTCCCTTCTTTTTTGCTTGAGGAAAATGGGAAAAGCGTACAGATTTATTAATTAGGCATAAGAGACGAAATGAATTGCAGGGGAGAAATTGGAGGAAAAAAAAGAAAGCTTTGATCCGACAGAACGAAAAGGAAATATTCTAACGTCTGGTCAAACAATTGAAATTTTTGGAAAGGCAACGTAGTATTTGGAAACTTATGATGAAATACTTGGCAATGTACTTTCTTGCTGCTTTTGATTGGCAGTTGAACTTTGGGCTCAGTCCTTTGTGCATGGAGTGTTTGGAGGGGGAACCTGAGAACTCTTACACTAAACTGTGTGAAGTTTGAAATGATACCTGTCCGGAGGTTACTGATTGAACAAAAGTCACTTTTGGTTCCTGGGAAGTCTCTGTGGACTTGAGAAGCGAGGCGACATTTGTGAGAACGCTTTCAGTCTCCTTCCTTTGCTGCTCTGAAATGGGAGTCATCGGTAATTTTAACACATTACATGACATCACCTTGCTCCTCGTTCGGATAGCTTCTTTTCAGATTGTTGACCTTACCCTGAAAAAAGTTTGTTTCTGATCATGATTACAAACGTTCAAAACGTTACCTCAACCGGCATTGCAAAATCTGAAGCTGAAGTTTGGACTTTTAGTGAAAAACAGACGAAGCGAACTCTTGAGTGAGCTTTTCTGAATGCGAGATGTGGAAATTGAGAAGTAGTTTTTTGGTGGGGGAAAGGGTTGGTGGAAGGTTGCCGTAAAAAGTGCACTAAAGAGCAAATGCAAAATTTCTCATTTCATTTCATTTCGCCATTCCATTCCATTCGACTCATTTTCAAAATAAAATTTTTATTTAACCTACGAGTAATTGTGCTCAACAAGTGGTATTCGAAGGTTATCGACTGCGAAACGATGTTATTCAGGTATAAATATGAGCCAAAAGCCGATGGCATTATCCCTTTTATAGGGCGATTTCCCGTGCGGAGTGCTTATAAAAATGGCAAAAAAGAAGGCACAAAACGCTCTCCGCGCGAGGAGGTTGGGTGCCGTTAGCGCCGCGTTTTCATGTAAATTATAGGTTGGCTTTCTAATCAATCTGGTTTATGTATTCTGTTCAACAAAAAAATGCACCAGTGCGTATGAAATATTAATGGGAAAATCAATTTTTATCAAAAAAGAAAGAACACAGCAGGTGGAAAAAAGGGGAGAGCAAAGCGTTTGCATGTCTCTAATAGATCATACATTTAATAAAAGAGAAGAAGAAGAGAATGGAGAGAAAAAGAGAGAGAGGAAGAGAGAGTCAATTTCTCACTGCAGTTATTTGTATGAAAGCGTAGATCATGTTAGGAAACGAGAAGACAGTTTCTCGGAAGAAGAAACAGTTTGCGGAGTGGAGGAATTTGTTTCAAAACGGAAGCGAAAGCGAGAAGGGAGAAGGGAGAGAAGAGAGGAAACGCCATTCACAAAAAGGTTCATCTCATTTTTCGGCGACGTTTCCAAGCGAGCTGCACCCCGCCTGGACAATCACGCTCTGCCCATTTCTACCATCGTTCGTTTCCCTGCGCTGACGTTTCGCCACTGGTCCCATGTCCTCATCTATCTTGTGACGAATGGCCGTTCTCTCGCTTTTAGGTTCTTCGTATGCACATTGGTAATAGAGGTCTTTGAATGGCGGGATATGGGCCGTCGAGTACATGAACTTGTCGTAGCCGAAACGTCTGCCGAGTTATATAAATGAAAATGAGGAGGTGGATGACTCAACAACTCACGGGTCTGCGTGAGAGTAGTTCTGGAAGTAGTTCTGGCTTTCCGACTCTGTCTCGTGCATTCGGTACATGTACTGGCTCCCAACTTGCATGTTCAACTGTGTGAGCTTGTCCTGATCAGGAGATTTTGAAGTGAGCAGTGGCTCCTGATTGAACTGGAAAAGAAAAAGAGATTACGTTGGGAAGAATCGAAGGAACTCACAGTCATTGGCCAGCACTGATGATACTCACCGTTAGGGAATTGCTGGTAATTCTGAAAATAGGAATTCGCTTGAGATTACATCTTTATATTCGCAAAAACAGACATCTGATATGTGTGCGCTTGGCTCTTTGAATTTGTGCACGCGATATTGTTTTTTTGACGTCACAATATAACAAAAGTGTGTTATTTCAAAGACTCTAACTTAATTCAGATGACGATTACCCCGTCATAACCTTTCTCTATTCCGTTTCTTTTTTGGGCCACCAATAGAGTCTCACAAGTAACATTAAACGCGGTAAACGGCTACGAAAAGTCGGCCAACTGATAACGATACAATTCTCGGAGACGCGACTCGCCTGTACTTCCATGTCGTCGTACTCGTTTGGCGGAATTGTGATACTGAGCGGCGTTTGGAAATCCATCAGATTGACCGTCTCCGAATTCTGTTCTTCTGTCTCGCTGCTCTCTGAATCTCTGCGATTCTTCAGCTGCAAAAAGACGACATCTAATGGCTAATGAAAGGGTTCTAATGGAAACTAACTGGAGAGAGCATTTGGGAAATACTCTGCATGCCGAGGAGGAGAACGTGTGCGTTTTGCCTTTGCAAAGGGTCACCTGGAAGAAAGAAAATATACATAGGCAAATCGTCAACAGTGATATCAATGGCAGAGACTGATATAAAAGTTCATCGAATGGTGAGGGTCTCTCTACCTTCAGTTGTCTGCTCTGGAAATGAAAGAGGCAAAATGATAAGGGGAGAGAAGGGAAATGATGGTAATTGTGTCAGCTGCAACATTTTTCACTCATAAAGGCATTTGACAACCTCTTTCTGTTTTTTTTTAATGAAACCGATACAAGCAACGTTTTTTGAGGAGGAGGGGGCTCTGAAAGAAATACGAAAAGAAGGGGAATGATGGCTTTGTGAGAACGAGATTATGAGTTCAGCCATTCAATGAAAGCTGTTTTATGACAAAATTGGAAGTGTGCCGTGCCGTTTGCCATGTGAATGAAATCACCGGAATGGAAGCAAGCCGAGACTCAATTCCGCAAATTCTAACTTTTCTGTGGAAGTAATTGTTTGGCGTTTCACACAAGAAGTCGCTCGTTCCCTAACTTTGATAGGCAAAAGGAACTGGTTTCAAACGTTGGCGAATTCCACGATGCAAACAGAACTGAATCCAATATTGTTATGGGCCTGTGTTGTACACGGTCGACATGTTCATTGCAGTCATCATTGTCGCATATGTATTTTTAAAAATCGAAGCGGGGCGAGAAAACCAAAATCTGATATGGGTAGACCAATCTGTCACACGAGACACATTTGTGATGGGGAGTGATAAAACTGCCACAGATATGTATTGAATGACCCGCAAAATGGGAAAAAGGGAAAAACGGACTAAACTGTTGCGCGCTTTCATCCTATTAGACTGATGTATAGAAGAACAACCTATTGAAAGGGTAAACATGCTAGACTGTTTTCCTTTTTCTTTTTTTGCCACCTTTAACCACAGGGGACACGTACTCGAGTGTTGAGTGGAAAATGGAATGAAACGGAATTGTAATCGACGCGAGTTTCTTGAAAGAACAATAAATTGGGACTAAGGAAATGAAGTGAAACCCATCGAAATGCACTGACAAATGGTTTTCCATTTAGACGAAGTGACGATGGAGCACAGCCATTTTCTGAATATCTGAACAGGCTTTCTCGGAAACTCATTTGAATTCTCCATGCCAACATCACAATTTGACAAAGAGCTCTCAACATTGCATCATTGAACTCTCAAGCTTTTTTAGGGACTAAGATCAATGGAAATAGAAAAAAAAACTGATGGAAAATAGGAGATTGGAAAAAAGAAAATCGGGCGAAAACACGACGGCAATTGGATGTTATTGATATTGTACATCTGGTGTTTACTTCATGTACGAGCTACTCTGTTTGAAATTCTTCAAAGCGACTGCTCGTTTGCACCGGTCGTACTAGATGCGAAACGAAAGTGTTCCAGCCAAAATAATGGCACACTATCGATCTATTGGACATTAGAGCAACATAAAATTAATGGAGAGGAACTGTCCACAAGTTCAAAAGTATTCACAAGAATTGAAATAGTGTTCTGATTAGATTAAATGTTCGAAAAAATGGGGAACGGAGAGATTTTAGTCTGGTTCTCACAATCCGCCTCGAGTTTTTCCACGTAGTCATCGAGCTCTCTGATAAGAAAGTCCACCGTTTCCGCATCTTCCGGAGAGATTTCAGATTCCGACTTCGCCTTGGGCTCTGGTTGGCAAGGGTTCAGGGGGAGCATCGGGAAGGCTTCAATGGTTCTGACTGTCGGGTGTTCTCTGCCTCGCACGTTTCTTTTCTTTGTCACTTTCTGTTTTTGACGTTTCGGAACAGCAGTAGCAGCGAGATAAATCGAAAGAATGATATCCATTGTGAAGTGAATGCACACGAGAACGTATAGATCCAGGCCGGATGGCTCATGTGTATCGATCGGTTCTGCAAATTTTTACTGAGTATTTTGACATAGTTATCTTTTAAAACTGACGGAATTGGATAATTCGGTGCAGAACGACGACAAAAATGTGGATTAACAGCTTCAAAGCCGCAATAAACTCAACAAAGCACTTTTTCAATGCATTATCACAGCTGAAAAGAGTATATTCTATCTATGTATGCGTCTTTTAAAAGATCTTACCAAATGACTGTGCAACACCAGAGAAGCGACACCGTCAGGTTGGAAAGGAAAAGAACAATAATCAGTTTCATAACCAACGAATTCTGAAAGGATTAATATCCCCAACTGTCCAAAATTGGCAAAATTTACCACAATTTCACATTTTACAAAGCACCAGTGTTTATCGAAAGTCGGGATAATGTCGAAGAAAAGGAGAATATCTGGAAAAAATCTGAAATAAAAATCGATCAAACGCTCTTACCAAAAATATGAGAAATAATGAAAACCAAGATCGTCAATTGGATGTACAGAGTGATTAGCGGTTTATGGTCTAACGGAGGATTGTCTCGATGAACGACCGCCATTTTCTTCTCGACGGAACACCCGGGAACCGTGGTTGTGGTTTGAGCCGTTTCGACACGAAGAAATCGTTAGAGGGTGATATTCATGACTCATCATTTTATGATTTCACAACAAGAAAATCAATCTACATATTGCAATTCGAAATCAATTCCTCGACATCTTTTTCCGACCCCCAATGTTCTTTTTGATTGAAACGGAAACGAGGCGCACGGAACTTTTTCGCCATTTCTATTTGCGTCACAAATTGGTTTTTATGAAGAAAATGACATTTTATCAGTGAAGCTTAAGTGCATTAGTCTCTTATTTTTGACTGATAAGCGCCGCATTAAGGTGTCGACTCCTTGTTCCGAAATACATTACGATGGAGAATGGAGAATGGAGAATGAGAGGTCGAGTTCATTTCATTGTGACTGCATTATGAGGTAGGATACAAGGCAGAAAAGGAAAAAATAAAGCAAATTGATCGTCCTGGGTACAGTGTTCGTTTGCGTCTCTGCTGACTTTGATTTGTTTCGATAGTAAGACACCGTCTGAAACTTGGCAATAAAAAGATATCGGGAAAAAATGTTCACCTTCTGAAATAATTCTGTCTTTGGATGATAGTTGAGTTCCCGCCGTGCTCGCTCAATTGAGTATGTGTTATTGGTGCAAAGAATTTCAAGTTCGAATCTGCTCATAGGCGGTGCCGAATTGAGCATCTCGTAGGAGACGTAGGAAGATAGTTGCACGAACAGAAACACGAGTGAGAACGGGACACGATGGACCGGAGGAGACTTTCCGAGCGCCTTGATCAACGGATGCCACACTTCGTACTGCTTGATAATCTCTCCGTCGGTAATGAAGTAGGCCTGAACGTACAAAAAAGAAAAACATCATTCGAAAAACTTCCAACATACCCTTCCATGTTTCCCGTTTTTCCTCTTCAACTCTCGATCAGCAACAAAAAACGCGGTTCCACAGTTTTCTCCCGACGACATGTTCGAGATCGCTTCTGTTTCATGACGAGATATGACGAACATGAAGAGATTTTTCTTAACCATTTTCTGAACCATCAATTTTTAATAAATTTAAACGGCAAAGCTACTCACGACAACTTTCTCAGCCACAGAAACATCTTGTGGACCATATATAGCCCGGAAACGGAGTGCTGTTGTCTTGAAATCGGGCGTTGATGCATCGAGCACTTTCTTTTCTGCTTCTGCTTTTGTACGCGAGTACACATCCAGATACTGTAACACACACACAATCGTTTTTGAAGGTTCACTAGAGACTATTACTTCACAGGGATCAGGAAGTGGTTCGTCTTCTGTGACATTCTCCAGGGGTTTTCCGGTAAATACCACTGCCACACTGGATGCGTAGACAAAACGAGATACTTTGTGCGTCTGACATTTTCTGATCAACTGTTCGGTTCCGGAAACATTAACTTTGTGAACTAGCTTGTGCCATTTCTGAGCCTAAAAATGACAATTTGTACTGCACTGAAAAAATAGTTGCAAATACCCCGTATACGCCAGTATGTCCGATTGAGCACAGATGGAAAACGGAAACGGCATTCGGGAGAACACGATCCAGCACGTCACCATCAAGGAATGACCCCTGAAAAGAGGAGTTCTGTAAGATTTTTCCAGATTAACTCACTTTTTCATATATGACATTTTTCTCGTCAATCTCGACCGTTTCGAACGTCTTCAGCCGCGGATGAGGGTCAACCACAACAATCCTGTTACGGACTCCGTTCTCCTGAAGAGCGGCAATGATGTGAGCCCCGAGAAATCCTCCTCCGCCGATCAGAACGTAATCTTTATCCTTGTTCTCCATTCTGAAACATGATACTGTCTGAAAATGATGGCTACTCTTCTTTTTAGTCTTTTATACGCTCAATTATTCATAAGAACCATGAAGGATGGAATGTGTTAATCGAACTCTGAGGAAAAATTGTTCCGTCTTAATATCATGCAATTTCAATGACATGAGCTGGTTCAAAATTGCTTTCGATCACTAATCATGAGCGTTTTTGTTATCGGATACAACTATACAGTCCTCTTTTTTCAATTAAACGGAGAAAAGTTGTGATGCGGTGTTAGCGGTGCACAGTGAGGGTAACAAAATATCGATGTGACGATAGAAGAATAGAGAAAAGTTGATAGGTAGTTCGAAGAACTAACATACAATATCTCCGAACACGGCCTCGCGATGAAAACCCGGTCAGAAAGTGCAAACGCTTATCATCTCACTGGTGGCATTGGAAAATTCGCCGTGGTCGACATTGCAACTAGTTTAGAAGGCTGTCATAAGACAGCTATGCAACAGTATCTTTTATTTTCAAATGGGTTGTGGGATATTTCAACAGTTACTAGTTCCCAAGTCCCGCAGAGGTAGTTTTGTGGGCACTTCGAGCCACAGGATGCTACCGTTGATCCCTCCTTTGTGAATTCTGGTTTGTTATTCAAAATAATTTCTTTGAATTTATTTTCCCATGTCAGATACTACTCTTCCCAGTCACGAGCGTCATCGACCAAATGCGATAAGAAGAGCCCACTGCTCCCAACGTTGAGCTGATGAAACTTCACTGAAAAGAGCCGTCGAAATGTTGTGATGTTAGAAGTTAATGATAATCGGTATATCATAGGGAAACTCTGGCACGTGAGAACGTGGACTTTCATCAACGGTACTGAAACTGATGTGATTGGCAGGATTTCGAGTTGACAAATCACGGCGACGTTACGGATGTCGAGTAGAACTAATGTTTGAGTTGGATGAGTTCGGTGGTACTGTACTTTAAAGTATGAGAAGAGAACTCTGTTGCATGCAAGAGTCATTTATGGAGAAAAATACAAATCTGCTCTTCAGACATTGAAGGTCAGAAAGTTCGCTTAAATTTGGTGACGGAAGCGAGCAGCTTGTTGAGCTTGACGGAAACTCAGCAGCTCGGCAGTGTACGGGCGCTTCGGCTTCTTCCAAAGCGGATAAGTGACTGCGAAGACCCAGTCCAGGAGTGTTACACCGACAGCTGCTGCACTGAGAACCATCACAGTGACTGAATGTTTCAATGAACATTTAGTTGTTAGTTTTTGCAGAAACAAACCTCCGTATTGTGTTTCTTCTGGGTTCCCGATGATCGCGACTAGCACAAACAGTGTTTCCACGAGGAGACGACCCAACGAGTAGCACGTGAAAACGCATCGGTCTTTCCTAAAAAATTTCAGTTCCACAGAAAAAGTTGTGCCGTAATTACCATGGGAATCGGAAGCCTGTGAGCTTGGAGGCCATGACGGCGAGGTGAACCAATGTGATGAACACGAGTGTGAACGCATAGAGGAGAGGCAGGGCACAATCTTCGCTTATATTAAAGAGAAATCCTGGAAATATCAGTAGAGAGGCTCAGCTCATCTGAAACAAACCGAAAACTGATCGACCACACAGGATAACCAAATCCAAAAGCAAAGAAACACCCATTAACAGATACTTGTTTAAATGCATTTTTGAAGTGAACGATGCACCTAAAACAACTGTTACTGCTTCTTCGAAAATGATGATTTCTTTTGATTTAGTGAGAAAAACAAGATCAATCCGCTGCGAGGCGGCGCCGTTTCATCGACGATCTAACGATAACCCACTATTTCTCTCTTCACGGTTTCATTGAAAAGTATTATCGGTAAAGGGAGGAAATAAATTTCGTCGTAACTTTTCTTCACGGAAAAAACACTAAACTGGCAAAACGACCAGAATGAAATGGCTTATCAGCTCCTTGTCCTCACCGACTCAATGGAGAGTTCAGTTGTCGCACGAGACAGTACACCTACAAGGGCGCCGACGGAATGTCGCATCAACCACACGTATCAGTCTGTTCATGGCGAGTTGTGTGTCTGCGTTGATGGATTGATTGTCAGGACATTGAAATCAAAATGGAGAGGCAGGCATTTATTGCAGAAGGAAGCGGACACGCAGACAAGTGTTTCGGGTTATTTAAAATAGAAGCGAAACCACTAAGAATTACATTCGAGTTTAGCATTATTATCAAACATTGCATATCACAAAATTACATTAAGAACGATAAACGACCACTAAGGCAAGCAGAATAATAACGACCGCGAGGAACATGAGAACTGCCCAGTTGAGAGTCCAACCCCTATCCGTTTCAGCCCGTCTTCTGTAGTAGTCGGCCACCTGAATAATTCTTTGTTTTAACATTTATAGTGATTCTGGATTACAGCAGGCATCAAACAAGGCTCCGGAATATAGCCGATCTCCCGTTGCGCCCTGGCGTTGCTGTAGGTGTTATCAGTTGCAAGAATGGCTAACTCGAACTTGGTGAGCAGAGGAGAAATTCTGCAGACGTTGTAGCAAAAGAATTGACAGCATCGGACAAAGCAAGTCATCAGACAATGCGGGATGAACCTCGATGGAGGAGTCTGCCCCAGTGCACGAACAAGGGGCTCCCAGAACTCGTACTGGCCCTGATTGTTTGCATCAGTTATGAAGTACTCCTGTAGTTTCGGTTCGATCACTGTTTTATTAAACCACAAACCCTTCCATGTAGTCCTTCGGGTTTCTGCAGCTCCCGGTCTGCACAGTAGAACGCATTCGCACAATTCACCACACTGCTTGATGCGGAAATCGATTCACGTCCGTGAACGGACACCATTCCGATGAAGAGACGTCTTCTTATGAGACGCTTAAAAAAAGAATGTGTTTCTTTGATAATATAAAGAACATGACTCACCGCTACTTTTTCCGTCACATTTGGGTCTTCCGGTCCGTAAATCGCTCGAAATCGAAGGCACATTGTCTTGAACGTTTCTGAAGACTCGTTGAGAACAAAACGTTCGGCTTCTGCTTTTGATGCAGAATAAAAGTCGATGTACTGAAATAAAAACACTGACTAATAGAAACACATTCTTACCGACTTTAGAGGGATCTGGAAGCGGGTCATCTTCGGATGCGTTGTGCAGCGGATCGCCGACAAATGCGACAGCAACACTGGAAGCGTAAAGCAACCGGCTCACTCCGTACTTTTTGCATTTTTCTACTAGCAACTTCGTTCCCTCCACGTTGAAATCAAACACGCTTTTTTTGTCGGCCTGAACCACTTAATGTGTCACCTGCGATTTCGCGTTGTTCAGTTTGCTACCCCAATAAGTCCGGTGTGCCCGATTGATGCCAGGTGGAAAACTGCCGAAGCACAAGGGAGCCAACGGTCAAGAACTCCTTCATTCCGGAATGATTCCCAAAATATTAAATTCGAGTTGAATATACAAGAAAAATCTTTCACTCACTTTTATGATGGTCACATATCTCATGTCAATATTTATTGTTTCGAATGTCCTTGGATGTGGGTCCACAATATAGATTCTTCGTTGGCAGTTTTCTGATTGCAGCTTGGAAATTATGTGGGTTCCTAAGAAGCCTCCGCCTCCAATAATCACATAGTGTCCCATGAGGAAAGGAGGTCTGAAAGCAGTCGCTCAAGGCGTTTTTAAATAGAAACAAACCGTGGCTGTTTTTTGGGAGAGGGACGGGCACGCCTCTTAGACAGTTTATTCTTCTGACGCACAATAGACATGAAAGAATTTCCTCGATTCAAAGACTCTGGAAAGAAAATCACATGCACAAAAATGTCTATCCCGTTGTTGATAATTGAAAAACTGCCCAATCGAGACGGAAAATAATGCTCCGAAAGTAATTTCCGCAAAGCAGAGTGAAATGTATTTGTGATTGTGATGTAGATATGATGCGTCACGCCGTGAAAACAGAATAAGGCTTCCATATAAATGCGGGATATGCAGAAAAAACAAGGACATCCCACAATTGCGCAGACATTTGCCACGTTTCCCGCGCGAACAGTTTGTGAGAGAACTACGGTAAGTTTGAGACAATTGTGAGTCTGAAATGACACATAATCAGATGAAAACCTTTTTTTCTGGAAAAAAGTTATACAACTTTATTTGAATAAAAAGCTAAGCTAAAAATACGCGTAACAACTTGCTCTAACACAATATGTTAACGAAGTTGGGTTCCGACAACTTATTTCTCCAAAAATTTCACAAAGCCGATTTTCCAGCGTTGAGAACGTTCTTCCCGGCTAATTCCTATCAATAAGGCTCTTCTTGTGCTTAAAATAAATCCATGACCTTCCTGAACACAAATTTGTTAATGTATTACTGCGAAAACGATTTGTTTGCGAGAAAATGTCCGAAAACCACATTTCCCAGTACGAGAATGCATTGCAACCAATTTTTCCTGTGCACACAATAGTAACAATAATTATCAGCAGCCACTTTATTCATGGAAAATACGGTTTTTCGATGCCTCACATTTCGCAACATATTTCCGCGTGATCCTGTCATGAGGACAAAAGCAAACGCTTTTCAGAAATTCCCCAATTCAAAGTCATGATTATAAATAACTTCTGAGTCTGCCTTTCAGTTTTGCGAACGGCACACAATGGACCAGACGCACAGTCATCTCATCTGACTGATTCCATTCAAGAAGGAATTCAAGGCCCTCGGCCTGGAAGAAATGACGAATTTGAAAGAAAGGCACAAGAAAAAACATTTATATCCAAACAATAAAAGAAAAAAGTCTGAAGATGCTAGCAATCAGATAAGTTAGGTGGCAGAAAAAAAAATAAAAGAAGAAACAATCACTAGGGACTTTTGGAAATATATAGTCAAAATCCGAGTTACAATTCGGAAACAAGTTCAGGCAAATCCCCAAGATCATCGTCAATTATTGCTTTCTTTTGATGGTCCGCAGCAGCATGAGCATTTTTCTGCTCATTCTGCCCGTTCTTCTTATTGTTCTTCTTGTTCTTCTTGCTCGGCTTCTTCTGACTGTCGTTCAGCGCTTTTTTCTCTTCGGCAGTCATCAATCTTTCTTCCAGATTTCTCTTAGCTTCAGGCACTTTTTCCAAAACATTCACAAACTTTCGTTGGAATTGCATCAAAGTCGAAAGTGCGTGATCCATAAATCCTTTGGTTTGTCTTGAAAGGAAATGTCCCGAGCCGAAGAGATAATCCATGATACGATGAGCTTCCACGAGATATCTGGCCGCTTCTCTTCCGTTTGCCAATTCCATATGAAGTTGTCCCATTTGCCTAAAAGCATATAATATGAAATCGGAAAGGTGTCGGAAGCTCACAGGAAGTGCATTGCTTTCGACGGATGAGCGTAGCGATAGACGTAACGGACAAATGGTTCACATTTCATATGAAGATCGAGCGATGCGATCAGTTTTTCCTTCTTAGTCATGCTGACTTGCTGCAGCAACGGAATCATGGCAGCAATGAGCTGGCAGAAGTAGGCATTTGACATGGGCAAAATGCGCTCGTAGCTGAGCAGTGCTCCCTGGTACACTTTCAGCAGTTCCACAGGCTCCGACTGCAAAAGATAATAGTTCAAAAAATGAAAATTTGATAGACAAAACAGACCGAATAATCTTCGGTTCCTTCCATAGTTCTCCGGATGGTTCTCATTCCGTCTAAGGCCATGTAAATGTACTCCTGAAGTAGAGTTTTAGAACAGTAGGTAGAATCTCAGGAATTACCCTTTCCAAAGTGGTGTTGCACCTATTGCAGATGATTTCCAGAGTATCAGGGTTCGCATACGCTTCAGGCCCGTGTAATTTGACCGTTTTTCGGAACTCTGACTGAAAACTTACTCTCAAAGATCACGTCTTGAGCCCGGAAATAGATACCTTCGAGATACACACTGGGCAGATGACTGCAGTCAGCCAGTTATCATCTGGATCATCGCATCGCTCACAATGACACTCGAAGTACCACGTTTCTTTCAACATGTGACGGCGCTGAATTTTACACCTGCAATTTAATTTCCATTTTCTAAATTGCCGGCTCGTGTTTTCTACTCACGGAGGAAGTTCGATATACGTGTAGTGCGTGGTTTCGACGTTATCCAAATCGACGTTGTCGTGAAGAGCACGAAGACTCGCAACGATTCCGTGACAGCTGTATATCTGAAAGTACATCTTTAATTGTTCCTAACTTTTTGCTGAAACGAACGGCATTCGGCCTGCAGGAGTGATCATACCGGCACAGATCCAGGTACAAACCCTTTCCGATTTCCCTCAAGTAGTCCACATTCGAAATGCTGTGACGGTTGATGAAGTTTCTTGAGTGGAGTTGGAAAGCGATTTCTTTGTCTACCAAATAAGCCTCGTTGCAGAATTTCTGGACTCTTTCGTAGATTTCTATAAATTTCGAATACTGACTTTAATAGGGCACATTATGACTCACTATCGAATGCTTTCATAGCGTTCTCGTCTTTCTTCATCTCTACACAATGCTCCCAAATTTCCAGCACGTTTCTTTTGCTTTCTCTTTTCTCATAAAAGCCCTCAATCTGTTTATCTCTTCCTTCCGAAATGTCCTACAAAATAATATCGAAATCCAATAACACATGTTTAGTTTAACCTTGTAACGTCCAATAATCCGGATGAGCATTCTCTCATCTGTGTTCAATTCCGGACACTTTTTGAGACCTCCGCATTCGTACTGAAAAATAATTATTAGTCTTTGTTTTGTGTTGAAACTGGCACAACACAAACTCAAAACTCCATTTATTTTGACTTGTTTTGGTTATCAGATAACAGGGCTTTGACAAACAACGTGATATCCAGTTATATGCACACATCGCATAACCACTAGACATCACAGATCTCACCCGGTGATCGAATGCTCCGGAATCTTTACATTTGTCAGAGCAGAACTTGGCGACCTTGCACTCCCCGCATGTTCTGAAAAACATAACCGTTAAGCTTTGAGAGAAAACGGTTCACGAACACTTTGACTGTCTCACCAAGACACGTCCAACAGTAATCTTTCTTGGTGGAATCGAGCAAAGAGTAAGCGAAGGGATAGAACTCCTTGCTCCTAGCTTTAGATCCGATCTTCTCCACACCCACCACCTCTAACGGCGCATCTCCTCCGATTGACATTTGGCTGGAAAAAAGAGAATTCACATGAAATCAGTAATAAAGAAAATGGGCGAAGAGCAAGGAATCTCGAGGATATGCGAGATCTCGGGAGTGTTTGTGCAGGAGAGGAGAGAAAAACGGACGGCGGCGGGGGAGACTACAAATGAGAGCAGGAGAGCAGGGCTCGCAGTGTGTGTGTGTGTATTTGCCCTTCCAACAGTGTAATGCCTGGGCGAATGGCGTACGATCGGATGGGGCTGTTGGAAGCCAGACCCTCAATTCTCGCCACCAGATCTTTCGACGATTGCAAAACGAAATGTGTTGAAACAAGTCAGAACGGGGGTAGAATACGTTGGAACCGACGGGCACCAAATGTGGGGCGCCGCTGTACAACGATACGAAGCACTGAACACCGGTCTGCACAAACAGACTGTCGAGAGATGATTCATCGTTGGAAACAAGTGAAAAAGCCTGCCTTTCTCACCCCTTCACTCTTCCTTCAGTCCTATTTGCACCTGAAAATCCTATTTCCAATCTTAGTGGTCCCTTCCTATCGTTATCGTGACGTTTTGCCCGACAGGTACGGTCCGGTCCATGCTCGACGAAATTGCCCGCTGACCCCGAGGAAACGGAGGGGGAAAAGCGTGCAAGTGCGCTCCACCGAACACCGCACAAACGAGATGTGTTTCTGTTTTTTTTATATCATTCTCTCTATCTTTTCTGACTAGTCACGCTCTCTGAGCACAAAATACATTCCTTTAAATTATTCTAGCCGTCTTATTTGGTTTTGTAGCTTCGAAATTCTCATTATAAGGTATAACTATGATGAAATAGGTCTAATTAATAATTAAATGCGTTCTATTCGTGTCGCCATTCGTCAAAACGTTTCCGTTAACCGAAAATATTGTTTTCAGCAAAATTGAGCTCTACGCCATGAACAGTGGTAACGTCGACTCTGGTAAGCTTTGTTTTTTCAAGAAATTCAGAAATTATGTTAAAAAATACTGAAAATGATGGGAAAAACACCGGGTTTCGGAGAGAGAAGGCAAGAATGCGACTGGTTGAAAGTGTATAACTGACACGCGCACAGGAACGACTCGCTAACAAGCTGAAATTAGACAAAATATACCTCGGGTGCCGAGCGCAACAACAAACTGGCTACAGTTTTTGTGCTCAAAGAGCGAAAGACATTTTATTGATTTTGTAAGATGGACGACTGCCAGTAGACGTCTCATGGTCGTCTCATCGACGGCCACTGGTCGTCTCCCTGGTTCCGAGGAGCACTTTGCCAAAAAATTTCAGCTATCGATAACGAAAGCTACATGATTGGATAGAACTCGGCGAGCTGATCAAGGTGCTGTCATTTTCGGTGCTTGAGTTGTGAAAGATAAGACAGATATGGCCGACGGAAGATGGAAAGGCCCAGTTCCCAGTAGCCTTGTCAGAAAAGTTCGGAATTTGAAAGTTATTCATACATATTCTGATAGATCTCGCCGAGCTGGTTCTGATGGTGTCATTTTCGCTACTGATATCGAACTGATAAGCAGAGATATGCCTTCTCGCAAATTAAGAGATCAAGAGTCCCAAAGAGTGTCCCAATAGTTAAACATGCATCAATTTTCAAGACCGAACCCATCCACTAAACACGTATAACACACAGAAGCAGAAGCCTACGGCTTGCTAGTCTCAATATAATATTTGTTGTTAGTTCTAAACAAAGACGAAATCACTTGTCACGTGGAATTTGTGTAGTTGGACATGCGCCCTATCAAAATAGGATTGTTCCTTTCTGAGAACGGCGCCCTAGCCTTTTTTCGATGCCGCTTCCTTTTAGACATGATCACGTTGTGTTTGTGTGTTTGTGTGTGTATGTGTTGCGCAGATCAAGTTTTCTCCTCTAGCCTTTCAGGCGCTGCAAGATAGTCTTTATCTTGTTCAATCGCAGAAATGTCACAGTTGATAGATTGAAACATTCATTAGTTTCCCACTTCTCCTGTCTGTTAACACTATTTTCTCTATTTTCAGAGTCGTCGGTGATATCTCCAAAAAGCCGCAACGTGAGAATGTCGTCCTCCGGAGCCTCTGAATCGGAGGTCGAGACTTGTGATGAAAATGTCGGACTGCTCGGGACCCATGGGAAGAAGACTAAGCACGAGCGGAGCAGAAATGAGCAAACGGCACCTCTTCACAGGTAAATGCTGCGAGAATGCATCATTTCAAGTCAAATAAAGTTTCAGACCATTGGGAATCAACACGGATGATGCAACTGTCGAACTGGGAAGAAGACACGACTACCAAGATCCGTACACTTCTGACGATGACCTCTTACACACAGGTACGAAACATTTCAAATAGAGAACAGACGAGAGGGGCTATTTTTGCAGGAAGTGATGCGTACGGCTCGACGGTCGGAGCTACGATTTCTTTGAAATTCAACGAAGCATGCCGTGCCATCCACAATGGTCATTATCCGGAGAGAATCGCGCAGGGATCCAGCGGAAGCTACTTTGTCAAGAATATGCACGACGTGAGTACAAAAAACTCTGTAGTTCCACTTCTGCTGTTTTTTCCAGGAGATTATCGCCGTTTTCAAACCGAAGAACGAGGAGCCCTACGGATCGCTGAACCCAAAATGGCTGAAATGGCTGCATCGCGTGTTCCTCCCCTGCTGCTTCGGACGTAGCTGCCTGCCTCCAAACCAGGTCAGTCATTTTCTATGTTTTTTGTGTTATGTGCTGTTTTCCTAATTGGACTCATCTTTTCAGCTGGACTCGAATAGATACAAAACTTTATTATATGAAAGCTAATGCCAATTACAGTACGGAAAAATTTGACTTGTTGTCAAATGTGCAAAGGGCAGTAAAAGTACGATAGACGAAAGTGTATAGGAAAGGACGTCACGTATACAAAATAGGGAACGGGTAGTAAATATTTGTGTGTATATATATATTCATTGGGTGGGAAAACATTGGAGAAGTGGAACGAAGACGAGAGAAAAAGCAATAGGAAAAAGCAAAAAGGTTATGTGAAGTTGCTTGTTAGGCGTAAGCGGATAGAGTCGAATTGGTCAAAGCAGTGTGCGGGAAGGCGTCTACAGGTCGTCGCGGTTAGGTGCCAGGGTATCATAGCGAGATCCTCCTTGAGAATGGGTGGACGTATGCATTGGCTCGTTTGATGGAATCTCTACGATGGACGGATCACGTGGTTCGCCGGCGCGAGAGACCGAGTCCCCGGCACGCGTACCGAATGACGAGTCACGACCGCCACCGTAGACTGAGTCGCGATCTCTAATCGAGCCGCCGTACACCGATCCTAGAAAAGAGTTTTATGATGAAGACGGTCCCAAGCACACTAGGGTCAGTTTTTGTTGGGGGAGAAGATGGACGGACACAAAAACTTGGACTGCAAAAAAGTACACCACTTCAGTGTATCTATTGGAGAAGAAATTGCACTAGTTTCTCACGAGACGAGAAAATGAATCAAAAGGACCGTCAATCTTCTCCTTTTGAGTTTTAGAATCTGAGAAATTTTGGTTAGAAACACGGGGTCAGTAATACGGGTAAATCATTTCGAGAGGACGACAACATTAGGTAGAAGTTAACTCAAAATTAATTAGATTAGTTTTCTGCTGCAGGAATATGAATCTGCTTCTCTTCTCTCTCATGAATCTCTCTAGTTTCCACGATTTCCTGGTGCAAAACCTCACGGCTTCTACTTCTATGAACTCGAATAACCGGTGTTTGTTGATAGTGTTTGGGTGCTGCTGGTGGATAAGTATTGAATGTCACTTCCATACCGGAATCTTCAATCGTCGAAATTGGACGACGGTAACTGCTGCCAGCATCGACGGCGCTGCGGAAGTCGGAAATGTGTGGGCGGTGGGTCGGAGTCGAGGTTCCAAGTGGCGGAGTCAACGGATTCGACGCGAAAGTCGAGCGAGGATAGAAGCTGAAATGACTATTATCTAGTCGCACAAACGAAAACAAAATGTTAAGGAGAAAAAATCGATTTGTTACGATCAACGTACCCGACGGAACGGCTGCCTCCGTGAATGATGTTATCAATGTTGTTGTCACCGTAGCTGCTGCGGATTCCGAGCACATTGGACCCAAGACGTCCGATATCGTTGACCATGGAGCGGTCGACGTACTCGCGTCTACGACGACGCTCTCCGTCGAGCTGGTCACGAAGAATGGCAATCTGGTCCTCGAGCTGCTTGATGCGGTTGCGATGGGTGCGCTCACGGTTCTCGATGACCTTCTCAATCTGAAAACACAAGATATACAAAGGAAACAGTCAAATGATCCACCTGGCCCTTTTCTTGGCGCATTCTGAGAAGCTGCCTCTCCTGTTCCTCACGTTGCTTGTTGGTGAGCTCAAGAATTCTGTTGCCGTTCTCCATCTCAAGCTGAGCAATCTGTTGCTGGAGCTGAGCACAGTTCTTGTAGAGCTCCTTGTTCTCGCGTTCCATGGCATTCAACGACTTTTCGATGGCCTCACGTTGAAGAGCGGTCTCACGAATGGCTGCGTCAGTACGACGTTTCTCATTCTCCAGCTGCAAAACAAACAATTTTATTCGATACCCCTCACCCACTTCCGCCTACAATTTCAATCTTTTTCAGAAGAGTGGCCTTCTCCTTCTTCCATCCATCGGAGAGCTGCGAAGAATTGCGTCTCTCGTTCTCCAGTTGCGCGAGGCGTCTCTTGATGTCCTCGAGCTCCTTGACGGCAACGCGTTTTTCGTTCTTGGCTGTCTCTAGTTGTTGGCGAAGATCAGTTTCGGTGGTTCTCTGGGTGTTCACAATCTTCTCGACAGCGAGGAGTCTGTCCTCCAGCCGGTTCTTCTCTGAATTGGCATCCTGGAGCTGACGTTGCAGCTCCGACACACGGTTGTTGACGTCGTGGACGCGTTGTTTGTAGTCTCTGACCTCACTGCGCACGTTCAGAAGCTCATTGTCCACTTGCTGCTTGCGAGTGTTCGCACCGTTCAGTTCGTTTTGAGTATTGAGAAGTTGGTCTTTGAGAAGTTGGTATTCATGAGAAGTTTTACTCTGCACATCGATGGTCTTGCGGAGCTCATTCTCAATACTCTCGGCCTTGGTCAGGTCACGACGAAGCTTGTCCGTGTCGTCCTTCATGTCTTGGACCTTAGCATCGCTCAAACGAAGGGCACCATCCAATTCCTTTATCTTTTCGGTCAAAGTCTGGCGTTCGCTTTCGAAGGAAGCGATCTGGATTTGGAGTTTGCTGGAGTCCGAGTCGGTTTCGCGAATCTTTGTCTCTAATTGGAAGCGGCTAGAATCCCATTGCTCCTCCTTGTCACGGAGGGAACGAATGTCAGTGTGAGCGTTGTCCAAATCGGTTCTCAAATTCTTCAGTTGCTCCTGAAAAACAAATTTTTATATTGACTTTCTGTTTCTGTCCCAAACTCACATTCAAGTGGCGGAGTTGAGCCTCCTTTCCACGAGCTTGAAGCTCGGAAGCAACCATCTTGGACTTCATCTGACGGCGCTCCTCATCTCTCTGCTTAAGAGCCTCTTCCTGAGAGCGTAGCAGTGCCTTGGCCGATTGAAGACGAGACTCGAGAGCACGTTTCTCTGCAACATAGAAGTGTTGACTCGAATGTATCTATATCTATTTCTCACCTTCCTCAGCATCTTGGAGGTTATCCTCGATGTTTCTGTAACGAGTTTCCTTCTGGTTGATGGTAGTGTGCGTCTCAGTGGTCTTCTTCTTCATTCTTGCCAAAGTATCACGGAGCTCATTGCGTTCCATTTCAAGTTTCTCAATCTTGCTCAATAGAGACTGGAGTGTTCCCTCAAGATTAGCAATATCAAAGCCACCATTCAAGTTGACAGTGGTGGTGCCATCGAGGTTGTTGATCACACGTCCGCCGGCTGAAATTCACTGAATTGGACCTAATCATATTTTCTCAACTGACCAGATGTGGCGCCCGGACGTCCGCTGGTGTAGTCAACGGATGGTGGGAATGGAACCGAACGAGGATAAGCGACATCAGATGAAGGGTCCGAGTCGCCGCGACCTATTTCGATTTCACGACCGAAATCAGATCCGCCTGGTCCTCCAGTGATTCCGGTTCCAATTCCACCAACTCCGCTGCTTGGATCGTAGGCTCCTGCGCGTTGTGCCTGTGGTCCTCCTCCAAGAACACTCTGTCCTCCGGTTGGATCGTAGGCTCCTGCGCGTTGTCCCTGTGGACCTCCTCCAAGAATACTCTGTCCTCCGGCTGGAACACTGCCGTCAATGTATCCAGCTCCACCGTCGAGAGAGTTGATGTGGAAGTTGATGACACGGTTGGCAGAAGATTGGAAGCGACGAAGAGCGTCAGAAAGGATATCTCTTTCCGAATCGGCCTTGATGTAGTCTTGTTGAAGAACAGACAAACGTTGCTCAGCGCTGTCAAGACGAGAAGTCAAGTCGTTGATCTCGTACTTTCTGGCCTCTGAAACAAACTCATTATACCTAGTCAGCAGGATATCGGACACCAAGTTCCTGAAGAGCATTGAGACGGCTATCCTCGGAGACGCGATGGGAGTGAGCCAAGTCATCGATGGTTGTCTGGTACTCGTCGGACTTGCGTTGAATCTGCTCATTTCCGAACTTGAGCTCTTGCGAGAGCTTTTGGAGCTCATTGCGAAGAGCAGTTCTTTCAGTGTCGGAAGTGATAAGCTGTAAATATCTACTGTAAAAGAAAGTTACGTACTAGTGTTCAAACCTTGTCATTAGTATCCTGAAGTTCATTGCGAAGTTTGGTCAACTTGCTGTCAAACTGCGACGCCAGTTGGTTCAGATGATCGGCTTGCTTGGTCTTCTCACGGAACGCATTCTGAAGGCGTTCCTTCTCAGTCTTGGCATGTCCCAAACTGTTCTTCAGCTCCTTCAACGCGTCTTCGGCAGACTTCAGACGGTTCTTCAAGCGATTAATCTCAGCATCTAGGTTGGTGTTGTTGCTCTTGAGGATATCGTTCTCACGAAGAGCCGCATCCAACTCTCCTCTCCATTTGTTGGCGTCACTCTGGAGAGTGCTGTGCTGCTCCTCAAGAGAGCGAAGACGGTTTTGAGCGGACTCAAGATCCATTTCCTTTTGCACGAGATTGCCCTTGGTGTCAGAAAGTTCATCCTCAAGACGACGGATTTGAGAAGTCACTGAAAACAAAGATGTTCAATTGGATGAACGGAATGATGAAACTTACAATCGCGGATCTTGGAAGTATGATCATTGACAGTCTTAGTCAGATGATCGATTCTGTCGTTGGCAGCTTGGAGCTGAGCCTTGAGAGCAGTGTTGCTGGTCTCAAGAGCCTTGGCCTCAGAACGTATAGTGTAGGAATCAGTTTTCCACTTCTGGATTTCCTTATCCGCGTCGTTGCGGAAGTCATCCCACTCATCCTTGATCTTCTGGTTTTGCCCGTATAAGCTGTTGATCTTCTCGTCGTAGTCTCTCTTCTCTCTCTCGAGCTCGTTCTCACGGTTTAGAGAGTCAGCCAACTGCTTTTCCAAGCTATTGAGCTTGTCGCGAAGATCATCCTCCACCGACTTCAAGTTCTCAAGAGCCTTTCCGTACTGCTCCTTCTCATCATCCAAATCGCTAAGATGCTTGTCATGAATCGTGCTGATGTCGCTCTTCAGCTTGTCAATTTCGCCAGCGTGCTTTCTCTTTAACTCGGCAATGTCGTTCTCAGTCTTGTCGTTTCCGCGGCCAATCTGAGAAAGTTCATCTTCAAGCTCGCGGATTCTGCGCTCCAAATCATCCTTTTCGTTTTCAAGACGCTCGAGTTCTCTCTTCCAACGATCGTTGATTTCACGGATTTTGTGCTCGGCAAGCTCGTCATCATGGTAGCGATCGAGAATGTTCTTCTCGATTCTCTCTATGCGTTCCTTGGTGTTGACGGTGGTGCTAGTTCCACGTGGACCAGTGGTGGTTCCATCTTTTCCATCACGACCATCACGACCGTCACGGCCAGTACGTCCATCAGCCGAGGGAATATTTATTTCGTCTCCTCCCTCGCTTTTAACAAGATCCTCTGCTCCTGGAATGTAGACGGTGCTGCCTGGCGCACCACGATTTCTGGACGAATCACCGATAGTGCTGCGGTCTCCGTAGGCCCCACCGCTCGTCACATCCTTCGGGTCACTTCCAGCAAATCCGGTCTGAGTGCTGTCGCGAGAAACACGCCCAGTTCTTCCAGCGTTGGCGAGACGTTCCTTCAAGTCGCGGATGTCCTGCTCCAGCTGCTTATTAGTCTCATTAACGTTCTTCAAGTCTTGCTTGGTGTCCTCCAGTTCCTTGTTGAGCAGGTTCGCACGAGACAGGTGTTGGTTGGCTGCATCTCTAGCACGGGCTTCCTTTCCAGCGAGCTCATTGTTCTCATTGCGCAGCTTCTCCAACTCGTTCTCCAACTTTCTGATAGTCTCCTTGAGAGCTTGAATGTCTCCATCCAACTTCAATTTTTGGTTGAGAACTTCCTGCTTCTCCTTCTGCAGACGTTGATTGAGGTCGTTCAACTTCTCGATCTCTCCCGAACGCGAGTGCAACTCATTCTCCAGCTGAGTGATCTTTCCTTGATATCCTTTGATGGTGGTGTCCAATTCGTCGTTGTGACGACGGAGGAGGTTGATCTGACTCTCGAAGTCACTGATCGTCTGGCGGAGTTTGTCGAGCTCTTCGTTGTTGCGAGCACCATTCTTCTCAAGATCCTGACGTCCCTTGATCTCGGTCTCCAACTTGTGACGAATATCGAAGAGGTGACGAGAGTGCTCATCCTTCTGCTTCCTGAAATGAGATATTGTAAGCAGACACTTTTTTTTCACTTACTGGTAGTCATCGCGCTGAGCCTTGATCTCCTTAAGCTGCTGCTCAGCCAAATGAGCGGCCTTCTGAGCATGCTCCAATTCACTAAGAATCTTCTCGTTGTCTGTGTGAACACGGTCGTACTTCTCACGCAAATCATCCAAATCCTTCTGGATGTTGCGACGGATATCATCAGAGTAACGGATTTGAGTGTCCTTCTCTTCAATGCGACGCTGGGTGCTGTTGTACTCGTTCTCTAAGTCACGGTACTTGTCCTTCAGTGGATTGACCTCGGACTTGAGACGATTGTTTTCACGGAGAAGAGTCTCAATGCGACGGTTGAGCTCATCGATGCGGGTCTTGTACTCCTCCTGAATCGAGTTGGCGTGCTCGTCCATCTCGTCACGGAGCTTGCGAGCATCATCAGTCGAGCTCTTTTGGAACGACGCCTGCAGCTTGGCCAGCTCATCCTCCAAAAACTTTCTGGCCTTCTCAGCAGCCACGCGCTCAGCCTCCGAAGATCTGAGTTTGTCCTCAGTGCGGCGAGAGTTGCGTTCAGCCTCATCGACATTCTTCTGGAGGTTGCTGACCTCACGCTTGGCGTCAGCAAGTTGCTTGTCAAGACGACGACGAGCCTCATCGGCATTCTCGAATTTGTTCAAGAACTCTTTGACTTGGTTCTCAGCAATCTTGAGCTTCCTCTCCAGCTGTTGAATGTCGTTGTCCTTGTTGCGGAAAGTGTTGCGGACAGCACGAAGAGCCTCCGCTGGCGGAAGTGGAGTCTTTCCAGGAGATAGCGATCTGGTTCTCTTGATCGAAACGGAACCGTCAACGTTCTTCTCACTGTCCTGAGCCATCTCGTGCAGTTTCTTCAAGGCACTCTGAGACTCATTCATCTTCTCGCGGTTACGACGGAGCTCAGCTTCAAGCTCAGCGATCTTTCTCTGAGCGTCGTCGCCCTTGGACTCCAGTTCGATGTTGCGCTCGATCGACTCCTCGTACTTCTTTATGAGTTCCTTGTGCAACTCAGCGTCGCCCTCCGAACTGCCACCACCGCGGATCTTTCTGAGCTCCTCAAGCAAGTCGGCACTAGACGCACCTCCAGCGGCGCTTCCAGTTCCGGCCATTCTTCTGACAGTCTCAATCAGAACTTTCTCGTAGTTGTTAGTAGTTCTGGTGACGTCATTGCCATCATCCAGTCCGTAAAGACCAAGAGCATCACCGACCCCGGCTCCAGCGTTTCTGGAGATGTTGCTGACATTGCGAAGAGCACGGGTAAATTCGGACTTTTGCTTGGTAAGATCCTCCTCAGTTTGGATCTTCAAATCCGAAAATTGTTTGCGGACGCGTTGAAGCTCAGTCCAGAGATCGAGCATTTTGCGTTGCTCGTCACTCAGATATTGAGCCAAGTTCTGAAAATTTAACTGTTATAAAATTCTTTTGACTACACGACTTACTCGTTCACGGTTAATGAAGGTCTTCTCCTTGTCTTTGCTATCGTTGGCATAGCGTTCAAACTCGCGTCTCAGACGGTCGTTCTCGTCTTCCAAAGCCAACGCCTTCTGGCGTTCGTTCTCCCATTGCATACGGTACTCGTCGGAACGTCTTCTCTCCTCATCCAGACGAGCGATCATTTCGTAGTTGGCATTCGGATCGCCAGCCACTCCGTAACCGCCCACTCCACCTCCAGTCAATCCATGGCTTGCAATTCCCGAAGCGTACCCACTAGCACCGCTTCCTCCAAGTCCCCCGGCACCAGTAACCAGATTGACAGTCGTCAGACCGCCCAATCCTCCTCCTCCTCCGAGGATGGTCTCTCGTTTTCCTCTAGCTGGGCTCCACAGCTCGACGTTATGATTGGTGCTGAAAATGGAGGATATTTGTCAGTAAGGTTACAGAAGAGGCGCCTTATTTCGCCTGTTTTGGAATTTTAATGTGGAGATTCTGCAAAACAGGCGCCTGTTCTGCAACCCTATTTGTCAGAAAATGGCAGTAATTAGTACATGTAGGTGCTTCCCGGGTCGTAGTTGTCGAAGATCATGATGTTGGAAGACGGATCCTCGAGCATACGGTTGCGAGCACCGACCATTCTTCCTTCAAGTTCAGCAATGTGCTTGCGGTACTCATGGACCTATAATTAGAATTTGAGTATTAATGTGTGATCATCCAAACTTTGTTCTGGAGCGCGGCCATCATCTCGCTGTACTCCTTTTGTTGCTCGACGTTGTTGTCAATACGTTGGCGGAATTTGTTCAAGTCGTCCTAAAAACAGACTGATTGTGCAACGTGTTTTGTGCTCAACGTACCTGAGTGCGGTCCAGACGAGCGACAGCAGTTCCACGAGAACCGTCAATCTCGAGGAGAAGATCATCGTCAAATGAAGACGTATGGTGATAGTTGTTTTCACCAGAAGTATCCCTGGAGTACTCATCCCTTAACAAGGAAACACGTGTCTATTGCATGCAACACGCCAACTCAATGCTGCTTTCAAATGCAAGTTGTCTGATTTTGCTGCCTATTTGTTATGAACTCCAGGCGTGTTATCAGGAAGAAAATGTTAGGTCAATTATCGATGAATGCTCCTCAACTAGTCTAATCGTCCCGTTTACTCACCAACTTTCAACCAACTCATGAATTTCCTCGTCATTCTTCTTCATATGGATGGTATACTGATACGTTTTCAACTTATCCGTTGAACTTAAGAAAGAAATATGTTCATTGGGGGTTGTTGGCTGAGGACTACAACTAGCGAGGCTCTTCGGACAGAGGGACTGGGATCTTCTTCTTATTATTATTTTAAAAACAGAGATGAATATAAAGAACACGGACAAGAGGAACAACTGTGCGGCGTGAGAGAATGGAAGAGATTTTCGAGAGACATTGGTGAAATATCTCGTTGCGGAGATTTTCACCAAGCCGAAAGCGCATGCATTGGCGGTTGACAAATGAGCTCACCAGTAGAACTCTCCATAGTTGGAGCGAGAGCCCGGGCTTTCCGGAGTCGGCTCTTTCGAGTCATTGGACGGGATATGGATGGTTCCATCCCCGCCCGAGCTTCGAGTATCGTCGTTATCCATCTTGAGTTTGTCTATAATTGAAGTATACATTAGCAAAAACCACTCAACCAACTAATTAATTAAAAAATGAGCAAAGGGATTCAAATCAAACTAATTGAATGAGCTAACTATTTCTGGGGATGCATGAAGTTTGAACAAAAGTGAGGAGCACACAGAAACCTTTCTTAGATGAGCGTTGTTTTTTCCGTCGTTGACGACTTAGAATCGATTCGGTTTCGGACGGTGTCAGAGGGCGCACGGAGACTTTTCCGGAAATGTGCGTCCACTTGCCAGGAACGATAGCCTCGGCTCGTACGACCGGAGAGCACGATCTGCTAGTCTCACAACTAGAAGTTGCGTTGGGCGGCGAATTAGGCGAGAGAGTTCTGAGTGCTTGCGACGGTGGGTCACGTAGGACGCCTTCTGGCAATGATTCGCTAACAACTAGCTGACGACCTTGAGAGCTGCTATTCACGCCACAGCTGAAGAACATCCAACGGAGCACATCAGCATGCTGCAATAGTTATCTCCCGCAACGTCTTTGGTCGGACGGAGACGGAAAAGAAATAAGGGGGAAGGGCAGGCTTGGCAGCTTTCGGAAATTGTTTACGCGGAGGTCGTCTTCTCTCTTTTTCGAGGAAAATTGGCAACAGTTGAATATAAAGAAAACCAGTCTGCGTTCATTCCACCTCATTGAAATGTTTTCTTTTCGAGGAGAGTGCGCTTTCCAAGTCCCAAAAAACCTTGAGATGGTTGCTTAGAAAACAACTTATTACAACTTTTTTTCGAGTTTGACAAAAAGACAAGGGTTCACATAACTATAGCTAAGAAACTCACAGTTTAGAAAATTAGCGCGAAAGCGGAAGAATATCAGCGGAAAATGAATCTTCCTTGACCTACGAGAATGTTGCCACAAAGAAAAGATGCGCTGCTGTGAGTATATCGAATTACAAAAAAAAAGTCGTGAAGAGAGCATTGGAGCAGTCGGAGGTCTAGTAAACATGCATGTTTTGTTTGCCTGTTTCATTTCACAGCCCCAAATTTTGACAAATACACGTATACATGTACATAATAGTGAGCACGGAGTGCTGCCGATGAGGGCTAGAATCGTTATGTGTCGCCTAGCAACGTGGCGGGAAGCCCAGGTATTAGAGTACGTCATGCGAGGAATTTTGAAGTATAAGCCCTCGCGGTCACATGTGTTGTATACTCGGAATCGGGTGGTGAAGGAAGACCAGAAATTAGATGAATTGTGTGCTCAGAATCAGAATAACAATATGTACGATTGTGAACAGCACCACTTGCGGTTAGTTGCTCGTTGTTTTTCCAAAGCGTGAACCGCAGTTTATTATGATTCTGGCTATTTACCAAAAATGGCACACGACGAGGAGAGCCAGCCACAGTTGGCTGCTGGCCACTGGAATCGAAACGAAACAGCGGAAGAGAGTGAGAGAAAAGCGAAAAGTCAAAGGACTGAGCACAATTGCGACTTTGCAATGCGCAGCGGATGGCCTGCCGCTTGGCTCCTCGCCCGGTCTTTTTTTTTGTCGTCGTCTCCATTCTAGGAATAGGAGGTAAACAAGTAAACATAGTGTGAGCCCGTGAGAGAAAAATGAGGGGCAGTCCCCCGATCTTCTCAACGACAAGGGCACGCCTTCATTTGAGTGGCGCGTGCTCGGGTGGTGTGAGCCATCGATCTGGCGGGAGCGCCCGTGTTGTTGTCGACAACAACAAACGACGACGACGACGACGACGACGACTAGAAAAGGGAAGAGGACGGAGAGTGCGCGTTGAGCCGGGGGCTCTGCGGGCTTTCCCTCACTCGAAAACTGCCTAATGATGACTGCTCGCTTCGGCTGCTCGTAAAATAGGCCAGAATATTTTGAAAGTGTTGAAATGGGTACGAGAATACTCTCATGATTGGGCGAAGGTTTGAGAAATGAAACTGACGCAATCGTACTTTTACTTTTTCGAGAGAAGAAAGAAGACAACCAAAACTGTCAACATAATCCGCTCGCTATTTCACACTTTTCGAACAAACACCTGATAGGGAACTGTTATTCTAACCCTCTCATTCGGCAACATGATAAGGTGTGTTGTAAAGACCCTAAAACGTTTTATCAAGTTTCCGCCTCGCTATTTCGAAAAAGCGCGCAAACAAATTTGCGTCTAGAAACGAAAACTATGTCGTTTCGTTTTGAAAAACACAAATGAGGAGGGAGGGATTTCTCGAGTCCCAGAACGTGCAATTTGGGTCTTTTTTTTACTGGTTTGGTCCTTTTGATTTACTGCCACAAAACAAGAAAATGAGAGAGAGAGAGAGACGTGCGTATGTTCGAATAAGCTGCTGCCAAGCCTGATGACAAATGGATCTGTCACTTCATCGGGACCATGAATCAATTTCGGAATGTCTTACCGGATTTTGTGGTTACGGGAAATTGGCCAGGAAGCGGCACGGAGCGAGAGAGGGAGTGCGAGGTGCTGGGCACGAGTGCCTAGTCGATAAGGGGCCGTTCTGCTTCAATCCTTCACGTGTTCTTTTTTTCTTTTTCTGGTGCGCGGACAAAGTTTTGTGGTCGGCGCGTGCGCCCTGTCTCTATTGATTTCTGGAGAGCATGTTTGTTGGTTAGTTTGGAGCTGTGCTTGTGTGGAGCGCGAGAATTGCACAGAGAAAAAAAAAGAGGCAAGAAGGATAGGACACGGAAAAGACGAGCAAGTCGGAAGTTTGATGGGCACCCTGGGCCGGGAATGTCCTCCCAGAAACTGACACATCAAACGACCATTGTCGACTATTTGCAAACTTTTGGAGTGGTCTTTAGAAGCATATCCAATTTTTTGAGGGAGAATGAAAAGATGAAATTGTTTACGACAATTTTTTGAAATTAGAGGATCTGTGGATAAACATCTCACTGCACCACTGCTCTGAAAATTCTAAGAATTTAAAGAATGCGAAGGATTGAAGCAGAACGGCATTGGGGGAATGACATGTGCGGTTCTCTTTCTTTCTTTTAAGGAGAGGTGGCACCCCTCCGATTCGCCCATTGACTTTAATAGAATTGCATTGCTCTGTGACAGCCTCGCTCCTATAATTGCTACCCTCTTGGTGCTACTATTGTGACCGGTTTCTTTGGCTTTCCGACCGCGCCGTGCTCTTCTCTTTCTTTTTCCCCATTCTCTTCCGCTCATTCGCATTTCTCAGAAGCCACGAGCATCAACATCTCGTTCCAAAAATGGCAGCCAATTGAAAAATGGAGGAGAATGGGTGAATTGCAACGAGAAAACTGAGATGGGTGGGAGAAAGTAGACGAATTCAAGAGAACAAAATGCTTTTATTCTCAAGTAGAAAATGAGAGTGTCGAGGAATGTGAATTAGAAATTAAGCTAGCTGTGTGTATGTGGTGGGAGGCAAAATACCGAGAAAGCATTGAAGATCTACATTCTTTTGTAACGATGCACATTTATCCCATTCTGTTGCGAATGGCTTTTTGTATACTCGTACACAAAAGAAACAACTTCTGGGATTAAAATGATTTGTGAAGTGTAATAGGTTCGCGATGCACTATGTTGCCGTCCGACACTACCGGTTTCGGGGTCAACGGATTTCGAAAGAACAACAAACACTATGGAGCGTCGGAATATTATTCGGGCAGTGCGTTGACGGCGCATGAGTGCCTAGCGTACTACTGAAATAATTATGTGTCGTCCAGCCTGCCTATATGTGTCTTTTTGCGGGTTATAACTTTTAGTGGATGGATGGATGTTGGAAACATGTCCGATTGACGGCCACGCTTTTCCGGGAGTCATTATGCGTACATAAATAGTCCTCCGCTCCGAAATGAGGTGAAACAGAATGAGATGAACTTTTGATTTTTGCAGGGATACTTGTCGGAAGTCGGAGCCTCGCTGGTCGATGAGAAACTCAAACTGGGCATTGTCCCGCCAACCGGAGTCGTTGAACTGGCCGCCCCGACCTTCTACTACGACCGTATAGATCGTGCAAAGGCTCGCACCAAAGAAAGGATCCATTCGAGATACCCGAACATTGGACGCCGGTTCCACCGCATTGGACTACCCGAAAAGGTTAGTTAAAGGGCATAAAAATAAACACTAGGAACCATGTGATGAAATGAAACACCTATCTTAAATACCTATCTTGCAACTCTTCCTTATCAAACTTTTCTAGCGCTTGTCAGATTTGTGTCATTGAACGTTTTGCGTGTTCAAAAACGAAACATTGCTGTCGCATTAGTCACGCGATTATTGTTCGGTTCCGTTTTACACCGATTGAACTTTCCTCCATCTTCATCAGCCAGTTGGCGCTGCCCAAAAACCGAACACTTACAATAAGAAGCGAGCGATTTTGTGACAAAAGCGACAAAGATTTACGAGGCTATAATCTTGTAGCGAAGACGTTGTATTCGTTTAATGTTCTCTGACAAAAGACGTTATCAACGCAGCAGTTTTCGACTGGCCACATTAGAATTTGGCAACATTTGAGGAATATACGCTGCAGAAAATGGAGAGGGAAGCCAAAGCCAAATAAAGCGATGAAAAATTTTTACTAGTTTATTAGTTTCAGGGCTGTCCAAACACTTGTTGTTTGCACACCACCACCGCCATTCACATTCCACCACATTTCTCGCGCCGTGTCTGGGTGTACCTCTGTTTTTGTTGTCTGATAAATTATCAAGCGAAACTGGGCGCGCTTATAAATAAGTCGACACCTTCTTCCTGCTCTCGCGAAGAGGGATTCCTCTTCCCTCTTTGAAAACAACATTTTTTGCAAGAGGAAGAGAGATAGAGAGAGAAAGAGATTCAGGGAAAGCAAGAAGGCTGATCAAGGTTGACTCCTTTTTACTTCCTAAACAACAACAACATGTTTTTGAGACGTTCTTCTTGCACCACAATTGAAAAAACAGCACCAGAAGGGCGAAAATATACACGCACGAGTTTAGATTGCAATGTAAACAAGTTATTTTTTGTTTCTATACCCGATAAATAGAAATGCTGTCGGAGAAGCGCTCAAAAGATGGGATTACAAAAAAGATGGCAAAACATATGGAGATTTGAGAAAGGGGGTCGGGAAAAGATTCAAGTAAAGGCGAGGCACCATCTGCGCGACATCTCCTCTCGCCTTGAAAACGAGTGTCATGCACGAAAAGATAAATGCGCGAGATAGTGAGCAAGCACTCAGTTTCCCCTTTCTCTCCTCCGAACGGAGCCAATTCATTGTGCATTGATGACGGACGGACACCCGGTCCCAACCCCCTCTTCCCGGGGACGAGTGGAATTGCTAATCGTGGTCCATTAGAGAAAGGGACGAACGGATGGCACTAAACATGTTCCCACCGAGTGATGGCAATCCCATTTGCAGGCTGGTAGCTTCCAACTGTTCGTCAAAGGATATCAGGATGCTGCTCACTGGCTCAGAACGTGGGTCAACCAGCCGGAAACCGCCCCGCCACCGGTCACTCAGCGAGAATTCCAGTTCCTGTTCGAGAAGTTGGTCGCCCTCGACTACATCATTCGCAACACCGGTATGAAAATTTGGGACAAAATTAAAAAAAAAAACGGACCGAATGAGTGTTCAGATCGTGGAAGCGATAACTGGTTGATCAAGTACGTTCTCGCCGATGTCATCGACCGCGCCCCGGTTCACAGCAACGATATCCCATGCGACCCAGCAAACGCCAAGACTCAGGTACACTAACGCCCAAGAAAAATTACCTCCAAAAGTGCAGAAATACTCTATGACTTTGAGAATAGTTAGCGAAATGGTTGATGACTGAATGAAAAAGGAAGGGCAGTTCGCTGCCAGATGAAAGTGAAAGATAGAAAACTGAAAAGTTGCGTAGTAAAACTGCATGAACTGTAAGGTTTTGATTCTTTTGATACATGCGGTTTACAATGTTTCATTAAGATGGATGAGATGAAAATGGGAAGTGACGGTTCCGGATATGATTAGAAAGTGATGCTAATTTTCACGTCGCAATGTTATTGCAGTCCGAATTAATCTTCTAATCTATCAAAAAACCATGTAACAACCTGATTAGCTAATATGTTTGATCCCTTTGCTCAACTAAATGTCATGACATTTCAGGTACCTGGCGACGAGAAGTTGATCGACTTTGTCGACTCGGAGACGACTCCAGAAGGTGGGTACCTGTCGTAGGTGGTGGTCGACTTGAGTGGCTTCTCCTGAATACGGCGGCCATGTGGGGTTGTATCGACTCCCGAGTCGCTGCTCATGAACGAGTAGGCACGGTCGCGATCGTCCTGCTCAGCCTGTGGATCGCTCATGTTTCCAGTGGGCGATCAGCTGAGCTCAGTAGATATTGAGTCTTGTTCTAGAAGGAACATCTTTAGAAACCCCTAGCAAAACATGTGTAATGGAAAAAGACCGGAGGGTGATCGGGTCGCCAGCACCGCACCGAATGACTGGAAGGGCGGAACGCCTGGAAAGTTTCGGGCAGCAACACCATCCCCCACTGAGGGTAAACAACCCACCTCTGTTTCTCTACAAATTCTGTTTTTTTGTGTTCCCTCCGAGGTTGTTTTCAATGTCTGCCACCCGACTCTCTAGCACCTCCCACTTCTCTGCTACGGTATCTTTTTCAGCTATTTGCCTTCTCTTTCTTTGTGTGCCCGTGTTTTTGACACGCCATCCCGACATCTAGGATAACAGTGTTTTGATGAGGCGGCTGTTTTCGAACGAACTTTGATGCTCCGCCCCTCTAAAAGTGGGAAGTAGACGGGGAATCCCTTCGTTTCAAAAACAGCCTCCAAACTGACACAGGTGGAAAAGACGAGGCGTGGGGAACTTGTCCCTGAAACTATTTCAAAAAGTCGTAAAATAGTCGCCAAATTAGGGAGACGGCTGACTGACCGAACTACGAATGATCGTAAAATTACGTCGAAACTGGAGACGCATTCCAGAGAAGTGTGGGAGCGTACAGTGAAGAAAAACAAAAAACACTCTGAAACCGAATCCAGATCGACACAGGTTTTGAACTAGCCTCTGTTGCACTGCGTAGTGACGATCTGATAAATCATTCAGTATTTTTGATACCTAGTTTCATGGGCTAATAATGATAAACACATGGCTCTTGTTTTGCCCGAGAGAATCGAAGAGCGATCTAACAGCCATGCCTCGCTAATTGATGGCATTCTTCAAGTTGTTTTTTGTTTCAGCATCGAATGCCGCGGCGGCACTCGTCGAGGACCCTGCTCCGGCTGAAGTCGAGTGGGCTGACGTTTCGATTCCGACTGTCGACGTAGCGGCCATCGATAATGGATTGGCATTCCCGTTCAAACACCCGGATGAGTGGAGAGCGTGTAAGTTGTTGATGTTGTTTTTTTCTTGCGAACATCGGGAACCACCACCGGGGGTCTACCGGAAGAATTGTTCTCCGTTCGTGCAGTCAGGGACATTGAGAATAACAATCAACCCGCGTTTTAAAAGTGATTGACGGAACTGCACTTGTATTGGAGGACCAAGGGAACAGTTCAGAATAATTTTTGAAGTTCCTTCATCTAATCGCTGCAGTTTTCGGCTTAATTATGTGTGCTTAGTTTTAAACATCTTTAAAAGTCCTTAAATTTAATAGACCTGACCTCAAAACAGTGCAAAATTTCATCTCTAATCGTTCAGTAACATTTTATTTATTTGTCAACTGCTCCAGCTTGTACACATCTCATCCCGCAGCAGGTGCTAGTTTTTCCACAATTTCTGTGATGTTTGTTAAAAGTGCGAAAAGTACTGGTTGTGCCAAACACCACATGCTTCCCCGCCAATTGTTTTGAACGAAATTCGCCGGCAAACAAAACTCAAACTCGAAAAGGCTCTTTTGCCTGTTTTGATTGAACACGCGATGGCAAGTATCTGTGGGGGAGACTGTTTTGGTCGTTGTTCGACCACTGCGTCTATTTTTATGGGTTGCCTTCGTCGTTCATACAACCGATGATCGCTTCAAAATGGCAACGACGTAGAATTGCTGGCAGATTGTTAAATTCCACCCTTTGCTGCTGAAATTGTTTGGCGGCATGATAAGCGGTGATTGACAGTCGATGAGCATGTGTCAGAGAGGGATGACACGATTCTGAAAACATTTAAAAGACGACAATCACGGAAGAAGAAAACATTTGAAATTTTGTTTACAACCTGTTCGACAGAAATTCACGCACCGATTACACATCATTTGTTTTTCCGAATTCCAATCGTTCGGTCCTTTGACCTGTTTTTGTTGTGATAACAAAGTGTGACAATAATTTATGACGTTCAAGCGCTCTGATAACTGTCCAAGAACTGTGTTTACCATTGGGAGAAAACAAAATGGAACAATTTCAGATCCGTTCGGCTGGGCTCTTCTTCCACAGGCTCGCATTCCGTTCTCCGATGAAATCGTGGATCTCCTGCTGCCGAAACTCGATGACACCAAATGGGTCCGTGAGCTTTGTGAGGACTTACGTCGTGTCTTCAAGGTATCTAATAGAAAACGATAAAACTGGTATAATCTTCCATTGTTCTTTTTCAGAATGACAAGGGCTTCGACAAGAAGATTTTCGAGAAGCAAATGTCGGTTATGCGTGGACAAATCTTCAATCTGCGCGAGGCTCTGATGAAGAAGAAAAGCCCTTATCAGCTAATCCAGGTATTACAAATCCCCTCTTTCCCGAAACGACACTCTGTCTCTTTTAGATGCCGCCCCAACTAATGGTCGAGGTGAAGCAGAAGAAGAGAAAGTCGAGACGGTCTCGCAACAACGACTACGAGGAGGCTCCCAACTACGATTGTAAGTATTTCGACATTTTAATCCCCCGAGCAAATCGTCGTCGTACATCACAATGACAGATGCAGAGCAAGTGTGCACTTTGACAGAGAGAAAGAGATGGAGTTCCCAGTGTGAAAAGATTTTTTTGCAGCTGACGCGTCCACGGTGCGTGCCAACACATCTGGCAGCGTCGTCGATGCCGACCAACCGGGCCCTTCCTCGTCGACCCCCGACACATCTGTTGCTCAGGCCGAGACGGACACATCCACCACTGGTACCAAGTCGTGGCAGGAGACTTATGAGCAAAAAGTGCAGACGAAGGCTCCATTCTTCCGCTGGTGGTAGATTGTTCTACACGCCTACACATTTAGCATTTCCTTCTGCTTTTTTCTATTCGTTTTCTTTCTTTCTGTCCGAAATATTCCAGTTTCAAACGAGTAGCTGATCTTCTATCGTTTCGAACTCGGTTCATGGCACTTAGATGTTTCCTTCTTCTTTTTCCTTTCGCTTAACTTCTGTCAAATGCTTTATTCTGTCTGTTAGACTGTCTCACTTTTATTTATCCTTATTTTATTTGGCACTCCTCTGATGATGACTGCAATTTGTATATTCCTCTATCCCAACCTCTCCCTCTATACAAGGTTCGTGCAGTTGTGTTCCCTTTTTGTGAATGAAAAATGTTTGGTCCGAGAAAACATAATTTTATAATTTTATATTTGACACTCAGGTCGTTCCGTTCTCATACCCATCCGATCATTTCTTCACCTCATGCTTTTTGTTTTCGTTCTTCTTAACTGGGTAAATGGGCCGCGCGGAGTGATAATCAGGGATGCGATATGGTTAAACAGATGAAATGTTGGAAAAGAAGAAGAAAAAGTTATTGGGGTCACTAGCCAGCACGCGTCGCCAGGGTCAGCCCGGAGATCCGAAACAGCCACGGCCGCAGCTGCAGTAGCCACGGTTGATGACGTGTTCCAGGCGGAGACGACAGCTGTGTAGCAGCGGAGGCTTCGAGAACGTTTCACAACTGTCGCCCGGCTCATCTATTTAAACCCCGAGGATGCGCGCTGACAATGACCGAGTGACCACAATCCGTCTCGCCGATGATGATCAACTTTCTCAATTGTTTATTGGGAAAGTGGATTTTTGTAAACTATGGGCTCAATGTTTATGCCATCTAGTGGAAGTTCATCCGACCTTTGTTAAAATTTCTGCCAACAATTCAATGATTCGATAAGCGACTTAGCAACTGGTGACTCTGAGATGGCAAGATTGTCTTTTTCTGTTTCCTATTCGGTCCCACCGAGAAAAGTGTACCTGGAGGTACTTCTCCCCCTTCCTGCCCAGACACCGGAAAGCAGTTGTTCACTTTCCATTTCTATGTCTCTTTTGATTCTCGCGGAACTACGCATCCACTCGTCTTCCCTCTCAGCCTAAAAATTGTACACGTGGCTCTAGAGCGGACAAATGTCTCGGGGGTTGTTCTTCTCCCGCAGTCTTTTGGCCTGCCCATGTCTCTGGACCCTCCTCCTCTTCAACGGTCTATCCAATGTTTTAACTTAACCATTGACTGCGTCTCCGAGTACACTGCGCTCTCTGCTTTAAGGAATCGGCAGCCCCGGCACTGACCCCCATTTTGTGATGACCATCTCGTCTCTTCTCTTTCTTTCTCTCTCTCACAAAAGATCTTGCGATCGCTCACTTCTCGTCAAACCTGTAGTCTGCATTCTACATAGGTAACCGGGAAGAGTAACGAGTTTCTGTTCCCTTTTTTGATACGAATACTTCCTTCTTTTTCTTCTTCTTTTTCTCCGAGAACAAGCAGTCATCAAAAGAAGAAGAAGAAGAAGAAGACGACGAATCTAGATTCTCTATGCAACGTGTACTAAGACAATACATAAGTTCGTTTAGGGAACCTGTTATTTCCTGATTATCCTATTGCTTTCTTCAGCTGGTGATAATTTCTCGGTATGGAATTTATATTTGCAATCGGCAACAGAGAGTTATCGAGGAACTGTCAACACCAGCGGGCGAGATTGACAGTTCGCAAGCAGGCCAACTCACTCCTTCCAATCGGTCGGCCGTCCGTATTTTTGGGCTGTCTTCCTCTCGTATTATATACACCCCAGCACTAGCGTTGGACGGTGCATAAAAAGTGTCCCGATTGCTTGACCTATTTATGTATATCCTTTTAAGGAGCCTTTCCGACGTTTCGCTAATTTGTCTAATTGCTTTTCGTTCGTCTGTTCGTAATCAAACACCAACAAAAGCTGGTTGCAGGTAGTCGAAACTAGAAATGAAGGTTGTTCTCTTCGTTGGTCTTCTAGCCGTCTCCACGCTCGCTTCCCACCACTCTTCGGATCCATCGCAGGACGCAGAGCATCTCAAGGTAACCAAGAGTGCCTCCGAGTAAATTTTCTAATTGGAATCTTTGTTCAGGGAAAAGAACATGACAAGAAGTACGATCACGAGCAGTTCCTCGGAAAGGACACTGCCGCCGAGTTTGACGATTTGACGCCAGAGAAGTCGAAAGCAAAACTTGCGTAAGTGAAGTCCCTCTCAGATGAAGAAATTAAACTGTTCTTATTTCAGCAAGCTCGTGCCGAAGATGGATGCTGACAGCGATGGGTTCATCGAGGAGAACGAGCTCAAGGATCACATCAACTTCATGCAGAAGAGATACGTGAACAACGACGTTGAGCGCACCTGGAAGAACTATAAGGCCGAGAAGATCGTCGACGGAAAAATCAAGTGGGAGGACTACAGAGAGATGGTCTACGGATCTGCCGACGGAGCCGGACAGGAGCTCTCCCCGGAGTACGCCAAGATGATCGCTCGTGACGAAAAGAGATGGGCTGTCGCCGATTACGATTCCAACAGCGCCCTTGACAGAACCGAGTACGGTTGCTTCATGCATCCAGAGGACTGCGACCACATGAGAGACATCGTCGTCGCCGAGACCGTCGATGATATCGATAAGAACAAGGACGGATACGTCGACCTGGACGAATACATCGGAGATATGTACAGACCAGAGGACTACCCAGAGTTGAACGGAAAGGAACCAGACTGGGTTGAGTCTGAGCGCGAAATGTTCAAGGAGCACAGAGACAAGGATGGAGACAGCAAGCTGAACCAGGAGGAGATGCGCGACTGGATCATGCCAGTTGGATTTGACCACGCCGAGGCTGAGGCCCGTCACTTGGTCGGAATCGCCGACGACAACAAGGACGGAAAGCTGTCGCCTGAGGAGATTGTCGCCCACTACGACACTTTCGTCGGATCGCAGGCTACCGACTACGGAGAGCAGCTCCAGAAGCACGACCCAGCCGAGCTCTAAGCCCTCAGCGACAGTATTACACTTTCTCAGCAGAGATCTTTTTAATAATAATAATAATGTGTGACTGGTCTTTTCAATTGTTTTTACTTAATTGTATCCACTGTTTTCTAACTTAATGCCTTGTTACCCTTCAATCCATTATTGTAATCCGATTCCACATGCATTTTTCATTCAAACTGGTACACATTTATCACGAATAAAGATGTTTGTGTTCAATCAGGAAACGGTCGGCCGTTGTGTGGATATTCTGGCAAGATGACAAGCTGCGTGTCGGTGTGTACGTCTTCTTCACAGCGGACGTGGCGACGATGACCCCCGATAATTTTCCTTTCATAGTCTCACTTCTCTCCGCGACGGAATCTTCGAATCGTCTGTCCTAATTCTTCCTCGCCATAGTGATGCATAGACCATTCATCCGACTTGTCTTCTTGTTTCTGATTATTGATCGATTAGCAGAAGCATTCGATGTTCCGTGTTCCCGTAAGTGGTTTTGCATGTATGAAAAGTGAAATCTATCCGGTTACCGTGAAAGCAATTCAGACTTTCAGAGAATTTGAATAAAAACTATAGAATTCTTTAGAAATTTGCTGATTTTTCAGAAAAACTGATTGGCAGTGACTGCCTGTTCGATGAAGAATGTTACGGCATGAACTCAGTGTGCCGAAATGGCCGTTGCACGTGTCCAACTAACTTCGAGGAGTACGATATCGACGAACGAACAACAATCTGCCGATTAGGTGACATCATCAGTATTTCTAGATTCTTACAACTTCTATGATTCACGAACCGGATCTGGAATTCTTTCGTTGCAAAAAATAACTATAGACTTTATTCAGCACCGGCCAAAATCGGCGATTCTTGTCAGCGAGACTGTAAACCGCCGTTACT